TTCTCGATCAAATACCTCAAGTTGGAGGTTGTTCTTCAAATCGTCTGTCTGGTACCCGCACTTCTGGCCCCAAAACTCATTTTCTACATATCAACATTTGAATTGCTCTTTACGAATTTTAAAGACGCTGCAGTTAGTTCGAATCCGCTAATCCGGTGTTGCTTTGCAATGATACTGTGCTTCGAGAATTGGGGCGTCGTCTGTCAGATCACGCGATCACAGACAATTATGCGTCAATCACCTTATACCAAAGTATCAAAAGTACTCAACCGGATGACTGAGTGCAACAACAATAAAATGTCTGTTAAAAAATGCAATTGTTAAGACAAAGTTCCAAAATACTGCAATCCCTGGGCCTTTCACTGCCAAGATCTCATTGGTAATATTCTTTGCTGTCTGTTTAGAGCGATAAATGTGATGTGAATCAATGGAGAGTGCGTATGAGTCTGTCAATTCTCGGAGAGGGTCAGGCGTGCATTGATCAGCCCCAAAACAGGGAGATAGAACAGAACAATCGAAAGAAATAACTGCAATGCTTGTTGAGTGACTCAATGTGTTCTATCAGTGTGATGTACTAATATTGCGTGTCAACTGCATCTATGAGTGAATGTCTCCTTATTAATAAACTCAGTGGATTAAATTTACCTTCGCAATGACCTTTTCTTCGTTACTCAATGTTCACTGTTTATCTTCGAAGAAAGAATGGATTTCTAAATGAAAACGTAACAAGTTAATATGCACAGAGAACCGTATGATCAAACTATCAACCGCCATCTTGTTGTTGGTTGAGGTTGAGTCGTTAGTATGTTCACGCGAATTTAATTTCAGTGAAATAATTTTCGTTCTACTCGTTTGATATTTTGAATTATACTTGAGTGCATTGCTTGAATTCTGTAGGATATGTACTCGTTTGAAGACAAAAAAGGAAGAAAACACATGTTTCAAGAACCTCGACAAAGGACGCCGATGGAAACATTTCAATTTAAGAGTGGAAGGTCTACCACTCGCAAGTGATGGAACTCATGACAAACACGATGCCTAGTTCGTGTCATATTTTGATTACACTTTAAGCTTAAGCGTCCATAAGCTACCCTTTGCTTGGAGTGGTTTCGGTGTAAAGCCATAAGCACCGAAATTGCTTTGTAAAATTATGCAGCAAACATCGAATTAACTGAGAACTGACATCGACTTCATTTTGCGATTAAGGTATGCTACGTTTAGCTACGTGATGGAAAATTCTCACTTAAAAAGTCTGTTTGGTACCTTTGATCACGTCGTGGAATTACATTCCTCGTGTTATTTTCGCAAATGATGCGATTAATCAATCGTGTACAATCTATTCGAGGGAGATTTGTGAACCCCATCCGAAAGTAATAACTTGAATGCTTGTGACTCAATTTGTTCTCTAATGCGATATACTAATTTTACGTGATCAACTGCACATATGCGTGAATGTTCCCTTATTAATAAACTCAGTGGATTAAACTTACCTTCGCAATGACCTTTTCTTCGTTCCTCAGTGTTTACTGTTGTATTTTCGAAAAAGGAATGGATTTCTAAATAGGAAAAATAACAAGTTAACATGTACAGAGAACCTCATGATCAAACTGTCAACCGCCATCTTGTTGTTACTTGAGGTTGAGCCGTTAGTCTGTTCACTCGAACTTAATCTCAGTGAGATATCCCTCGTTCTACTTGTTCCATATTTTGATCTATACTTGAGTGCAATGCTTGAATTCTGTGGGATATGTACGCGTTTCCAGATAAAAAAAGGAAAACAATAAAACGTGTTTCAAGCTCGACAAAGGAATTCGATTGAAACATTTCACTTTGAGGATGCAAGGTCTACCACTTGCAAGTGATGGAGCTTATGACAAACACGATGCCTAATTCGTGACATATTTTACTTACACTTTAAGTTGAAGCGTCCTTAAGCTACTGTTTGCTTGCAATGGTTTCAGTGTAGGGCCTGAAGCACCGAAACTATACAGCAAACATCGAACTAACTGAGAACTGACATCGACTTCATTTTGCGATTAAGAAATGCTACGTTTAGTTACGTGATGAAAAACTCTTACCGAAAAGTCTGTTTGTTACCTTTGATCGCGTCGTCTAATAACAATCCTCGCGTAATTTGCGCGAATAATGCAAGTAATCAATCGTGCAGAATCTATTCGAGGGAGATTTGTAGAATACGAGAGACAGTGAACCTCATCGAAGGGGTTTACATTAAAAATTGTGGGCGTTTAACACCAGACAATGACATTATGAGTTATGATATGGGATGCAGCTCATGAAAGGACGAAAACTGATATCGGAAAATTCCCTTGTTGTCATTCATAGCTCCGCTACTAAGATTACATCAAACAGTACGAGAACACTTAAAGAACGCTTATTTGCTGACAAAACTATTGTCACGCGTGACAGATAACTGTAGGAAGACTACCTCCAGTTTAGTGCGAAAATATACATGGATACAAGTCTGCAGACATTATCTGTTCCAAGATGCGAAGTTTTCTGAAAGTGAAACTCGAAGAAAACTGTGAGCTTCGAGAAACAAATGATGTCCATGGATAAATTTACGAGCATATTTTTCCGTCGAGTAGAGGTTATCGGTGTATATTACCCTTAAATATTTGCAAAACGCGGGAACTGAATTGTTTACGAACAGCTTACCTTTTTGCTGCATGGGATGTCCAGTGTTCTCCGGTACAACTTTTCTAACAAACAAACATCTCCCTTCTTCTGTAACAACCACATAAGGAGTATATAAAAAAGAAGGGTTCTGTTTTTTTCGAAAAAAAAAAAAAAAATTATCAAGTCTCTTAAATTTTTTTGTATTTATCACCTTCTCCTTTATCAGTGACCACTTTCATATTTGTAATTGTTTTAATTTTGGTATTCCAACTCCCTGTAAAATATCATTACATTAATTAATTTTTCTTTGTAATCAGTTGTGCAATCAGGTTAGTTTACCCTTTCCTCAGGGTATTGTGCTGAGCACCAGATGAGGAATACATTTCTACACATTTTTTGGCCTCATCTACAGAGTGGTTTTTTAGAGGTTCTTCGTTTCCGGCGTAGCACAGATTTTTTTTGTAGTACCCCTGGTTTTAGGGTGCACAAATTAAGATTGTATCAGAATGCGTATACTAAAAGACTGACTGACTCATCCTAAATAAACTTTTCACAATCAATGTCTCGTGTGAGTGTATTCAGAATTCTAAGTATTCCAAAACCCAATATTCAACCAATTAACGCTCTTTATAATCGACGATAACTCCTAGTTAGATAATTAAAGGTCGCCTGACGGAGACTATTAGTACACAGTCCAACCTGTATTAAGCGGTCACGAAGAATGGCGGGATAACGGCTTTATACAGGTTGACCGTTACAATCAGGTTTCAAAGAATAGAAGTCAACTACGAAACGATAAAGAACGCCATTGTATGGCATAATTGACCTTAAAATGCACAAAGACTTGCTCAAAAATACCACTTACTTTGAGGATCAATATCAGTAGCTGGGAACAGATTCTTATATAAAAACTTTGATTTCGGAAGATGAGCATGGATTTAACTTTACTTCAAAGATTTTATTTAGTTTTATTTAAGTATTTCCGCTTTAATTGACTGCTGGACATAGGTGAAAAACAATACAAATATGGCCCGTGGGACTCACTCAAAGGTGACCATGACCGCTAAATAGGGGTGACCGCTTCATGGAGGTGAAGGTTACAGTGATTTGGAGACATCAAATTCGAGTCTTTGACAACCGACTGCTTTATACAGGGTGACCGCTTAATACGGTGCTTCCTAATACAGGTTCGACTGCACAAGGCGGAACTTCACGATCAACACAATTCATAGCTTAACTCTAAATCTTGAGACAAACGATTAAACGATCAATTATCTACAAAACCACAATGAACAACAGTATTTTTTATGACAACATCGACCGATTGTCCAAACCCTTCCCGGCCCCCCCTCCGGAAGTAAATTACCACCGGTCCCTAACTTCAAAAAGCCCACCCGGTTAAACTAAGATTCCAAGGTTTGTTAACACGACGACAATATGTTAGAAGTAGTATTCACATCCTAGTTTCTACAGTCTCAGAAAAAGGAAACCTCAGCTGGCTGAGATGGTGAACATATTATAAAATTAACTGAATGCTGATAAATTTGTGGTTTCCTGGCGCCCTTGCGCATGTGAGATGTCGGCTCTGCCATTTTCGTGTTTGAAACTCTCCCTTTGGAACCTTACGCTGTTCGTTGTAATGCTTTAAATGCGTTGTGGTCCACTGTTTTCCTCGTTCAGTTGCATTGGATTCTACCGCGCTGCACACGTAGTAATCTCTCTGCCAGTATGCCACGCACAACCGGAAAGACGCACCAAACAACGCCCTAACTATGGTGGGAAAGATGTGGCCGCAAATGAAGCCTAAATTACAATAATCCCACACTCGACAGCTATCGCAAAGTTGCCAGATATCTCCAATAAGTAACAAGTTGACGATGACAAGGAAATGAGTGTGTCTCATGATAAAAGTGATAACGAGCAATTTCAGAATTAATTTCAAGAAGAAAATATTGTGAAATGAACATCTCGGCAGTTATTCCTAATTTTCGGGTAATGAGACCACCAAAATGGGCTTCTAACAAGATGATTTAATTCCGAAACAAAATACTGAGCGATGTATACAAAAAGTGAATTTTGGACTTAGCTTAATATCGTGGCAGAGTTTGAAGGAAACCTATTTTTCAAGCCGAAATTCAGTGGACGTCCATTTTTAAAGGGACTATGAACTAACATTAGCAACAGCTCCTTGCAATAGAGAAGATGAACGTTATTGACTAAAGCTCTCTCTTCAATTGATGTAGAATTTTAAACCAACACTCTACAATGGAAATAACACTTTATTTACATTTCTTACAGTCATGTACAGAGGCAAGATTTTTTTCTTTTACAAGAAATAACGATAACTTTTAGAAAGTTAATTTCTACTCTGGTTTTATAATTTCCTTCTGTTTAAGACTATCCTCAAACTTATCAATTTCTGTCATGGCTTCCACGCCTTCGTCATCTTCTTCACTGGACTCTCTATAAATACATACCAAAATTTGGAAGAAATGGCATCAAGACTACACAGTAAAAAAGAAAAAAAAAACAGGAAAAAACAAAGAGAGTTTCCCACTTACGAGATGTTGAAGACATGTTCTTTGGGCTGATGATGTGAGATTGCTTCTTTCTGCTCAGGGGGAATTTAAAAATAAAGCATCTATCATTATTTATCACGGGGGGGGAAGAAAGAATGAAGGGAGGATTACATGATTTTCAGGGTAACAGGGGGGAGAAACAGTCATTACTAACAAGGTACAAAGGGCAAAGGGGGGGGGGCGCTACAGGACATTGCCTGTCAATGGAGGGGATCATTAAAATACTACAAAGCTTTGGAGGGGGAGACACAAGGTTAATTTCAGGGTGATACAACAAAAATCCTCCCACCCCCTCCCCAGACAATATATATAGTGACTAGTCCCAAACATGACAAAGCCTGCATGGATGGCAGTACACAAACACACACTCAAAAAAAAAATAACTGGATATTAGCAGTGGACAATCCGTGGGGTGGCTCTTCCTGTCCACTTTTGCCAGGTTGAGTTGGAATTTAGAATGTTGGTTTTTTGCTGAGGGAGGAAAACAGGAGGACCCACAGAAAACCACTTGAAGCAAGGATGAGAGCTAATAACAAACTCAATCCACATGTGACACCAGGTTCAGGATCTGAACCCAGTTCACAGTGGTGGGAGGGGCGGAAAGGAAGCACTCTCACCACTGCACCATCCCTGCTTCCACAATTAAAGCCTAAAAGTTTTAATTAAGGTTCAAAAATTGCTTTTCATTTCCATGAAAAAACCAAAAGTCTGTGTTTCAGGTAATATAGCATTGAATTGCAACCAGCTCCCTTCTTTATTTTCTTGAATCATGATTGATGCTCAAAATCACAATATTTCAGAATTTCAGCCTGGTTCCAGCTAGGAATGGGTCTCTATTCTTTCCTTGCACCCACCCCACCCCCTTCATTTGCCTTCTCACTAAAGGGAGCTCAGGTGAGAAGGAAGAGATCATGACATTGAAGTAAGTGATTGCTGATTTAAACTTCTTTATCACCATGATTGCCTCAATTTTTCCAAAAAGTTTTGGGTATCATCCACAATGTGTTAGGATGCTATATTACATGAACAATACTTTGACAAAGAAATAAAAGGGAAACTCATCTTAAGCAAGAACAGTTATACCTCAAATCAAAGTAAACCTGAAGTGAATTCATGGGTAGTACTATGCAGAATATTATCTTTTTATGGTCAGGTCAACCTCTAAAGGTTGCAATTCTGATTACTGAGCTATTCTGCAATACATCTGGTGCAAACTTAGCTGGCAAGGAGAATTACTAACAAGATCTTGGGAGTTCATACATTTTCAATCAGTCCTCAATCTTAAACCCATTACACCCTAACATCACTTTTAATATTCTCCATACTCTTCTCTAAAGATTTCTTAAGGTGCTGACAAGGAGAATTTGTTTAACAATCAAGAGCTTCTTTCCCTCTTTTCTCTTGGCCTTGATTTGTGATTCAGGGTGATGTTGTAAGAAGAAATTAGATGCTATTTGCTTTGCACATCCAATAGCAAAAAGGGTCACCTAACCTTTAATCTCTCAACCTTTCTTTTGGCCAGTGTTTGTTGAGCTTCTTCTCTAAATGAAGTCTGCAAGATGCAAAGACACTTCAAAATTAAAATCAGTTTAGACATAACCTGCTAAATCTACTAGCTAACTTTCATACTGTTTCCATGGGATGTTTGTCTATAATACAACATAAATGTATTAGGCAATTACATGACTACAATACAACCTGGTTAGCCTGTAGTTAGCTATAATCCTGATATTGCCACACCTAAGGATCTTATCTGACCATACTGGCCTGTTTGTATCGGTAAAATCATGATTTTGAATGCAATTTGGTGTTACTAAGCATGAGTAAATTTTTCAAAGACAATAGAATTGCACACATCCATAAGGCAAGTACAATTCATAGTCTTTGAAATATTTACTAGAAAAGTGCTTACTAGTGCTTATTACACCATATCATTGTTACTTGTTAATAATTTACATGAAAAATGTATCACAGAAAATGAAGATGGATGAAATTTTGGCAGCGCTCATGAGCTATTTGTACTTTGCACTTGCACTTTGCATTCGTGTTACAACTTTGCACTTATGTTACATAAAAAATGCGTGTAATTTTTTCATGTTCATTATTAGTGAATTAATTATCTATATCTAGATCAAGACAGAGCAAAACTCAAGTCCAGGACTTTATAACATGACATGGGCTACCCAAGCAAGGTGCCAAGGTGTGTAAAGGTCAGCATATGGGGGTGAGGGGAGTAGACAGAGAGCATTAGGCAATCGGCAAGAGTAATGAGGAGTACCAGCGAGGGGAAACTATTCCTCATAGATGCACCCAGAGTGAAGATGAACCAGACAAAAACTTAAGTCACTTTTGCTCTATATTCGAGTGTCATCAACATGCATCTTTGATTCACAAACTACATCTGACATGTGTATTCCAACACCTGTACTGCCATTTACAAACAAATACAATTTTTGAGGTAATAATGTACATGAAAAAATTATGCGCTGCTGATTGGCTTAAAACTAGTGCATTCTGATGTAACACCAGTACAAAGTTGTAACATGAGTGCAAATTATATTATTAATAAGTAATAATGTAATTTCCCTTACATTTTGGTGTAGTACACACTTAAGTCTAGTTAATTTTTCAAAGACTACAAATTGCACTCACTCTAAGGGATTGTGCAATTTTGATGTCTTTGAAAAATTTACATGTGCTTATTAATACCAAATTGCACTTGGAATCATGTTAATACCAATACAAAACAGTTGTAAACCAAGCAGCCAGGGCCCAAAAAAGATAACTTATCAAGATTTAAACTTTCCAAAAAAACACAGGAAACAACACAACAAGTAGCAGGCCACACAGATCTAAGACACCCAACAGTTCAAGGCATATTGTGGAAGTTATAGTATATGTCAACAAAATTATCTATCTAAGCTGTAAAATACTACCACAATTGCAAAAATCATCTCACTATTTTTTGCACATAGTCGGCTTGTTCCTGTTCTTTCCTTTTCTGAGCATCCTCCAAATATGTTGTGAGTCCTAAAGACATGATGATTAGTTTATTCAGCTTAGAAAGTTCAAGAGAAGTTTTTTTTTTTAATTAAAGCCTGAGAATTTAGACCTCAACTGACAAAAGAAGTTATGAGTTTAACTGAAATTCACTTACTTGGATCATTTTCCATTTCAAGTGTAGTTGTGTGTGTCTGATAGATACCAACTAATCTCTTGCCTGCAAAGGGATCAATTCAAATTTCCATAACCCAACATTAGGTTGAAGTTGAACCCACTTCCAAGAAGTGATCAGCATGTAACTTCCCCCTATAATTTCCATACATCATCCAGCAAACAGGTTATGAGAATACTCAAACTTATCAGGTAGAAGATATCTTGATCCAACACCAAATTCTCTTAACTAATTTACAGGGAAAAGGAGAGAATTAACAACCGGATCTTAGGAGTTAAAGGGTTAAGTGAATAAAGTGTAATAGAACAAAACATCAACAAAAAACCAACAGAAGCATCCCAAAAAGCATTCAAAGTAACCCAGTGAATGTGCGTAAAAAATTGCCATAACGATACATTTTCAGTAGTTGATTGAGAAAAGCACTAATACAATACAAACTAACTACTGTAAAAATCGTTGCACAGGTGAGACCGTTCTAAAAAGATGAGAAAAGATCAGAAATGCAGGATATTTGTATAGTACCAACAGTTGTTTACAGTAAATGGTTTGAACTCGCGGGTAACATGTAAAAGTGTAGTTTGATCGTCCGGGTAAGTGTAGTTATACAGTTTCGGATGACGATCATTCGACTGACAGCAACCTTTCAGTTGACTCTGACTATGACTTTCGCTCAGGTTGTCGAAACGTCAGTCACCAGTACGGACAACAGTCCTTCTCAGACTCAGGACTACACTCACCCGGACGATCAAAATACACTATTAACAGTTGTTTAATTAATTAGGCCTTATCCTTCAGCACTTTTGTCAAATACTCGCTTGGCAGATGAAAGCCATCGTCTCGATTGCAAGCGTTTATTTCCCGTGCTTCTAGAAAGCGGCAGGGCCGCCAATTTGTAGTTGAGCGTAATACAAGATCTTTTACGAGAGGTAAGCTGTTTAATTCCAGACTGATGTTTTAAAACAGTGTTTTAACGAACCGTCTCCAACTTGAGGGGCTGTTTTTAGGCGATGGTTTATTCCACTGACGGCTAATGTAGACTTCTGTTCCGGAGGAGGGTCTATACACTTCCAGAAAGCCTTTGCCTTCTCGATAGTTTCTGCAGAACTTCCTGAAAAAGACACTGTTGACACGTCCGCCATGTTTTTGTTTTCGTTTCCAGGGGTGCACGGTAACAAGGTTTTCTTTGCACAGGCTACCCACACTGCTTATGCACAGCTTCCCTTACATCTACGATTTCCTGTTATGTGCAGTGTTTAGGATCACTTCACTTACTCAGCATATTGAAAAAAAGACAGACTACGTAATTACAAATTCGATCTTAGATGTTTTCCTAGTTTTGTCTAAAATTACCTAGTTTGTCAATCTATCATACAGTTTACAACTTTCCAAACCCATGCAAGATTAACAGATAGCATGACGAACTTGTTTTGATGAACAACTATAGGGTAAAAGTAGGTTTCGTCACATCTTTTCCTTGAGATCTGTCAATTGCTTAGAAAGGAAAAAGCAACAATCACCGGAAATTGATTTCTTTAAAACTTTTGCCTGATCATTCTATCAGTTCTTTATCAACCCTGCCGCCATAATCAAACTTTGATCAAACATTAACCTTGTAAAAATTAATCAAATATTAACTAATCAGACACAAATTAACCCTCTAACCTTAATCAAACATTAAGGCTGCAAAAATGGAGGAAATGATCACCAACTTAAAAAGTTTTTGATTGTTAAACAAATTCTCCTTCTCAGTACCTTAGAAAATGTATAGAGAACATTATGGAGAAAACATATACTGATGTTAGAGTGTAGAAGGTAAATTTTTGCAAACTGTTGTCAGCCAGAATCTACAAGAGATTGTTACATAAGGGGAAGACTAACAGCTGCACTAATGATCAGGTACTGGATCCTGGCATGGTAACAATATAATTAATATACTTCACATGATATTCCATTATCCGTTGATTTGGGAATCCTGCCAAGATCCCGGTAAGGTCCCATAAGGGGCCCTTTCGGCAGGTCTGATGGGATTCCCATACAATGAGAGATGGAATTTCATGTGAAGTACTTTATTAAAGAAAGTCTGGAAAAATGCAAAAGGGAACCAAATGGAAAGAAAAAGGGAGTGGAGACATAAGAAAAAGAAAACACTGATGTAAGATGCCAAAATAAAAAAAAGGAGGAATTTAAGACTGATGCAAGTCACTGCAAAAAATAAATGCTCAACTCTCTTGTGAGGTGCAACAGCAATATGTGATCATTTGTGGAATTTGCCTACACTTGAGGCTGTGGAATCTTAATGGAAACTTGTTTTGTTAGTTGTCACATGAGAGAGATAAAAGAGGGGGTTTCCACATACCCTCCTACTGTGGATCAATATTTGCAGGGTAAAAAGATTGAATAAATGCCCAACCTTCAAATCAGTGAACACTGATTACTCATAATAAGCAGAGACGAGAGGATTTTGAATCCCTCTATAATTGTTCGTGTACAGTTTCTTTTCCTAAGTATATTTACAAACAAAGTGGATTGCTTATACAAACAGGCCTACGTAAAGAGTTTAAAAGCTGACATTTTGAGCAGCAGCCCTTTGTTAAAGCATAGCCCTTTGCCAATCACTCAGACAAAGGGCTAATGCTGGAAACATCAGCTTTGAAACTCTTTATAATACTAAATTACCCTGTTTTACTCTTCCACAGATGTAGCACCACAGTTTCTTTAGAAACTCACCCCCTTTATCTACTTGTACAAACAGATGATAGAAATGCATTTCTCTTGATGATAATAATGGTATAAATACAGACAATCTTAGAAATATTTACTATCTTATTAAATAATTTCTGTAACAGGCCCTTTGGTAGTGAAGGTGAGTAAGAGAGCTGGTAAGCTACAAACAGCTGTTGGGGTTGTCAGGGAAACTGCCCCAGCCCATGCTGTTCTTTGCACACAGTCTCCTTCTCTCATTTTCACTGACCATGAGAATGACACAAACTAAAATTATTTCTCCTATTTTCTGTCTAAGGCTTCTTCTTAAGAGATTCTATCCTGCTTGATATTCCATCACTCTTGTCCAATAAGACCTGAAAGAGAACATTATAAAGGCAAAGAAATCCACCCTTAATTGGAAACTGGGCAGAGTTTGAACTTGCCATAATAAATGCAATACCTGTCTGCTTCACATACTACTGAATATTAATTGAATGATCCTAACCAATCAAATTGTCCATAGTAAATTCAGTGTATGATAAATTGCATTATACAATATTACATATTGCATTGCAAGCAATAACTCAAATTTGTGAACTCAAAAGTGGAAAAAATTGCTATCAAATGTTATGTTATACTGAAGTTGTTTTCAGACTTACCTGAATTCGTTGAACAAGAGATTTCTTTTTTGCCTTGGCTTGTTGCAGGCTGGAATCTATGAGCTGATTTAACAGCAAAAGTAAAATTCAAATCTCAGAAAGCTTCAAAAGCTACACACAGATGAGTTGATTGATAGTGGAACACTTCAAATGGGTTGATAATTTATCCCAATTCATCATTTCAAGAGGTTAAAAATGATTTGTCATTTCTGTCCATAGCATAACTGCTCTATCATCCTACCCGATGTTACATGAAAAAAGTTTATTAGTGAACAATACTTTAATCCCTGAATAGTCTTCCCTTCACAGTGCCTCTGGTGTCACATGGGTAGAGTAAAAAACAAAATTAACCCTTTAAGCTCTAAGGGTGATTAGCATTTAATTTCTCCTTACAATATCACCCCTGAATCAAACAGTAAGGTTGAGAGAATTAAAAAAAGTACCACCAACTAAATCAAGAGCTTCTTAGTCAGGGTGATCATTTCTATCATTCTCATGGCCTCAATGTGTCATACAGGGTGATGTTTAAGAAGAAATTAGATGCTTATCATTCTAGTCAATGGTAGAGGTAAACCATGTGTAGGGCCAGAGCAAGCAAGTATGAGACAAGTTAAATGACATTTATTGTTCCTTTCCTGCAATGGGCAATGTCAGTTTTTTGAAAGTGACCTTTAGTTAGTAAAACTGGCTGTATTGTACCACTGTCACCTGGGTTCCACCTAAGGGGCAACTAAGTTTTGGTGCATGACTGGTGGTGGCATCAAGTGGAATGGTGCTACCAGGCCACAGAGTTAAAAGTTCCATATACATGTATTGGTCATTTTTTTCTCAATTTTAAACATAATGTTTCATTAGGTTAGGTAATAAAATGATTTTGGGTGCAATTTGGTGTTAATAAGCACTAGTAAATTTTTCAAAGACAAAAAAACTGCCCTGGTCTGAAGGGCAAGTACAATTTGTACTCTTTGAAAAATTTACAAGACAGTGCTTATTACACAAAATTGCAGGAGACATCATGGTATTTCTTGTCAATAATGAACATGGAAAAACATCACTGAAAGTCTAGACAAATGGAATTTTGAAAGCCTACATGGTGCTATTCGTAATTTGCACCTGTGTTACAACTTTGCACCCATGTTACATGAGAATACACTTGTTTTCAGCCAATCAGAAGCTTGTAATTTTTACATGCACATAATTTAATGCATACATAATTTAGTGCAAGTTTTCTACATGCCTTCATGTAGGATTTTGGATTAAAAGTTTAGATTTTAAATTGTTAGTTACTGATTGCCGCAACAACCATGCTCGTCACTTCTGAGGGCTAAAATGATAGAGTTGCTTGGGATTTATATTGTTGGCTACTAACCAAGGAGTCCAAACTCTCAAGAGTTTTCATGAAGTCCTCAGTTATTCCCTGTATTTTCCTTGTTAGCTTATCCAGGGTCTGGTTGACTAGTTCAGTTTGAAGAAATCCCTGTTGAGAAAAAAGCATGATATGTAAGATATTTGAATGATAATACATCTATTTATTACTTTGATTCAAATATTCCCTGATTAATCCGGTGGACCTGAAGATGTGGAAGCTTAACATGCTTTAGACTCTAGAGACTAAGGCTCTGGTAAAATTTCCAAATGGTGTCACTTGTATTTATCCTTAGATCTACTATTAAATTCTCCACATTGTTTGCCATTTTTCATAATTTCAGCTTGGAGAATTTAGTAAATATAGCTGTATATATTCTCTGGCTGGTAATTATTTTTCCTTCTTCCACCTTTATTACAGAGAATTTGTTGTTTAGGGGAGTAGCAACACCCATGATCACTCTTTGTTGTGGAAACCAGATGCTATCAATGATGGTAATAGGACTAAGTGGAGTCCATTTAGGTCTGTAACCATATGAGTGATTAACAAAATCAGACAACCATGAAGCCTGAGTCTGATGTATTAATTGCATGTACAATTACAGAAAGAATTGGATGACACAAGTCCTGTTACCACTTAATCAAAACTATGACAAAATTTGAGAGAGAAATAAGAAATCAGTTGTATATTTTCATAAAAAAAAAAAAACAAAACAACAATTAACTTGGCGAAATGTGAGACAACATTCTGCACACATGACGTGTTCTGTCCTCTTGCACAGGCATGACATATTCACTGTCCCTTTAACTGTCCTATTACACTATCCAATTACAAGCATGACGCATACACTGTCCTATTAGCGCTCAAATCGGGCTGGTGATAACCAATTGCTTTTGAGAATTTTGTTATAGTTTTGATTACTAGTGGTATGGACCAATCAACTTGTGTGAAGGACAATCTTGTTGACTAGCAAACTAACCAATTATTATTCAAATTCCACATTGAATTCATCTTTTAAAAAAGTAAACCAATTATATAACCTTTTCTACTCCTTGGAGTTCTTCCACATTCTCAGTAAGTCTTTTCTCTATATCATCAGCCTTCTTTTCAGCAGCTAATACAGCTTTCATATTCTCTTCTTCTAAAGGATTAAACTTCACAGAGGAAAAAAAAAATCATTTTCAGTGCATGCTGAAGGCAATCAACTTCTCCTTGAGTTTCCTACTAATACAGGGTTCCAACCCTTTTCCAGAAACAAATTTCAAGGACGTTTCTATGACTCAGATTGATTCTTCCAAGGCTTCAATTTCACCATATACCCTTTCATTCCCAACATTCGTAAATCAATTCTCCTTGCCATCTGAAAACATTTTTTTGTAAATCCTTAAAATTTTATAGCTTGATTTGAGCAAATTTCCAGGACTTTCCATTACTGTAGTCTTTTTCCAGGACTTTCCAGTCCTGGAAAGTGACAAAATAAAATTCCACAATTTTCCAGGTCTACAGGATACATATGAACCCTGCTAGTAGAGTGCATTTAAATTGGGTGTCAGTTGTAAAACCAAACCATAAGTATTTAAAATGGCAAATCAGAGTTCAGGATAATATCACAAGAAGGTAATAAGGATTCAGAGTAAAACATGCAAACTATATGCAACACAGGGAAAATTGCTCCATGTGCAAGAACAAAATTGCTTCCATGAAGCTGAAGAGCAAGATCCTTGAAATCAACACTCCTCAAGCATCTCAGGCCTAGATCCTCTGGTCTCAATTCTCTATTCTTAAATTCTCAAAAGTTTTAAGGATTGATGATCTAGTTTGGAGTTGGAACTGTCAGCTTACATATAAGCAGTACAGTAACTAAGTCACAATGACTTTTCATTTTATATTGAATTTGGCACAAGTGTATAACAAAAAACTCACAACGAAATGCAGCAACATTAAAGCAATCACAGATTATTAATTTTTTAGACACCCAAATGAAAATTACTTCAGTATCCAAACTAGACTGACCTTTTTGCCGATTAACATAACTTTACTTCCATTCTTCACTCTCAGAGATTTTAGTGTTTGACCGAGATCTGTCAATGACTGCCCTAAAACAAAGAAACCAAACTCAAACATTTTTCATAGTATAAAGTTTTAACCCTTGACACCATAATATCAGTAAGCATATTCTCTATACTGTTCTCTATACATTTCCGAAGGTGCTGACAAGGAGAATTTGTTTAAAAATCCAGAGTTTCTTAAGTTGGTGATTATTTGTTTTATTCTTGTGACCTGGATGTTTGATTCAGGGGTGATGTTGTAAGGAGAAATTAGATACTAATCACTCAAAAGGGTCAAAGAGTTAAGAAATGAGCTAAGTAGTTCGTTACTTTCAGCTCTTATTGTGCAGGGCCGTATAGCTTTCAACTACCTGATTCACACTATGTTATTCGAAACAGTGTCATCTATTTGGCACGAACATAAGCATATAGTGGACATGAGATTTGAAAATTGAGTGATATCCTCGGATATCCTCCGGTCTTAGTGTAGGGAATATTCGGTCACGTAATGTGTTTAGACCAATCGTGCGTGAGCAAAAATATTTGTTGGGATGGATCATAAGCAAGAATAATCCACCGTATAGTGACAGGGCGCAATTCAGCTTCTCTTCAACGCCACTCACCTTTAAAAATGAGCCTCTGTGATCCTCTAGGTACATCGGTGAGTCGAGCTGCAAGGTTTGCTAAATCTTCAACTGTAGGTCCGTCATTGCTGCTATCCGTCTGTAACTCAACCGGGTATTTATTTGACCCTGAAAAAAAACCAATAACGCTTAGAGCTGATTCATTACCGAATTTACCACTGGAATAACTGCATTAGGTGTTTGTTTTCATTACCATGGACCAGTGTGAACTTCAAGAAATCTTCATGCACTGCTCCGTCTGCCATGTTGAAATTCTTTGCGAACTACGCAGAATCACCACGTTTTCCGCTGGTTTGTGAGGTGTCACCGCGGGCTACTAGTTTTATTTTTTCTTTTTTTTTTTATACGGCCCTGGAAAGACAAGTGATAGAAAAAGAGAAACAAAGTCTTTTCCCAGCGTAACCTAGAGCGAGATTAAAAGGGATTCAAGTCCGATTCAAAGGGGACGGGGGGGGGGGGGGGGGGAAGAGGGGGGGGAATCCCACAGCGATACCTGTGGGAACCCGGAAGGAACTATTCCTGATATGGATTTTCGTGGAAGTTAAGATTCTATTTTTACTGTCGTAGCATTTCTCGTGGCAAACGAAAATGCAATGGGAAGCTAATTCAAGCGGTTTGAAAACGCGATGATAGGTTAGAGGCTCAGTGTAAAATCCGTTTAGAGTTCAATTACACAAGCCTCGATTTCATATTCCAAGCCCAGGTTCCGGTCTGGCTTCCGCCTTAGCGTTTCCATTCCACTATGAGCCTCTAAATATTTACTTTCAGTTTGACACTAGAACAATTTTAGAGCCATTCCAATGCATCGATTAGTAATCCCTGCCCTTTCTGTTGTATCCTTTGGAATTGGAGGAACCCTCGGAACTTTCTACGAAAGGTATTCCTTTTTATTGTCGTATTTGCATCTTTTTCCGTGGTCCGTTACCCTCAAGCTTAGCCAAACAAAGGTTCATGAGTATCAAAGATTGAAGTTTTGCAAGTACTTGGCTGAGATGATTCAATAGATGATTATTCTAACCACAGAACGCAATCAAGCATAACAACCTTTGATTCTTTCACTGCAAATTAAAATTTGCATCGAAAGAACGTGCAACCAGGAAATTGGTTACAAATTTTGCTGTATATATTTAGCAAAATTCACCTTTACGTACTCTGTATCACGAGGAATTTGTTTCCTTAAGATGCTGTTCTGCTGTATCAGTGGATACGTGAAGCTGATTAACATTGAGTTAAATTTAATGATTTTTCAAATAATATAGGTTAGCTGATACTGGATAGCAATCGGTTTTTCCTTCATTTGGTTTCCACAACAATTTGACAGAATAAATATATTTAGCTCCATGCAGCTAAACATTCTTATCCACAAAATTGTTGTTCATATTTTAAAATCCCTTTTATTTATGTAATTATATATATATATATATATATATAAATTTTTTTTTTTGCAGGAAAAAGCTTCATTATGGTGTTTTTTCTATGGTCCAGGCCAAAACCAACCAGCATGATACAGTTGATGGTCCAGGCTCTAGAATGTCAGAAATAATGAGATTTGGATATCCTGGTGTGTAATTTAGCCTCTAATACTCTAACCTTTAAGAGTGAATCAAGCATTATGTTCTGGAGAATAAAGGAAGTGATCACTAAGTCAAGAATCTCTTGATTGTTAAACAAATTGTCCTTGTCAGCACCTCAGGAAATGTATAGAGAACAGTTTGGAGAATATAGGTATTGATGTTAGGGTAAAAAGGGTCAAATACCTGACATAGGACCTTATCCACTTGTTGATTTACGACTCTGAGCCGATTGGCTAATATAACTAATTTCCTGTGTCTATCCCTGTACCCTGCAAGCAGAGCCTTAACCCTTAAATCCTTGAGAGTGACTAGTATGTAGTTTCTCCCAACAGTATAAACCTTGCATTACATATTAAGGTTATGAGAATAAAAGAAATGATCACAAACTAAATATTCTCTTGACTGATAAACAAATTCTCCTTGTCAGCACTTTAGGAAATGTATAGAGACCAGTATGGAGAATATGCATACTGATGTTAGGGTGTAAAGGGTTAATTCTTTCACCTCCTCTGAAGGCATAGAAGCAAATTCTTTTCTAACCAACCATTGTGCATGTTCAAATAAGAAACTACAAGGTTTTGGCAGAGTCTTCTTTTCCTCTCTTTCCTTGGAGGAGGCAAAAGAATTAGGCTCTGCTCACAGGGTACTATTCCTGTAGTGATAAGTTAAGTTCACTCTCAAGATCTAAATGTAAATTCTCAACAGTATTTGCTTCAAATTTCTTATAATTTAAGTTCTGAGAGTTCAGTCATGAGTCAAATAAGAGACTCTAGTTGATATTCGTCTAACTTGGTATAACAGTTCTGTTTAAAAATGAATTAATTTCATAAGACTTATTTGAGTCTCGCTCTAGAGGCTGATGAGATTTCACATCAGATAAAAAGTGTATATCAGACCTACAATTTTTTTTAAAAGTTTAAACCATTTGCCACCATCCTGTTCATCAGAACTGCAGAGCCAGATCAGCAGTCAGTTCTTTGGTCCTGAGCAGTTTCTGTTGTTCATAAATAATTCAATAACTTATTTTTGTATTGACAGGTTTTGAAAATATTAAAGCTAAGGATGATTATGTTTTGTCCTATAACCGACGTCTAAGAATTGCGAACTGGGTCTGTGAGGTATGTGGAAAATTATGTTTTTCTTAGACAGGTCATGTAATCTGTAGTAATCAGAACTTCTTTAAAACTTCACAAACAGTATTTTATTTTTTAACAAGTGTAGTTCCTGCAGATTGCGAACGACATCAATGATAAGAACTCTGTTTTTCATGTTTATGAAATATCTTTGTTTCAGCATTTAACAGCAAGTACTGGTACTGTCTACAATGAAGATGTTGACAGGAGAAGATGTGATTTTGTGGTTGATCCTTCAATACATCCTCTGTTCTCAACAACAAATGAGGACTACTGGTCAGTGCCCTGTGAATATTAGCTTTCATTCATCAGGCTTCCATTTCCATCTATGACACTTGAATAAATAATAAAGAAATCTTAACCCTGGAACTCTTTAACCCCAAAGAGCGACAAGTGTAAAACTTCTCCTTACAATAACACCCCTTGATCACTCATTAAGGTCATGAGAATAAAGAAAATGATCATTAAACAAATTCTCTTTTCAGCACCCTAGGAAATGTATAGGGAGCAGTAAGGAGAATATGCATACTGATGTTAGATTGTAAAGGGTTAAACCCTTATAGTGACTAGTATCTAATCACACATGAAGGTCGCAATAATAAAGGAAATAAATGATCACCAACTAAATAAGCTCTTGATTGTTAAACAAATTCTCCTTATCAGTAACTTAAGAAATGTTTGGAGAACAGTATGGAGAATATGCATACTGATGTCAGGGTGTAAAGGGTTTATAGACAGGAGGTTGATGGCAGTGTGGTGAGAACACTTTCCTCCCATCCCTGTGGCCTGCCTTTGAATCACAGAGCTGGAGTCAGATCTAGGTCAAGTTTATTGTTGTCCTCATCCTTGCTGCAATAATTTTTTTCTCAAAGCAAACTGTCTAAATATAAATTTGGCTTTTTAAGAAAGAACCACCCTCTTAAAGTGCAACTTCTAAATTCCAATTACTCAATTTTTTATTTATATATTTCATATACTTAAATTTTCACTGTATGAGAAATCTTCCCCCAAGAAAACTGATCAATCTATCAACAGCAGGTCAAAAGAAGGAGGGAGGGATGGGTCAGGTGGCAAAACAGCCCAATTTCCCCCCTTTTTTACAACCTAATCCCAAGCTTTCCTATGTCTACTATTGTGTTGAGCATTACTAAACGCAAACACTTTGTACAAGCTGTTTTCTAATTAGTTTGTTATTTTTTTGGTAGGGGGAGTGGATATGACAGGGGACACCTGGCTGCAGCAGCCAATCACAGGTCATCACAGAACTCTATGTGTGCAACATTCTTTCTCAGTAACATGAGTCCTCAAGTCGGTGAGTAATATGTGCTTATTGACTGAAAGGGAGGGCTGGATAGGAAGGTATTTGGCTCAAGGTCCAGGTTGAGAGCCAAATACTTTGCCTTCCTGTCCGACTGAATTCAGTCAACTGATAAGTGGTGGGCATTTAGGAAGGGGTGACAAATTCACAGAGTTAACTTTTGAAAAATTGGCCACTGCATTTCACTTACTTTTAGTGACCAAAAGTTTATTGCTGTCTAACTGTTGTTCAGCAGTTTTCTCCAGAGATTTTTTTTACTACCTGACCATAAGAAAAGAAGGAAAAAAAGAATCTGATGAAGGTTAAAATGCTACAGAATCAAATATCTGGTGAAATCACCAGCCTCCAGGGCTCTTGGAGAGCAATGATTTTTGAAATATTAGGATAATGCTAATATGGGTTTTGTAGGGGTTTTTTTTTCGGAATGAAGCTTCTGGTTGAAATTTCCAAAAGTGTTGAAATTATATTTGGGAGTAGAACTTATCTGGCATCACTGTACATGAGAAAAGTATTGCAAATATGGTAGTGCTACCTTAATTTATAAATGTAATTTATAATATTTTGGTTTTCACCAAGGTAGGCTCAGGATTTAATCATGATGCTTGGGAACATCTTGAAAAATATTGCCGCCACTTGGTTAGGTCATACAAGAACGTGTATGTTGTTACTGGACCTCTGTTTCTACCAAAGTGAGTTTTGATAGAAAAGCTTTTGTTAAGGTGACTCCTCAGTGTTGTAATGGCCATAACATCACGTTTTTAGGGGAATAAGTGCGCGCATTCTGAAAACATAGTATTAATCTTTTTTCAAAGCAACGGACGAGGAAAACAGGTTCCAGGGTCTTTTGTTCCTGAACGAGCACAGTGATCTATCTTCTTTATTGCACAAATTATCCTCTTTACATCGGAAAAAATTGAGAAAAATTTATCTGAAGGAAAGAAAAGATAGAGAATGCAAGGTACGACCTTGAAAGCAACGACTCGAGAAACGTTTTGGGCCGATTTTCATTAAAAAATGCCTGATTTTTTCATAAATCATATACCAAGTTGTTCTGAAGGCTTTCTACCTAAAGAAAAGATAAAGAATGCTTCAAGCTACGAATGTACCGCGAAGTAACGCGGATTCAACAGGCATAACTCGTGAAGGAATGAAATGCTTGTCATACAAGTGACGGAATTTTCTTAGATCATAGGAAATTAAGACGCGAATTCTTTCATGGGCGTATCTAAGTAGTGCTAATTTCAAGTAAACAAGAAGATTCTTTGGAAGCTTTTTGTGGCGTGATAAATCGGTTAAAACGTTCGCCATTTCGGTGAATTCCCGGCTGGCCCGCAAAAGACGATAGCATAATCGCGCCCCTCCCCTTCCGCCCTCGCCTATTTTCAAGAATATTACTTATGCATGTTCCGGTGTTTTAATAATAACTTTGGACAGCTTGATCAAAGTTGGCTTCACTTCGCGAAACACTGAGATTCTCGGTAAAGTGAGCTGTTTTCCTCGGGACCATTCATTAACTGTTTAATGTTTTATGTTTTCAATTTCGTGTTAGGATAGAGGCAGACAATCAGCTTTATGTGAAGTACAAGGTAAGTTGTTTACTAAGTCTGTAAGTATAATACAACATAGTTTTTATTTACATGTATCTTGTATCTTGTATTTTTGCCACTTATTTTCTCTTCTTTCAACTTAGTTGATTGGGAAAAACCGCATCGCAGTTCCTACGCATTATTTTAAAGTAATTTTGGGAGAGACCACGGATAACCAGTTAGAAATGCAGGTATGTATTTTTGCTTTGTCTTTGCTTTTCACGACACTTTTCAAGTATTGAGCGCATTTCTACTGAGTGTCTAAACAACTCAGAGCTAAGGTAAAATGTTACAAGGAGCTAATGACAAACAAACTGCTCCAAGCGCGGGCAAATGCGGGTGCCCAAGTCGCGATTTGGTTTTGTTTTGCATTTGATTGGTCGAGAGAGAAGCGCGAGTTTTTTTTTAACTAGTCACAGGGCGTAATAAAGCAAAGCAACTGCAATCCCGGATTAATTTTGACTGTCAGTTGAATGGTGCTCAGTTTTACGGCCAAGCAAAGCGCAACTCCGATATTGAGTTCAAGTGAGATCTACGTGAGCTTCTCTGCGTACCATGGCGTAGGAGATTTTAAATTTAGTTCTTTTGGATCGGGCCCAGCTATGTAAAAGTTCTGCTAAATGCATTTTACAGTTGCCTGATTAAAAAATGAACCATTAATCACTGAAATAATTAGAGACTGGAAAACGTTAGCTTGAATTAAAAACGACAAACTTTGCTTCTGGAAGTCCAAACTTGACTTTCTATGACACGTATAATGTAACCTCTTTTCAACGTAATGTACGTGCTGTTCATATGACAGACACATCCTAATCACGTGCTTTTTTTGTGTCTCGCTCTAGTCGTACATATTGCCCAATCAGCCAATCAACGACAAGACACCTATGCACATGTTCCAGGTCCCAGTTGACACGATCGAGAAAGCTTCTGGACTAATTTTATTTGACAAAGTTCCTCGAAACGCCATAAAACAGATTCGACCGGTGCTCACCCCAAACAGCTGACAAGAAAGGCAATGAAATGAAATGTGTGGCAATGATCAATAGTTTCCAAGATCTAACTTTTATGGCTTGATCCAGGCTCTTGGTCTATTGAGGCGAGGAAAAGAGGACGGGGATCTAGAATGGAGCGACGAGTAAGATCCCCATTTTCCTTTTCCCTTTAAACTTAGTGCCTGGTACAAGCAAGGATTGTAAACCTGCAGACTCCTACAAGTCATGGACATCTTTTCTTTGCGATAATAATTACAAGATTTTCTTCGCAGGACAGGTCATGATAACAGACTTAACTTGTCGGCTGAACAAATGAGTTCTGTCTGTCATATTGTAGAAATCAAGATATAATGAAAAGAGAATACTTAGAAGTTCAAGTCTTGCAAATATTTCTTGTTGAAGTTAAACTTGACTTTAATAACGTGGCACCTTAATTGTTTCTAGCCATTTGCTTTCACAATATTGTCCCATGAATATGAAATTGCCAGGAAAACATTTTGAAATTGACTTTACTACGCTATTGGTAGATACATAGTAGCGTTTTGCCTAAAGAGCGTAGATGCGTGACACCGTAAAAGGAATCACAATGATACAAAATAAAGTCACGCAAGCGTTCATGCGTGAACACTGTTACACTCGCAAGTAGTTGAATTGATAAGCTGGTTTTGAGCTGCGCAGTGATCTTGAAGAATGGCTTTGCAGTGACATCCACAGTTCGTGGTGTCCCACACTTTGTGTACGTGGTCACAGTGTTTTTCTGCTTCGTTGCATTTACACACGCATTTTTTGTCGTCAAGTTTCTGGTTGGCTGCGCAACTGTTTGCGCTGGCGATGCAATCACAACCACAGGTGTTTTCGTTCCAGGTTTGTTTCTGTGGATCGCAATCGCTCTCCTTAGTGATACAATCGCAGCCACACGCAGTGTGATTGTAGATGACAGTATTGGTAATATAAGGTTGGTCGCCTACTATTTCAAATATTTTAACATTAATGGCGTCTTGTGCTGTTACAGCGCAGTGTTGGGTCTCCTGATTGGCCGTGCAACTTCCAGTGCAGCGGTTGAGGATGACATAATCAGGGTAGGTGCGAACGTGAACACTCTTTGGTATTCTGAAGGCGACTGGTCTCGGCTTACAATGGCTTTCGCTTGGAATGTATGGCAGGTTGTTTACTGTCAAAATACAATAATTACCTTAGTGCCTTCTTTGCTTTCGGTGCAAATTCCAGTTTCTTAACTTCGTTTGACGATCAGCTAAACCAATCCTGCGCAAGCGAATATACCTGATAAATTATAAAAAGTCTTAGTGTAGATACTTACATTGCGTAGTTATGACGCCATTGGAATGCTCTGGAGTATCACTCATGGCCTGGGGTCTAGAAGTTGCGTCATACCGCGGAGCAGATATGGCGGACACACCAGGTAGGTGGAACAGACGGTTGCGGCGTAACACACTGCCTAATGGGATTCCAGCTTTATGAAGGAACTTTACAAATTCTCGAGGGAATTTTACCTGCTGTGAAACTTGTAAGATGAGTGTGGTGTAATAACAAAACGGTTTAAATTTACTTCCTTGTTGCTTTCATAGAAATGATGCAATTGGCCACAAACTTGGTTTGCATCCACAAAATACGAAAATATGGAACGGCGGATGTATAGTAGGATAAGGAACCGGTGGGGTGGGGGGGTTGGGGGTGGGCCAGGGAGAGTTTTGAGGGATCACATGGCTTACAGAGAAACAAGGGGGGGAATCAGTCATCGCTAACAGAGTATAAAGTGAGGGACTAGAGAAAACTGACTAACAGTATGAGGGGGATCATAAAAATACCACAAAACCTCAGGGGGAGATCAGGTAAATTCTATTGTGACACAACAATTCCGCCCCCCCCCCCTCCGGCGATAGTAGCTTTTGGGTTAGAACCACCTCGAACAACATTATTAACAGAATCAGGTGCAGGAACTGCCAATTAACCTTCATTTGAATGGTCACATCAAGGTTTAATAAACGAGATATAACAGTTAGAACGACCTATAGCAACAAAATTAATCAGTTTCACGAGAAATTAACGCTCAGTAACTTTCGTTTAAATGATCGCACACTATGTTGGATACTTTCGTGTGTTAACGGACTAGTGACGTAACTTCAATTGTTCCGAGTGAATCCGTCATCACCTTCGAAGAGGTCCCGCGGACTGATTTTTAAAATTCGCAAAATTCAGTGATTTTTCTCTAAAGAGTTTAAATTTTATTGAGTTATTTTAGTTTTACTTGGCCATCGACTCAGCCAATAGATATCCGTAGAAACTTTTCAAGGGTGCTGCACATCAATATATAGGATTTTATCCTTTAATTTTTTTTCGGTAGATAACTATGTAACTTACAATAGCTTCATGTCTGTTGACAGCCTTACCAATCGTTTAACTCCCATGAGTGACCAAAACAGAATTTCTCCTTCAAATATCAATACAATATTAAGTAGACAAATGATGAGAATAAAGAAAAAGTATCAGTTCGGGAATTTTTAGTTGATCCTATACCCAATTCTCCGAAATAACTTCATAAGAATTGCATGGCAGACAGTAAGGAGAATTACTCATGAGATCGTGGGAGTGAAAGGATTAAGGAATTGGTTTTGTTAAAAAATAAAAATTGCAGTCACCGAGAAGACAAAATCAAAATCGTTTGGGATAACTTCTATACCAATTTCCTGTCGTTTTCTTCCACCTCATTTATAAATTTCAAGTACGTACAGAAAAAGTTTTCTTAAATTCACGCTCTCAATTCGTAACTACAAAAGCTAATACTGAATCAAATTTGAACAACTTTATAAATGTCAGCTGAAAAACAAATAGATTTTATTAATTAAAACTTTTTTATTTATTGTATGCTATTAACCGATGTGCTTGTACCGTTTTCTACATTGAGCCAAACTTTTCACTTCTTCTGGCCTAAGAAAAAGGATATAATTCTTCTTCTTTTCTCTGATATTGGTGTAGTGAAAAAGTTTCTACAAAAGGGGAATACCTTCAACACGTATACGTTCAGCAGAAGCTTTTAAATTTTAGCGCGCCGTTCCGTGAAGATTCCAAGCTTTCCGGCATCAGGGTGCTTCGAACGCTCTCGAACAGATTAGGGGATTTTTTTCAGCGTGTCAGTATTAGTTTAAGCTTCAGTTGATATTATTTCGGAAATCTTGCGATGAAACCTCAACGCATGCATCTTAACCTGGATAATTACGGCTCTCTCAGCCTTTAGTTGTGAAAATAAAAGGACATATAAGCCATGCTTCACATTTAGTGGAGTGAATATCACATCGGCAGAACGAAGAATATAAAAAAAAAAAACGCTGCGATGGATCACAACTCGTTGAGATGCCAGTAAATGCTGTGGTAAATTTTTCAGTTATGAAATCATAAATTCTTGATGAAACTGAAATTTTTCTTGGGATTTTTGGGTATTGCCGTTGCGGTTGAAAGGGAGCATATTGGCTTAGAAGGTGTGTGAAAATCTGCTTATCGTTCCCACTAAATACGCTGATATAACCTAAAAGATATGCTTTCAAGATTTCACCTCTGTGATTTGAATCGTACAAAGAAAAACTTAAAAGATTCTAGATTCTGTTCTTCTGTGTAAAAGCGTGCTGCTTTAAATCCCTCGTGTTATTTTTTTTATGTTTACTCAGCTTTTTTGATAAATTTGAAAGCCAAAGTCTCTTTAAACGAAAAGGAGAAGTTGACCCATGAGTTTCGAAATCTATTGTCTGAAATAACGATGAATGAGGTGGCCACGAATCGAGATACTAATTCAGTTAAAACAACTCACCTTTGGTTCTGTATAGGAACATGGTACAAGAACGGAAATGAGAAATATCGGTAGAAAATACATGATTGTTATGGACACGAGACTCAACGCAAAAAAACGCCGTTAGTGGCGCCAAAGGCACATTTAACTGCTGTTTAACCAGAAAATTAAGGGAAAAAGATTATGGTTTCTCATTGGTTGATTCGATCGTGACGTTTCGTTTATCCGGGTCTAATAACAAATGCTCCTCATCGCTCCTCAAGAGTGTCTTCATGACACCTCAAACCGACCACAATATCGCAATATTTTGATTTCATGTTTAACGTGACAAAAATAGGTACCAGTGTTCGGTCTGGAGTTAGGCTGTAATAACAGATAAAGATTTTGGCTACTTTTCGTCAGTTGTAGCTGTTTTTTTCGTTTTTTAACTAAATCGTGACTGGAAATAAGCTATTGGCACTTGGAAGGTTGACAAAATTTACATTTTTAAGAAGGTTCAAGACACGTTAACTTTTCATCAGACTTTTATGGCCAAACAGATCAAGACGATTAGAATTTCGCGATTTAGTTCTAAGCATCGTAATTTTCCTCGACCACGAGTCGCTGTGATTCAGAATTGCAAAAATTTAAACCAGTACTAATGCACTGGTGCTTGTTTTGGATTAAAGATTATTCCATAGAAACGTACGGAGAGTTTACAAAAATTCTTCAAAACACACGAAGTAAATTTTCGTTGTGATTTGCACTCAGAGAGCGTTTTCTGGACTCTACGAGAAACTTAGAAAACGGATCTTTTCAGAATTTCATTTCATCTGACTAAAAAAATCACATGTCGCGTTCTCTTTAAAGCAAAACGACTTTCAATTGTTTCATTACGCCGTGAAAAGTATCAACACTACTAACACACGCAATTCCAACTGGAACAGGAAATAAAACCATTTTTGTTGTTTCTGGTTTCGTTTGAGTAAGTCCTCTGTAATCATCATTTTATTTCTTTAATGACTGATTTCTTGTAGTTTACCGTGACTACTTTTACAAGACGCCATTTTCTTTTCTTGGCAGTGTGAGTTCGCGACACTTGAAAATTTCGCGATTTTTGAAACTTGCTGAGTATTGCAAAATAACAGTGTTGTGAATATCATATGCTTGGTATGAAATTTGGTTTTAAGGGTGTGTTTCACATACGCCAAATAAACTGAATATCAATATCGACCACAAGTCACATATCGCGGTATTGCATCCCAAGAATTCACTACAAGTGCAAAGATTCGACCCCAAAGTGTATTTTTTGGAGTTAATTCCGAGAATCACTTAAATGAATCATCTTTTAAGTCTATAGACTTGATGACCTTTTTAGGAATGCCGAATTTCAGGTACAATATTCTATTCCATTCCTAATCTCAGTTACTATAAATAGAAATCTTTGAACTTATGGCTGTTTACAGCTTTCGAAGCATCGTTTGACTTTATCTATTTCCCGACACTTTACTCGTAGAATGCATGAGTCAATCAATCGATTCGAATCCATTTAAGTTGCCAGAAATTACTTTTTTGCCTTGCGTAAATTCTTTTTACCATGCTAAGGCATTTTAATCGAGTGGGTTTGCGTTGACTGCACAAAACTGCGAGGATTTCGATAACCTTGGCGTCACTGAAACGGTGTTATGAAACTAGTGATGTCACGGAACTAGTTGTGTGTTGCTCCGCCATGTGAGGTCACGTCGAAAAGCACGGCTGTTTCAAGAAACATAATCACGTTTTGTCTACAAAAGAACCAAAAAACAAAGAGTAATTTACATTTTGATTAAGGCTGAGAAAGATATTAGATATTTGTTTATTTAGCTGAGCTGTCCATTCATCAAACTCCGTCTGTGTTATTGATTCAGTTTACTATTTCAAAAAGAACAAAGGGTTTTTTTTTACAGCAATTAAGAGTAAATTTTAGCTTTTATAACAGCTAAACTGTTCGTTATAAACGGGCTTTCTTTAATTAAGAGGTTTTGTTTTCGCACTTCTTGTTTGGGAAAGGAGTTGAAAAAGACTGAACCTAGTTAAGAAGTAGTGCATTCCGAACAACCTTTGAATTTTGAACTTGCTTTGTATTGATCATTTCTACTCTCAAGTTACTTGATTTTACGTCTCGATACGAATTTTTTCATACACCTCTCGAGAAAGATCTTTCTGATACAAATTTTTGCGTAATCCATTGAGCTTTTAATGTTAACTAAACGAAATCTTGACACCGTCAAAAGCGAAACTCCTCAAGCGGTGGAAATTTGAAAGAGGCTTGAAAGCTTTGATGGAGGTCTCAATGGGGTTAACCGTCAAATGGCCAAAATATTAACCGCCAACCGCCAATAACGCAATATTTTTACCGTCAACCGTCAAATAAGCACGCCTAATGTCTCAGATATCCTTAATTACGAACCAAACGGTAGTCTTCAATGGGGTCAAGTTCTGCTGTTTTTGAATAAAAGTTTTAATATACCACAAAAATACATTTATGGGCAAGTCATTCAAACGGAAGTCCGTTCTGTCAGAACGGACTTCCGTTTGAAGGATAATTCATCTCGATCGTGTTCATATTGAGCCACTTTTACCCAACCCCGCCGCCCTTTGCGTTTCTAGTGACGTAGTATATGTAGATGATGAGCAAAGAGCGATTTTTCAAGTGACTTTGGAAAAGGACGGAGTTGCTATCCGGAGAAAGTCGCTTAAATTGGTTGACTATCCAGCAGATGTAGCCGCGATAGAATCGCTGGCTGTTGGTGGCCGGTTGGTTTATTTCGTTTCCGTAAAGTGTCCAAGTAATGTTAGTCATTGGTTTATATTAGTTTAATTTAGGGGGTGGATCATTTGATACGGTGTTAAAGAACGAGACAAATTCTTGCTCAGAAATCAAGCGAGTTGAGCCCTTTAAAAACTCGTTGGCCTTTTCAGAATTTAGAGCTCATCAGGTCAAAGCATATAACCCAGTCGACAATGTAGTAACGATTCAAGAGGGGAGTGGTCACAGAGGAAATGAAGATTGGACTGTAAAAAGTTGCACCTTTGTTCAACCACACGGAATTTGCACTGTTGGGGAAACAATATTCGTGACGGATGCGGCAACAGGGGTCGTGAAGCTCATCACTGAGCAGTCGGGTACAACACAATTCTTGAAGCAACTAGGTCTATTGTATGATAGCTTCGGAATAACCTGCAAGGGGACAGCTTCTTGGTTGAGCAGGTTATTAATGCGTCCAGCGGTAGCAAAAGTGATTAAAGTTGATTTGCTGATTAGACACATAGTTGAAGACCAAAAACCTAATTTTTAACGCACCAATTATAGGATTAATTTGATTATTAAAATATGGGGAAAATTGAAACCTTTTACGAAAAATTACGGCCAAATTCGCGCGTATATTTCGTTTTATAGACGATATTCCAAAAAATTTAACCGTCTATCGTCAAACGACCTAAAATGTAACCGTCAACCGTCAAAACGGTTTATTTTTAACCGTCAACCGTAAACGTGACGTGACCGCTTCCTTTGCGACCCTCTTTGATGCTTATCGGCAAAGTGTAATTTTAACCAAAACAACGAACCGTTTTCGAAAATATTTGATCACGTAGACATAATGGGTTGACAGGTCCCACTTCTATCTCCCTTCCCTTATAAAAACAACGTTGATATTACAACATATCGGTTCCTTTTATCGCATCATGTAACTACATCTGACTTTTTCCACATTTTTCTTCGAGTGGGTACAAGTTTAGATAAAACTTAGTTATCTAGGTATTATAGGTAAGACCAAGTTTTATCAAGTAAGCTTTTGCTGTTTTCAAAACTCTTGAAAAGACAATCCGGGTTCCTCGGACATACAACTCTAACACTAGCACCATTATGAAGTTATTAATGCAAATACTCCAGCAATTTTATAAATCTTCTGACCTTTTTTTTCTGGTTGAATGAATGTAATGTAATAAAGACAAATTAAATTTAAAGTCCTTTTTTACTTTAATCCCAGTGGATTATTTTATGTATTGTGAAAGTATGCGAGAAAAAACACGAAGTAATTCATTGAATCAAAGATTTGTTAAAAAATACATTTTTCAACTGTAAACACGCCACGGCAGAGATTTATCCAGATTTATCAGTGATTGCGCGCGCGAGTGGAATGACGCTTAAGGCTGGTACATTTTTCGGTTTGCGAAAGGTATTCTGAACGCAAAACGTTTTCACCTTTACAAAAGCGTGATAAATTTGAACCGTTTCTACCCAGAACAAATCGATCCTTAATTTAAATTTGATTGAGTTACTAAACAAGATTTAGACCCTCTGAGAGTTTTAGAATGCGGTAGAATTTCAAAAGTTGCTGGTATATGTTGTTCACATCTTTACTAAATCAAAATTCTACATTTTTGTTTCATTTTGCTTTATCAGCTTCTACTTAAAGTTTTCGTTTGGTTTTGTTAACCGAACACTTCGTTCAAATTGCCCGCTCAGGCATTTCTACTCTTATTTCAAACGTCTTGGTAATTTGTTTAATAACACGACAGTGCTTCAGTTGCGCTTTTTTCAATATTTTTAGGTAGACTATCTCTTGTATAAAAGTAAAAATATTTCGCAGTCTTAACTTACCTTTGATTTGACAGGAGGATCTTGAAGAAATAGCAGGGAACAGAACAGAATCAAACCGAATGAAGACATGTCTGCCGTGCCGGTACGTTAACTGCAATGATTTGTTGAACTGATATGCAAATCGCGTTTGAAGTCGGTCATCCGTGACTTTGGAACGCAATACAGTCTATAGTTGACGTCGCCATCTGACAACCAAACACGTTCGAGCAGACTATGGAATATTTTCTAAACAAAAATATTCCAAAACAGCACCAATCAAGTTTAATCGCTCTTTTTCATAAGTAATACCAATTTTATTTATCTGAGGAAATCGCTGGCTGATAAACGCGATAAACGTTTGAGATACTGGTAATACAAGTAATAAACGGAAAAGAAGAACGCATGAAAATCAACTGTTTACGCAAAGAATATTTTATGTTAGTTCCCTAGATCGAATACAACTTCCGATTTATATTAGAAGAAGATAGTGAGACTTAAATCATTTTTAGCGCGTTCTTATCATCCGTTCCAAATTCTTAAGTGACTGTATACGGTGTCAACAAGAGAAAAACAGTTGATATTCTCTTGGTGTTAAAAAAGAAACGTTCGTTGATTCACCGTTTTGTTTTTTATTTAATTTGTATGCTTTTCAAACTGTTTTTGTGTGCTTTTCTCGATGGGTTGAAAGCGCGGGCTTTAACGATCATACGTGTCTAGATCTTTCCTATATTAATCGCAGATTAACAGTTTTAAAAACTTTTATCTGCTTGACCTTGCCACTGACGTCATATCTTTAAGAGCTAGTGAAATCTTTCGGGTCAGAGAAGTTAATCCCAGATAAGCTGTCAAGACAGAGTTATCTCGATGGACTTGAGAAGTTACTGGTCTTGAAAGATTAGAATAAATCGAGATAACACGAAGACTTAGCAGCAAAAACTGGAAAACAATGCGCAGAATAATTTTTCATTATTTAATTAGCGCAAATGCAATACCTAAATTTTTTACCGAAGTAATGCTGGGTGGATTTTAGCAAGTAGCGTACTGGCTGGATAAGATACTCAAATATTTACCTGTCCAAAATAATGAGGTTTTCCTCTGGTGCGTATCAACTCGATTTGAAATTTGACAAGTTAGATCCGTTTACATCATTAAAAAAAAATGAAGAGAAAAGAAAGTAACCCAGCGCATTGTTCTGAAATCAATCAATTGCTGCAATTGATTGATTTCAACTGTTTCCAGTTGCTTTTGGTGTCGTTATATGTCACTGGGGACGTTATTAATGGGCCATTCGGAAGTTATTAACCGCCACGGGACCATGAACGTGAGATCATTTAAATACAGAGGAGCGCGCGCCTGAAACTCGACACCAGTAACCTGACAAATTTAAAAAAGTATTTTTAAGTTCTGAGCGTATTGCTCTCTCTCTCTTTTTAATTTAGGTTGGATTTAGTATTATTATTATTGTTGTTATTATTATTATTATTATTATTATTATCCTTTATATTATCATTATTAGTAGTATTATCATTTTAGTTATTATTTTATCTTTACTCGTTCAACCAAGACATTGTGAGTGTAGTTATTTGTCTAAATTTTGGGGACGACGCCAATAGAATCAGGAGCAACGAGACTTGGTACCAACAAATGTAACATCGGAAGAAAATCTCGAGATCAACAAAGCGCTTTCTATAAACTTGTTTTTCAAAATAGAATACGATTTTCGTTTGGAGTGGAGATGACAGTTTTATTGATCATTTGATTCAAATTTCCCTTAAATAAGCCGTTGACTGACGTGAATGTCAGAAAATAACGGAAATTAACACCACTTTGATACTCTTCATCTTTGGATGTTTTGTACGTGCAACTCGATCGAAAAGTCACGTCCTTGATAAACGACTGATTCTTACAGAGCACCCTATGCAACGTATTTCGTACATTGTTTACGAAACTGAAAAGACAAAAAGAAGTATTTGACGTATTCCATTTATTAAGATTTGCAAGAGATCCCTTCACCTAAAAAATTCCATTTTTTGTTTAAACCAAGTTCAGTTGAAGATCTTTATTTGGTAACGACCGAGTTTGGTACGCAGGTGCAGTTATACTTCAGGAACGATTCGCCTGGAGAACAACGTGGCCGCGGTGTCGGACAATCGCATTCGCACGTTTTTTTGTTCAGAGCTTTTCCTTTTCTGGTACATCGATCTTTAACTTTCCGCTTGCAGTCACACTCGCAAATGTCTGCATTCCATTCATGGTTTGGGGACTTGTCGCAAATTTTGGGTGCGGAGTTGCATTCACATTTGCACGTTTTCTCTTTCCAGGACATTTTGGTTGAGTCGCATGAACTGCTCTTGTCTTGTTTGCACTCGCACTTGCACTGGTCTTGTACGAAGTTGTGAATTTTAGCATCACACTCCGACTGACGTGTGATACAGTCACAGCCACAAGCTGTATGATTGTAGACAGTGATATTCACAAGTTTAAGGTCGTTGATTTTCAATACCTGTATGACGACCTCTTCCTGGCGTTTAACTGTACAGTTTAAGAGCTGTTGCGACCCTGAAAAAGACAAGCGCATGTTACTTTCATTAAGAGTCGATAGGCATGATGGCCTTAACAATCACGGAGACAATCACAGAGATGATGACACTGATAATGACAATAACAGTGACAATAGCTTGAACATGGACGAGCACGAGAATGACTATGACGTTGATAATATATAATGACGATAAAATAACAACGACAAGGACGACGACAATAACAATAACAATAACGGCGGCAATTGGGACAAGAAGAAGGACAAGGAAAAGGAAACAGGCACGGAAACGGACACGGACACGGACACAGACAAGTACAAGGATACGACACGGACACGGACACTCACAAGGACAAGGACAAGGACAAGGACAAGGACAAGGACAAGGACACGCACACGCACACGCACACGCAAACGCACACGCACACGCACACGCACACGCACACGCACACGCACACGCACACGCACACGCACACGGACGAACGGACACGGATGAACGGACACGGACGAGGAGAAGGACACGGACAGGGGCACGGACGAACGGACATGGACACGAACACGCACAATCAATGAATGAACTTACCTATACATCCACCGAGGCACCGGTGGAGTATGACCACATTCGGAGAGTATTGATCGTGTGTTGGCTTTTGCAATTCAACAAAAGTAGGAAAGGGCCGACAAATATTGGGAGGAATAGGAATTCTAATTGGTGGCTTGTTCGCATTCCCTGGAGAAGACAGAAGGCAGATTTAGCAAAGTAACTTCACTTCCATCGTGTGAGTTGAGGCTTGAAGTTCAAGAATTCACGGATATTAAGGAAAACAAAACGGTGACGGCAATGAAAACGAAGCAAAATAACAGATTTGATGAACAGAAGAACATAAATCTCTAAAATGTTGGGTCTGAAAGCTGAAGCCCCGACGAAAGATTACTCTCGTCTCTACTTCGAGCCCAACGCTAGATTTATATGATTTGGAAACGGGGAGATCTGAGGCCAAGTGACGGACCACAAACCGCGCTATTCGCGAACTATGATTCTTAGGAAAAATGAGTCTTTTAAAGTTTACTTTAGCGTCGCTTCTTTCCCCGGTGTTGCTATCGTGAAATTTAATCTTATATTTAATTAATATCTATATAAACAAATTCCACGTTGATCAAGAACACTCAACTGGCGTGGATGTGCTACCGCTACGAATATAAGATATTCCGATTCAAAGCAATTTTTCCTCGGGTATCGAAAGTAATTCGTTCAGAATTATAACGGATTTGTTCTACTTCACTCTGTGATTGGATCAGAAAACAAGCACCACTTCCTTCAACCAATCATCTCACTCAATTTTTCCCGCACTGCACGCAGTGTGCTTGTTTTTACTTAGAGTTCTCAATACCCCATCGCCTCGTTTTCATTCAGTGTGATTGGCCGTTTACTCAATCGAAGGGCGCTGCATAGGTTGATATCGGGATCGGGTTAACTAGTGCCTACTTACATTACTTCCAAAGCCCTCTACCTACATTTTTTTGTAATAATTCCTGTTGAGTGTGCCGTCACCTTGCAAAACAATTTCGTACGTTTTGATGGATTTGTGGTAACATATTCATCAGCAGCCACTCTTTTTGTGATGGCAGAGTCCTGTAAATTATAACAGAAGGAAATAGAAGAAAAGCATACAGTACTTTATTTAACCGTTTAGCTCCAACTCCTCGTCTCCTACAGCTAGTCCTTAGCATTTGATGTTTTATTTAAACAACTTCCTGAAGTTACTACTCTTTCTAAAAGGACTCAGAAGTACACGCTTGCCATCGGAACGCGGAACGATGTAGCCTCTGAAAACAGCCTCGTGAAGTGCCCAGAACGAAAAACCAAGAAAACGGTCATTTCCTAAATTGAATTTGTAGTTGTCGGTGAAGTTTCAAGGTCATTTCCTTTGGACTGAACTCTTGGTCTGCGGAATAACTCAAGACATAAAGTGAAGGTAAAAAGCTGTTCAAAACAGCGCACTTACCTCGTCGTAATCAGGCTCGTCGTCGTTATAAATTTGTCCCTCGTCTTCTCTCAAGAAGTTAGGCCCATCGAGATCATCAAACAAATCACTCTGAAACTTTTCAATTTTACAAGTTCAGTTTCTGATTTGAAATCTAAAGCTTGAGAGGTTATGAAAAGCATATGGGTCGCAACATACGGGTTGACTCTTTAACTCCTTCATCAATTTGTAATTCTCCTTACAGTTAACCATACAACTCTTGTAATTTTGGTTCAAAGAATTAAGTATTGGATCAACTAATTATCCCCAAATTGATATTTTTCTTTATTCTCATCACTCATCTGGTTGATATTTTATTGATATTGTAAGGAGAAATTCAGTCTTGGTCACTCATGGGAGTTAAAGGGTAAGAGTAAATCGCGGAAACAAGTTGCAATGACCAATAGTTTCTTGCGATGAGGAAAAGTTTTGGAGAAATTCTTTGTCCCCGCGATAGAATTCTTTCCCTGCAACGAGTCACACAAAGCAGATTTGGTTTTGAATTTATTCCATGATCTCAGCGAGGAAATTCGTTCGGTGGAACGACATTTTATGAAAGTTATTCACATATTCAGCTGCCTATCGCATTGAATTATTGCCAGATGTGTTTCTTAGCTCTATGGTCGGCGCAAAATAAGGAATACCGTTGAGGCGAAAGCAAGAGATGATTTTTTCGAGCAATATCATTGTTATATTGCCAAAAATCTGTGATCGAAAGAGGTTGGAAATTCTGCTCATTTAAATTTGTGAGATAAAAAAAGAACTTACTCCTGATAATATATCATGTTGTAGAGACAGGGTTTTATTCCCTGCGCAAGCTGGAGGGAGATATGCAGATTTGGACGTGTGCGACAAAAAACTGACCTCATCCCATTTTGTCTCAGAAATCCTGTAGCAGCGAAAGAGATTTGTGATCGAAAGAGGTTACGTGGAAATCCTCTAGTTTGTGTTTTTGCAGGAAAAAATTGTAATAATTAAATGTGAATACGACTTTATCAAAATGATTTTAAAACTATGACATAATCTCCATTGGGCTTCTCATGAACATAAAAATTCTCTTAAACGGCATGAACCACTTATACAGTTGTCGTACCCATTTTTTGTTTCTACAAATAACATGTCTCTTGTCAGTGACCAGAATGAGATAAAGCAGTGATGAATTTTGAATGGAGAGTACAAACTGCTTGAATGTAAAGATGTCGAAATTTTTTGATTTGGTGAAACCTGTTTGCGTTTGATAAATATAAAAAAAAAAGATAAAAGTTTGTTTTTGCTGCCAACTAAATGATGAGTCAAAAAGCATGAAATGCAAATTCAGACTATCCAAATTTTATTCATATGCAGAGAAAACCAAGGAAATAAAGAACTTTGTTTATCTAGGAATGTTTTGATCCGGCTGTAGATATATGTCCCAACCTCTGGTGATCGTTCCTTATGAAAAACGGGTGAAATTGACTAATCTTTGTGAAAATTATGAACTTTGAGACACGACAAAAACCAAAAACTTTAAAGTCATGCATTAAAATAAACTATTTCAATTAAAAAATGTAATTCCATTCAAATTGCTTTGATCGTAGATACACTAACGAAGGTACCCTTATGAATATTTTTAAACTAAAATCCATCACACCTTTATACAAAAGGCTGGGATTTGAAGTCTTTTATTTATATAGGTATCTAAAGATGCAGGGGATATTTTTCTAACCTGTGCAAACACGTTTTATTATGGTCAAAAAAAAGTGTGTTCATCAATTTTAAGAAGTTATAGATTAGTATATTATATGTTGTGTAAGTTCTGAAACATGAATCTTCGAAGAAAGCAATGGACCTTCATATGTCGTAATAACTCTGACATCTTTTGAAGTTTTCCCCAACTGGTTATTAGAAACATTGCAGAACAAATTTTAAAAGGGATGGAAAAGTTATATTACAGACTAGGTACAAACTGATTTAGTTGAGTTTTCGATTGCATGACAGCAAAAAAATCTACTTTTTTGAGAAAAAAAATCAATTTATGTTCATTACGTGTAGATAGAAATTTCCAGCTTGAGAGTTTTTGTGCTTTTAAGTGCTCTTGGAAAAATTTCCTCGAAATTTCTTTTCAAAAGTGTCTTTTGTGTGTGGCCACTCTACATTTTCTGTGTTGAAAATTTAGTTATATGTTAAAAATGATCACAATTGGTTTGCCGCTTGTGGCTTTTGATTGGATAGGAAAACTTAGCTGTTTGGAAAATTTTAGATGGGAGTCTTTTCGAACCAAAATGTTAGCAAGTAGAAATCAAAAACCAAGCATGGGATAAGCTATTGCAATCATCAACGGTCGCTGCACATTTCGAGGTGTTAAGATGTATTTTTGGTCTCACATACGAATAATTTCTTCTTTTTCTTTTTTTTTTCAAAAGCAAATTGCTGTTATTTGAATGTCACAGAGCTTAAAATTTTACCCGGGCAACATTAAAAGTTAAAAGATCACGGAGTGCCGCAACGATTTCAAGCGTCGCAGAACGTGCCCTAATATTTTTTTTCTTGATAAATTTTCTCTTCCTGGTTAGATATTTCGCTGTTATCACCTTTCACTGAACTGAATTTTGGTGCCTTATCTCTCATATACTTTTACTTGAACCCAATAAAAAATTAGCCAAAACAACTTAATCAAAGCAATGGAAATTTGTATATTCAAATCATACAAGGTAAAAACGACAATTTCTGTGAGATCATATCTGTATCTCTAGCTATTCAAAACTGCGTTTCTTATCAAACAGAAATTTAATTTTTAAGACGAAGAAAAAATGAAAGAAATGCTTTGATCAAAACGGCTTTTTCATGCTGTTAAATGTATGATTCCATAATTCTTGTCAGAGAAACAGTCTCGATTCTAGCAAAGGTGAGCAAGCTGAGCTACGTAAAGGTACAAGTGTATTGTACCTGAATTTTATATTCATGGCCATTCTGGCGATATACCACTTAAAAAAGGCTGAGAAACCTTACCTCGGTTCCTGATATAATCTGCGATGTATGGAACCAGACCAAAGCTACGCAGAACAGAATTTTGAACATATTCTTTGAATCAAATACAGCGGGACAGCTGGTCAACTGTAGTAATTCGCGTCAAATCTCTGGTTTTGGGAGATGGGTATTTCTGCAAACGTTCTCTTCTTTATCATGGCTACCTATATACACGCGATCAGTAACAGATACTAAACTAATTTTTAAACTGCTTACGTCACTGCTAAAAGTGTCAATATCTTGAACACATCCAGGAAGGATTGAGTTTCCATGGAGACTCGGATCACTTTTGAACGAATCCTCTTAACGAAGATATCCTTATTTTTAATACAGTGCCATAAATGGCGGGTTTTTCTTATCCATTTGCGATTCGTAACATTTCTTCGTCGTTCCCAAACACAGAAATATGTCTTTTTTGTGTGTGAAATTGTGTTTCGACGCTATTCTTATGTAACAAGATACACCTTGAAAATCCCTCCTTTAAATTGCTAACGTATATACGTGTAACAAACACCCATTTCCTCTTAAAATATTTACTTCGGCAAAAATACCGCATGGAAGTAAACTCTTAAACACTTGAAAAGTATTTTATTAATAAAAACTGTTTGCAGTCCGTTTTAAAGCAGTTAGGGAAGAAATAATATATTTAACTGACAAGTTTTCCCGAGTTTGCACCACTCAAAGTCATAACGAGACCTCGTTTGTCAAAAAAGGAAAAGAGAATGATTAACAGAGCTAACTTCTGGAACTCTTCAGATTGCAAAAAGAAAACCGTGCAAATATAAGCTAAGCTTAAAATGATACTCTTAGCTAACGTAAAGACAGAAAGAATTACATAGTCATTATTTGAGATTAAAAATTTTTAGTACTTCCGGTACAAAGCTGTGGCCTTTAGAAATTTTTCACCCTTTCATGGGTTTTCCCCAGTAATCCCACTTTGTTGCAAAAACAAATTTTAATGAAAAATCTTTTCTTTGGTAACACTGGACGCGTAATAAACAAAATTTTTGTTTGCTGAATTTTCTTTTCTTCGAAGAATTTTAAAATATAGTACAATTTATCCTCTGATATCACTCCGATTTCCGAGATTTACGTTTGCATTGTGTTCCGCCCGAAAGGTCTTTGATCGTGCGAAAAAATAGACATTTCAAGTGTCTTAGAGTGCAAAGTGATATCGTTTGTAACGATGTAATATTTTACGAATTTTTTTCTTAATTGCTCCGTAAACATCCCATCGTTTGCGGAAGACACTTACAATTAAGTGGTAAGAGTCCTTGGCGATTTTTATTCATTCAAATTCTTGTCGCGTTTTCGAACAAACTGTAGAGTACTCATTAAATAACTATAACTAGTATTGTAACGTATTGTAAAATATTGGTCTGCCCCCTTAACAAGTCATTACTTTGGATTTAGCTCCTTCAAAATCTGCTTGAAGGTTGTACAGGGAATTAGTTGACTTCTAAATTAATAACAGTATTAAAATGAAGAAATGAATTAAAACTACCAATCTCTGGCGCTTTCCACTGATGTCCAGATATAACTGGAATTACAATCTTGAAATAAAATTAGAGATTTATCAAAATTTTGTGAAAATTCGTTTCATAGTTTAGGAATAGAATAAAATGGAATTTTTATTGTCTACAGGTTATACTTCTGAAGAACGTTTTGGATCTGGGTAGGTAAGGGGACGCAGAACTCTATAAGTCCATGCGCATGAGAGTCCGTCGAGTATTTTCAGCGAAACGATCACGATGAATTGAAAGGACAAACATAGATTTAGCGGCGACTCGGGCTAGTCTTTGGCAGCCTGTCGTATGAATTCGAACTTAAGTTTTATAACCAGTGCATGATCAAAGTTAGGGAATGGAGAGCAAATTCACGCGAGTAAAAATTTGGAGAGAAACGAGCTTAGAGATCAACGCAAAGTTTGCTCCTTCCAATCAATTTTTTTTTTGGCGAAGAAAGATGGTAATTATCGAACACTATCTGTATCTCGGTGAGGATTTGAAAAATGCTTTCAAAATGGCTGATCCCAGCTGTAGGCAGGAAATTTGCCACAAATAAACTGTCATGATCTGGCTTTATCAACAGAAATGTAAAATGACCATTGTAAAGAGTGTCTAAAGCTGATATTTCGAGCTTTAGCCCTTTGTCAGATAAAGTGAGTCCTGTGCAGCTAACTTGTTTCAAAATCATGAGTTCTAATAATAGCCGAGACTCAGATTGTCAGTTCTTAATTTGTCCGGCTAACTCACTCGAAAAATTGAGGCGTCTTTCTTTATTCCACGATCGAGATAATGGACGAGTTTTTCCCCAGTCTGGTCTTATCTGTCAATTCAAATTATCGCCTGAACTTTAAGTCAATTGACGGAGCATTACAAGAAAATTTTCCCAGCCCTTCGCAAGATCGAAGCTGAACAGGTGAGCATTCTCTTGCAATAATGATACCTTAGGTCAACCATGCAGAATTATTTGTCAGTCTTTTGAAGAGAATTTTGAGAACGCAAATTTATTACAATATAAGATCAGTGTGACATAACAAAGAAAAACGCGATGGTCAGGTTATGTGAAAGTCTCGGCACAAGGGCTTCACTTTTTAGACAATACAAAAGCAGTTATCGTTTGTGAGAATTTTGTACTTCCGCGGTTAGAGTAGGATACCATTTATTATGCAGTATCACGAAATATCAATGAATTCACTATAAGAGAGGTCTAAAGACTCTTCGAATTATCTTAAGAACCTCAGCTGTTGTTGGTTGAAAACAAAACCTTTACGGTAATTAATGGCCATTTCCAATATATTTTAAACAGGAGACAAAATCTGACAAAGTACGCTCCAACGTCAGCTTTACAAACTCTCGGTGGCCAATTTACATCGGTCATCAACTCAGTTGATAAATTCAAATTATCTTGTTATACTTCCCCACCGACGCTTTACCACAGTTTCTTTAAAAATTAAACTTATTCCTTTTATTCACATGATATAATATACCTTTGTTGTTGTTTTTTTTTTCAATAGGTTCAAACTGGAATTCTTTTGATCCATTACGTCGTCAATTGCAAATAATCAATGTTTTCTGAATTAGCGGAAAAGGTGGAAGAGTAGAGAAAAATTCTGCTCTTAATTCTTACGTATTCTGCCCGCTTTCAAGAGAATCGTTAAATTGTACTTTTGTTGTTCAAAACTCCGGTCCAAAGAGCGAAATTGGCTCTATCCGAGCAGCTTTGAGTAAGTATTGGAAAAAACGCAGTCTAATTATCCAACTGCACAAAGTAGAGTACAAATTGCGCGTGAATAAAGTACGAATATCCTACGATATTGTAGGGTTATTTGGATAGTTGTTAATTTTTTTCTGTAAAAAAACCTGTTTAACAAGTCGGCTGCACGCGCTGCGCTTCTCGTTGTTTGCATTTTGACTCGCTCTACGGGCTCGTCACTACTCAGTCGTAAAAATACTCAGCAGTACTACACCCCGAAACGTCTATCAAGATATATATATATATCACGATGGCGGTTTTTTATCTTAAGTCGATAAATAGGAATATTTCGAAGTGTCAGTGGTTATCAGCCCTTCAGCTTACTCCTTTTAAGCATGAATTAAATTATTTCCTTCTCAGGAGATATTTATTAATATGGAAGCCATAAATTATGCGGCTAATTATGCTGGCAGAATTTTCAACATTGAGACATTGGGAAAAGCCATAGCTTATTTTTTTTGGTGATGAAAGCAACTTTTTATCAGTAAAATATTTTCCAGTGAGTCCTTAAACTGCTCTTAAAATTAAAAACGAGTAAAAAAAAAGTCTCCGAGCTTTCGGCGATCCACGGCATTATCAGCTGTTTATATTTAAAATTTGACCGAGATGTGTCTCTTTATACAAAAGTATAAAATTATACTCGTTAAGTCTTTCAGTGTAATGTCAACCTCCTTTCAGAATTTTTTTCAACACTTACTTTTAACGTCATATATCCCACTTTGCTATAATGCTTTGTCATAGATATTAACACCTGCAAAACTGCAAAGACAGAGGCGTAGCTAGTCAAGTTATAGGTGAAAAAAATCAACAAAACCACTAAATTATTTAAGGCTGCGGCACTTTCAAAAAGACGTTTCGGTAAACAAAAGTTCAATTGTAAAAAATCCGCCCCCACTTTATCTAGATTAGACATAAAAAAAAAGTGTGCGTGGTGATAAAAATGTTCGGTAATTTCTCTAGTCCTCCTCTCGTTGTACAGTGGTTTTAGGCTGTTAAAAACACTACTTTCCGCTTGGTATAGTGCATTAAGTCTTTTCTCTGAGATATAATTATGTATATTAGCACACGCATTGTAAGAAAACCTCAGGCATTTAAGAGTTACAGCTGAGCTTTGTGAAGATCTAAAAAATTGTCTTTGAATTTGTAGAAAAACTCTGGCAAATTTATCGATATAATGAGTCTTGTAGAAAAGAACACTGGTTTAGAGGCCGATAAATGTGCATAGGCCAAAACAAACCCGAAATTGGCCAATTTGGGTCAAATCTACCGCTCTTTATTTTTACAGTCAGGCCGGTCAGTGATATCATAATTTCTGTCCAGTGTGGTAATTTCGCGCAATTATAAAACATGGCGAACAACCATCTGTTCTCAAGTGATTAATTATACAGGAGTTCCACTAACTATTGATAACATCTTCACCGGACTATATATTGGACATTTAGCTTTTCATATCACTTACTTTTAAACATCAGCAATGAAGGTGATAGCGCTTTTGACGTTCCTGGGTTTCCGTCTGAATCCCTACACAGTTTCTGCGCGGTTGAACCCAAAGGCGATTATATACGACTCTTTGAAGGTAAGTTTTGTACAACGAAACATTATCCTCTTACATCATTGTAAAAAGTGATACCGACCAAGAAAATGAGTAAATATATGATATGGCAGCTCGAGCTTTAAGAAATTTTATCAACAGGGAAAAAATGGTTTTAATTTAAATGTAAAGAGCTGTTTTTCCATTTCATCGCGTCTGAAATAATGTGTTAAACAAACTATGCTCAATAAATAGCTAACAAATTTGACCTCTAAAAGAAAGAAGTTGACAAAATTCAGAAAGTTCGGAAAATTAATGATATTTTATACTTTTTTTTAAAAAGAAGCAGTGAGAATGTATCGATTGTGAAAGCAAATTTATTGAATGAAGAATTGTACCTTCAGCCTAATCGAGGTGAATGTCCTGACTCTTACCGCCCACTGAAACCGAAGACTCTGAAGTTTAATAAACGATAATGCAAACGCGATAACAAAATTAAAATAAAAACTGATAATGGTTTTCTTTCATGGAAACCGAGGCGTTTAAAATTTTAGGGTGAATTTACTCGTACTCTGTTCCATTTTCATTTTTTTTTCTGTTGTAAATATTAAAGATCTTGCTCAAAATCCATGTACCAGCTTTCAATTTTCTGATCTCTTTAGCCTTTACCAAAGACCTTCCCTTTACAGAAGACTCCTCAAGACAGGTGTAAAATAAGCGTGGCATATTTATTAACGTAATGTTGTGCCTGTAAATATATGAAGGAATCAATTGCTGATCTATCACGCTATGAAAACATGTAGACACAAGCCTTCTATTTCTGGTTTGAAATCCCTCTCGAGTTGACGTGACATCCTCTATAAAACGTTTTGGTTTTCCCGAGGGCTTCCTGTAATTTTTTGAAAAATCAGGGACATTGCAAGGTTTAAAGATATCTAAGGAGAAGTTAGTGAAAATGATACTGAATTTTTAATCATTTTCATTCATAGTACTGATGACACGGACTAGTATCAACGCTAGCTGGTATTATATATCGCTTTGACATGTTTCCAATTAAATAACACGCCCCCGCCAAAATCATTTGATCATGATATGATGCCAGATAAAACACCCACTCTACCACCGATGATTTTTATGAATAGAAAATCTTTACGATTTTTTTTTTAAATTTTGTAAAGTGACATTGACTCTGATAAACCCAGTGGGGACGAGCTATGAACGCATATATGTATGTATGTAAGTTTGTAAGTACTGATGAAGAGAAGGCGTGCTTGATTAAACGAAAAAGTGCTTTTTCTTTGACAAAATAGACTTCTGACGCGTTGTACAAGACAAGAGAAACGAGCATGGCCTCCATTTCAGAGCGTCAGTTGGGAAAACGGGTCTCAAATGAGAACGGTCCAACACAGCGCAGTAAGAAACACCTTCCTTTGCAGTATTTCTTCGAGATGTCACGCAACGGGAGGGAGCGTTGCGTTACATCTTAAAGTACAGCTGCGAGACTATATATGAATTAGTGAGGCAGATTTTCTTCCTTTTTCTTCTTTCTTTGTTTTGTTTTTTTTAATCTGTTTGTACCTGCCCTGGGTGCCTACTCTTAAAACAAAATTTATTATCTCTTCCGTGCAAACTAAAATGCTCTTAAAAGACTAGTGATTCTCCAAGTAACACTCTATCTTTCAAATTTGTTCGACCATTTTCTACATGAAGACCACTAAATGTATTTATCTCAAAAAAAATAACCTATGAGAAGATAAATTTTGTTTTACATTGACCACTCAGCATAATTAGCTCTCGTTCAGTAGACTACAAAAGAATACGGAAGCAGTAGATTTTACCGGCAAAAGGGAGAAGTTTCTGCCCGGAAAATTTTCAAAAAAACTATCTTGCACTCGACCCAGTGCTGGGCGCCGAAAAAAGTGAAAGTGGGCTGCTTTCATGATAGGGGCGGAACAGGAGAAAGACGCTACCGCAATTTTGAAAACCGAAAAGCCCCTGGGGACGATGTTAGAACGTGGGTTGTTACCATGACAATTTATAACAACTACATGGTTTTATGGCGGCTTTGCTTGATCTCTTGATCGTTCATTATTTTGAATTGAATAAATGTGTATTACTGATATCATCTTTCACATCACAAAGAAATCATCCCCAAGCAACTCATTTCCTTTCTTTCGCCTTTTCCGGGATATAGATAGAACTGGCAAGGTCGTCAAATTAGAGATGCAGTATTGTCGGCCATACCCCACCATTGTGCAAGTGAGCGATCCGTTGAAATGGGGAAACTTTTATTTACCCAGCTTTGTTGAGCTTCATCGTTGCGCTGGAGGCTGTCCTTTACATCCAAGTAAGTTTATTGGACGACCGTCAATAAATAATTAGCCCGGGATAGCGTTAATTTTGCTCTAAGAGTACATTCGTATGAGTGTCGTAATTTCTGAGCCAAGGTAATCACGACAACCAATCGATGGAAAGGAAAATATCACAAGGAACCAATGAGAACTTGAAGAAAAAGCGAGAAAACTGCTCGAAGCGCGTGAAAACGCGAGTAAATCTGATTGGTTAAGAAAATGGGGCGAGTTTTATGAATCGAACACTGAGTGGTGTTGGATAAAACCAGATATAAAGTAACCCAGAAACAAAACCATTGTCACTCAATTGAACTTGAAATAATTTAATCTTTTATTGGTTAAAAAAATGAGAAGATTACAGAGCCTTGGGGGGAATCAGGTACCTCCCTTCCCTCCACCTCACCCCTTATGGGCGATAACTAATGACCATTCTCGTACTTCTCGGCTACAGAATACACGAGTTACTTATATCGGATCAATATCAGTATCTGGGTAACTGCCCACTTGCCCCTCCCTTAACCCAACATTAACCCTAACTTGTTATCAATTGACTGTTGTTGAGTTAGGGGAGGGGTAGGTGGGCAGTTGCCCAGATACTGATATCGATCCCCTATATCAATGCATTCGTCGTTTCAGGTGTTGGTTACTGCGCAATGACTAAAGAAGAGAATGTAACAATTCTTGTAACTGTGCATGGACGCCAAATATTTAATAATCAATTTCAAGTTGTCATGAGTAACCACACTGATTGCTCATGCGCATGTGTGCCACAAAAGTGTCACCCCGGGCAACGATTCAACACTAACCAATGTAGCTGCGAGTGCACTGATGTTAAGGATAAAGACAGCTGTCAATCAACAGACAACATGCAGTGGGACAAGAATCAATGTCGTTGTGTATGCAGTATCACACGAACTTGCAACTTGGGATATAAATTTAGTTTGAATACGTGTCAATGTGAACCTGACGAGGAAGAAATTCTAGCAAGGCTGTAGGGTTACTTACGACCTCTGATTTAGGTAACATTTGCTCTTGTGAAACGTTATTTGCCGGAAATAAATGATACTTTTCAGACAAGTCTTGTCATGTTTATGGTCTGAACTCGCATGAATGAAGAAGACCTTTCTCAAAACTAAGACATTTTCACAGTAATATTCTTCTTCTTTGCAAAAATATGTTGGCTTGTCTAGATTCAAGGCTACGTCAAAAACAATAAAAGCTATTAACTTTGCGCAAAAACTGCTAAAAAAGGTAAACATTAATTGCACAAGGTTGTTAGAACCGCAAAAAGTTGCACCAGACGCCAAAAGTTGGTCAAAAGTTGCTCAGCGCAATGTGGACAGGCCTACACGTCACAAGATTCCAATTTTAAATTAGAATCTAGCGGGGTTTGATAAACAGGCAAACAAAGCGCATTATTGGACTTCAGAATATTCATAGTGCAAGTAAATTACTGTTTGTGTCCGTCGGAACAAGAGTTTCATACGAGCTGCAACGGAAGAGGGGAACGGGGAGGGCGTCACTGAATTTTCACGTATCCCAACTTTACGTCTTCTTTGATCCCCAGGTGGAAAGACACATGCACAGCTCAAGGCAGTTCATTTTCTTTGTACAGAGGGGAAAATAAAATGCTTTCAAAAGACCCTAACTACAGTAAGGTGTTTTACAAAGGCTCTCGACCTTTGAAACATTTTGTACTTTAAAACATATTTCTCAAATCACCAAAAGCGCTCGTCTTCGTTTTCAGAAAGTTTTAATCCCCAGTAAACCGAACTTGTTCAACTTTTTACCCGAAAAATCCGGCGCGTAAACCCATTTTTTTTCTTTCACCATACCACAACTATGCACCATGTGAACAATCCGAAGGAAAGAAGGGTCTCTTTTTCTTTTCAAGTGAATCGCGTATCTGTACTCTGCAACTGCCAGTTACCTTGACACACCATTGTACAAGTAAAAAAGAGATGTTTGGATACATTACATCATGCATTTTTGTGCTTTATTTAACATTCACTTCAACTTTTTCCTATAATTACCTAACTATAAAAGTGAAAAAGAAAAAAAAAAGTTTCTTTCAACGTTAATAGTAAATTCCAAAAGTTTTACTCGAGTTCTATATCACACCTAAAATTGCGTTTTCAACGAGTTTAATACAGCACATTTCTTTTCCCAGCTCTTGGAACACATTTACATGTGTCTGGGATCTGATTTTCGTCAACGTTACACCTTGTTTTGCAGTTACACCGGCAATTATTGACGTCACGCTCGTGAATTTGATCATTACATCGCACGTGACATTGACATTCGCACGCCTCGTGCTCTATCACGGGGCGGGTGGGGTTTCTCGCTTGAGGATTCATCACGAAGACGTCAATTGAACGCCATTTGGTCGCTGTGCAGTTCTGCCAGGCCAGACCATGATCACACGCGCCTTGGCAGCGATTGACCATTACAAACTGGGGATCATTTCGGACGTTTCCATCTCCATTTTGAACCGGTACAATTTTTGGGTAAAGCCCGCAACGAATCTCGGGCAGGATCTCCTTATCTAGGAAAAAACGTCAAATCAAAAGGAAGAAAATGATAAATATTTGTCTGGGAAACCAAAGGAAAGTATCAAATATTCGGTATCTGTATTTTTCTGAGGCAGAAAATTGATGCAATGGGAACCACCTTTGCACCACGACGAATTACCGCTGATCCAGGGTTCCCACAGCATATCTTTTGTACATAGAATGGGGAAAAAAGTACGTTTTGAGCTCTGCTGACCCTAGCAGTATGTTGGACGCGTATCATGTATGAACTTCGTAATGGGCTTAGCTCACCGTAGAGTTTCTGTGGCTCAGTGGTAGAGCATCAGAGCACGAGGTCTGAAGATCGATTCCTTATGGGAACTTAGAATTTTTTCTTTCTTTCACACTCATAGGAAGACGAAAAACATCTTTCTCTGACATATATTTTGTTCAACAGGATTACTATTTTCATGACTAGAACATGCTGAACAAGAATTTTCACCTCTCTTAGTTTGTCTGAATGTCTTGAACCCAGACCTCTCTCTCTTTGCCATATCGTTAGGTTCCAGTACATCAATTTCTTCATCCTGAGGGGGGAAAAAAAGAGGAAAGAAATTTGAATAAATAATCTTCTTTGAAATGTAATGTCTTTTCCGTCGCACTGAAACGCTAAGCCAGTGTGTTCAAATTTTCAACTTTAAATAGCGCCCCGGTAAGAAATGTTTCAGATAATTTATCCAATTTTGTGCAGGGAGAAGACTTATCTCAAGGAATCGAAGTTACGCCTTTATAATCAGCCGAAGAAAGCTTTGATTACTACAGCTTCCCTTTAAACTTTTGAGCGAGCGAAGCTTAGAGACCAGTTGAAAAAAAATACATCATACGCCAGAAGTTGGGGGAGTGAGGAAAGATTTTGGCGGGATCACATGGTTTTCAGCGGGAATGGAGGGGGATTAGTCGTCGCTAACAGAGCATAAAGGGAGGACCACCGAAAGTTGACAGTCAATGAGTAGGGATCATTAGATTACCGCGAAGCCTAAGAGGAGGGGGGTCTGGTAAATTTTACTGTGACATAGGCAAAATCCTCCGACTCCCCGCCCCCACCCCCTTCCCCACGCCGGTATATAATGAAAAGTGAATTAAAGGAAGCTGAACCACCATGTTTATTCATTTCCTTTTCCAGCGCTGTCTAAAACGCGTAATTGAATTAAATGCAAATGTTTAATCGATCGAACGCAGCTTTTAGCGTTGCTAGGAAACCTTTCAGCTTACTAGTAACGTGCAATGGTTTTTTTTTGGTTTTTTTTGTTTTTTTTTGTTTTTTTTAACTAGAGTCGCGGTGAAGTTATATTTAGCTCTGTAAAACACGCATTGTCCCCTATTTTCAACTTAATTTTTTAATGTTCGGAAATTTAAACCGGAGGTACTTAGGCTTAGGAAATTAATTTGACATTTGAGGCGGCTAATAGAGACATTTGTTTAGAACGCCCCTGTTTCCTAATCGGTTTCCGAAGTTTTATCTCTGCTTATGATAAGCAATAAATTAACTTCAACACTTTGCTGGAAAAACCAACAAAAGACTAAGGAAGCCAACAAAAAAGCAGGGAAGCCATTCAAAAGGGAAGAATCCTTTGTTCTTTCCACGACAAAATCTAACAAAAGAAATTTTAAAAATTGGATTCGCCATAGCTGCTATGAATTTTTCTCCTGGGCTTCTTAGATCATTGAAAGGCGTGAGACAACAAAGAAATATGGACTATGGTAAAATAGATGCACAAAACTATGCAATAAAACAACGGTGCGCAACAGGTTTCCTGATAAAGTTGGAGGAGCGGGCAATCTTTCTCTTTCAAATTCACCCGCAAAAAAGATAAATTTTTTCTCTCGCCCAATTTTTTTCCTTTCATAGACTAAATTTGTTCCCAAACGAATACACCACGTGAATCGATTCATGAAATAACGAAGCAAAAAAGCAATTGTTACAAAGCGATTTCTGTTTTTTAACATGGGAGAAAAAAAAAATTCCTTATATGAGAATTTTTTTAAAGATAGTCACAACCCTTTACTCACCCCAAGATAGCTTCTTTCGCCAAAGCTTTTTGAAGCCAAAATTAGTGCAACACAAAGGGTCCAGCGGAAGAAAGTCTGAAAAATCATAGTTGTGCTCCTCACCGTGGTATTAGCGGGAATGAATCCGACTGGAGCGGATGTTCGGTCTTTGTAATGTAGGCTTTTATAAACAATCTGCTTGCATCACATGCTCACATATGGGCGTGCGCCACTCACACACGCAAATGGTTTCTTACACGACGGGAACGCATTGTTTTAAAAAGTCAGGAATTATGTCTTATTTTGGCGGCTGAGATCTGCAAGGTGTCTCTATTGTAAAAAAAAATGCAGTTATTCAAACAACTGAAAAACGAGGGCCTTACTTTCTGATCGAAATTTATCTTTAATTGTCTAGTTCATCGTTTGCTACGAATATAACAAAGAGGTTTGTACTTTGCGTTTTAGTTCCCTAGTCTATCAATATAAATAGGCCTAATGCATTCTTATGTTACTTGCTCCGCTGAATAAATATGGTTGATTGTCTAAAGTTAACTTCCTCTTTTTTGGTCCTTATTAAAAATTAATTCACGTTCGTTTTGCATCTAAGTGGGTGCTTTGGGGAATTTTTTTAAGAACATCAGCATGAAATTTTTCAATTTCAAAATGATATTGTATCAGTTCGGAGGGGTTAAGTTAATTTCAACGGCAGAAATTCTCTCAATAAAAGATCTGCTTATTTTTGACTAGAGAGAAGGGAAAGAGATTAAGACGAACTGTGTTCAATTCAGTTCCTCCTGCTATGTTTGGATTTTTAATTCATCTCTTTTTAATTAATCTTAAGAAGAATCGTGTATTTTTCCAAAGCTGTATAATTTAGCCGTGTATAAAATTTAAATAAAATTTGCGGTATCTTAAAAGCAGCACACCATGTTAGTTTCATACGCACGGCGTGCTTAGGTAATGAATTTGCGCCGATATTTTGGGACAATACAATGTCCTAATAAAACTCATACTGTGAATTAGTCTCAGTAGGATTGTTAAACCAACATACCTCATCTTGTTTTAAAACTTAAAATAGATCACAGATAATATATATCTCTACGTATATATATATATATATATTTTTTTTTTTTTTCAAGCATATGTCCGATTCACTTTTCATTTTAGCTGAAATTACGAAGCAGAAAAGGAAGCTTTAATAAAGTTTCGATAAACTGAATACTCTTATATTCTAATACTAAGTTTTTATAAACTGCATTTTGAAAACATGATTTCGGATATAACTTCAAGCTGGTGTTCATCTCCTTCAATTACCAAACTGGCTGTTCTCGGCCCAACAGGAATTCGTTTATCAAAGTAAATATTTTGATAAGAATAATTTCCCTTTAAATTCTGTTTTATCGATTATAACTTCCCTGCGCGGTTAATTTACTAATTCGAAAGAAGCTTACGAAGCTATTGAGAGAGGCTACAGAAAACTGCGCCTAAAGAACAGCTTGCATGATCCAACACCATGATCAAAATATTTTTAAAATTCAGTGTTTTGTGTAATTTATCTGAAGAGGTGGGAGAACGCGTTCTCAAATGCCAAATTCTGATTAGATTAGATGCGTGGTCGCCGTAGTTCACCACAAAGTACTCGCAGCGAGATAGAAAATACCGGAAACTCGCGATAAGACTAAATGAACAAGTGTGGTTAAGTTTGGATGAGATGATTTAACAGAAATAACAATAGAAGGCCAGACTGCAAAATTCGGCTAATTTTTTCAGCCTCCAAGACTGAGCGAAATTACTTCCCGAAAACATTTTGCTATGGCGTAAATTATTGTTCGATCCAGAAACAAGCTCTAAAATGGTTTCTGTCTCTTCATAGTTATAAGGTTGTTTGCTCTTCAAGATATCATTTACACCATCTACAATTAACACGACAGCAGTGAATTTTTTTCTACCAGTGCTTGTAAGCGATAAATGTTCAATGGAAACTTAGCTGAAGTCTATTTTTAATTTAAAAAAAAAAAAGAAAAAAAAAAAAAAAAAAAGCCGAGGATCGACATGCTGTTTAAGTCAGGGTCCTGTGGACCACAAATCAATCGTCATAAGATCAGTCAAGAACAAACAGTGTTCCAGAAAATTAATAGAAGAAATTCTGTCTTTGGTCAATAGTTTGTTAAATGGTAATCGAGAGCAGACGTCGTAATAAGCTGGAGATGCCTTGGGGCGAAAACAGGAAGCCATTCAACATTTTACTGCAAGCTGCGCCGCCGAGTAATTTTAAACGTAATAACTGGAATAATCTGAAAAATAAACCATGCATATAGTCATATAATGAAAAAAACGAAGAGAGAAGAAAGACTACCCCTAAGAAGTAGGAAAAGGAACAAATGAAATAATGATGAAATGAACAATAGATATAATAAAAAAAAATGGGAAGAAAAAGTGAAAAACAAAGACAGCTGGTAGCAACAGCACAAGTTGATCCTCCCACTCCCAGATCTCATTAGTAATTCTCCTTACTGTCTACCATAAAATTCTTATGATGCAAGTTTCGAGAATTGGGTATTCAATCACTTTAATCTCTTAATCGATATTTTTCTCTATTCTCTTGTCTGTTAAGTTAAATTTCAAGGAAAAATTCTGTCTTGTCACTTGAGGGAGTTACAGCTTCCTGTACGCCGATACTTCAAGCTGTTAATTTTTTTGATTCATGCCTCTTCACGTATGACAACTCTTCATCACTGAAGCTTCTGTCAGTCCCCGGCCGCAAAAGAAGTTTCCTTTCGACAGCTGGCTGTGGTATCAAGTTATCATTGTTATGACAAGCAAAATCTTGCTCCTGTTTCCCAAACTCTTGTAATTCGCGATAAACCTAACTTTTTAAGAAATATCTTGAGAAGCCTTTTTTCAATTTGTGTTGTAAATTGGCGTTGGGTTTCTAATTTGTAAACCCCAATAAATCAATTTGAAAAGAAAGATTTTCTCTGACTAGAATTGCATTCAGACAAGTCCTAACAACTGTATAAAAGGGAGGAGTTTAATTCGTCGGTCGACGTGCTGTGTGAGGCGTGTGTTTCTGATTTGTAATCCTAGTTTGGCAGTTTCTAAGGGACGATATTTTGTGACTAGAATTTGATACAGAAAAACTTCACATGTAAAGCTCAAGTTAAAAAGAGAATAAAGACAATTAATTAAGGTTAGACTCATCAGTATCACGCTAAAATTCATTTCAATATTCACTATTTTTCTGAATATCAACGCCTCATTTGCTGGCGGTAAGATAGCAGTTTATAAAGAATGACTGCACTGGCGACTCGTACCAGCTCTCTCTCTCAAGAGAAATTAAAACCGACTTCTATAAGGAAGTCTGAGACGTTGTCCTCAAGTTTCGCAGACCAGAGGAAGAAATTAATTTAATGGACCTAACGGAAGTTTCAGCTTGTATTACCCTGACTATTTAAATTTGTCATGATTTAATCCGGCTAAAAACACGAAATCATTAAAAACCGAGTTGCGCGCTCCAGTGATTGGCCTGGGACGAGGATGATTTTTAGGCAGAGTAAGACTGGGGAGAGATGACTCGCTTTATCCGTTCGTAGGCGATTTTATATAATATTTTTAGCCCGAGGATGAAGTTTGGTTCAAGAAGAAAAAAACAAACAAAACAACCAGCAAACAATCAAAGAACCAAAACAAAAGCAACAACACTTGATGTTATTTCGCAGTCCAACAGTTGCGGTGGGCATCGATCAGTCCATAAATTTCAATCTGTTATCACTTCTATGGAATTTTTGGGTCTCTTGAGGTCTTTGTGGTATAAAAAGGAGCTTTTACTCTTAGAGGTGGGTGATGATTCCGTTTTTCCGAGTCTTTTCCTTAGCCTCATTAAAACAAAGATGGCGTCAACATTTCGCGCCCACGTCTTTGGATTGCGCAATTTGTTGATATCCCATAGTGCCCTGAGGCACTCAAGCGAGTTGGACAAGAAAACATGGAGGATTTGGCGGTGGAGGTGTGCGGAAAAAATGGGGCTTATTATAAGGTGAGAACCATGAAATGAAAAAAATATCTCGGCAAAAATGTTGAATAATTATGGAAGTTTTATTTCCTAGGGTTATGTGAAGAATATTCACCAGGATCAAGTAACGATTGCTTTTGAACATGAGTACGTATGCTAAGATTTTGGCGGCGCGCGATTTTGCAATTGTCATTCATTGTTTACCTTTATACAATGTTTATCTTCAAATCCTTGGTTTATTGTTTTCGAACAGACAAAATGACTGCAGGAGGGTTCCCTATGAAGAAGTCCGTTTGCCACCCGCTTCAAATCAACGATGTGATCTATATGTGGACGATGAAGTTGAGGTCTGTGTAGGGAAAACCTGTTTTTTGTACCCGGGCCCCATGTGATAAAATAGCGTAAGGTCACAGGGCATATACTGACGTAAGGAAAGAGCTTGATTGCTTTCATTCACGGTGGGGTTGATTAACATTTCATATCAATGTCCTTAAATCACTGTGTTATTTCTGATTATTAGCAATTTTCTATGACAAATTGATCCTCTAATTTGGTGCGATTGTGCAATAACAGTTCAAGTGTTAACCAGTTCCATTTCGCACATGTGGTAGTGTAAATTCAGTGTAAATTAACAAGCCCATGTGCAATATTTCGCGGTCAGATGATTTTTAATAAGTTTTCTCAGTTGTTTACTTTAAGATCGGGTTTTTCGGCGGTGACAGTTAAGTCATGTATATACCCTATTGTTCAACGTTAGGCTAATTGAGAGAGAAAATAACTCTTTGGCCTACGTCATTTTGAGAAATACTCGTGAAATCCTGGAAAGAGTCGTGTGTTTTTTTTCTTTTTCGCCCTAATGAATGGTTTGGTTTTTTTCTCTCAATTCAAAAAGTTAGTTTTAGCGAGGCAGTAGGGTGGGTTATTTGTCAAAAACACTGATAAGACATTGGTTCTCATACACCCTGATATCAGTATACATATCCTCCATACTGTTTTCTTTACAATTCCTAAAGTGCTGACAAGGAGAATTTATTTAACAGTCAAGAGCTTTTTTTTAATTGGTGATCATTTCCTTTATTCTCATGACCTCAATGGTTGATTCAGGGGTGATATTGTAAGGAGAAATAAGATGCTAATCATTCTTATTGGTCAAAGAGTTGACAATTTGACTCTCATTGCTTATTTGTAAATTCTCTTTATAATTTTGTTGAAGCATAAGGCAAACAGGTTATAAGAATAATGACACTGATCAACAAAGATATTTGCAAGGCTGTCAATAAGTTTGAAAGAAGGCAAATAAGGAATAGTAGGTGGCCAGGTTATGATGGATGCCATGTTTTTTTCATCAGATTACGTGCAAGACAAGGAAATATTCAGTTAATTAAGAAATCCCATACACATCGTTAATATTACATGCACTTTCAAGCAAATACTGAATGTGGAATTGATTCAGTTATTTTACCCAGTTTCTAGTTAATAATGCTTTTAATTCCATTATAAACTGGGAAATGGTATCTTTACAGTTTTCTGGAGTGGCATTTCAATAATAGTACAATTTTTCATCAGTACCTACGTTGTGGCAGTAGGAATTGAAAGCACCCTGCTAAATATGGCAGATTAGCTAGCAATTTTGGTGGGTTACTGGTGCTTATTGACAGCTCTGAATTATGTATTAAGGTTTTTCGAGATAACTCTTCACACCTTGATGTCAGTATGCATATTCTCCATACTGTTCTCTATACATTTCCTAGGGTGCTGACAAGGAGAATTTGTTAAAAATCATGAGTTTCTTAAATTGGTGATCATTTCCTTCATTCTCATGACCTAAATGTTAGATTCAGGAATGTTACTGTAGCAAGAAATTAGATGCTTTTCACACTTGGGGTTTAAGAGTTAAAGAAGAGTTCAAAATTGAATAAGTGATGCTTGTTTGTTTATCAATTAAAGGTGTTTACTCGAGACGATGATGGGGAGCCTTGTGGCTGGTGGTTGGCCAGAATTGTTCACAAAAAGGGAGAGGTATTTAGCCTTACTTTTAATGTTTACTGATTTTCAAAAAAAGTACATACAAATGTTCCCATTTGTAGATAAATCAAGACAGCTCTTTGCAAAATTCTTAAGGACCTTATTTTACAGAATTGCAGTCTTGTTGAAACCTATCTTTCTCTATACAGGATGTTTTTATAATTTTAAACCTTAATGTTATACTGGATGCTTCTTACCTAGAAATTAAACCTACAACCCAGATCACAAGGGATGAAAATTTTGCTTTTCCTGATTCTCTCTCCCTCCTCTCTTTCCCCAATGCAATGTTGACTGAATAATGTTTTTGTTACCAACACATATGTACTCTAGTAATATTTGACACTGAAGGAGGGAATGGATTTCCAAAACTTTCATTGTGGGTCACAGATCAACACTTGATATTTTTTTTGATGAATTTTGCAAAATGATGTGTTGAAGATCTTGATAATGTAACCTAGATTTTGAACAAGTTCCCTGTAGCTCACTTGGTAGAGTTTTGAACTAAAATATCAGAACTAGCAGGGGTTTGCATTCCATAGCTTCAAATCCTTTGACCAGTGCTCCTGAAAAATGTTTAACACCATGATTTATTTTGTTCTTTGTTGATCTAGGATGAGATACTGCAAGAACTGTGCCTGACCCAGTGTTTATTTATTTTTTTTTAGTTCTATGTGATTCAGTATGCTGGATGGGATGCAACTTTTAATGAGATTGTTCCACGAGAGAGAATACGCCCCTCCAGTCGCAAGTGAGTTTTCCAGAAGAGAAAGTTGTTTATTTTCTCTTTACTCTTTTTTTTCTCTCTGATTGATTCATTAGAAATCATATTTTTTGGCATATACACATCAAAGTTCACTTTCAATGCAATGTTTGTTTTGTGGAAGTGTTGAAAATTTCTGTTTCCATGAAAGTGGTTCCCATCTGAGAGACATTAGTCATAGTTGTTTTTAGGTACCAAGCTTATATGATATAAGAATTGCAGCAACATTAATAAAAAATAGACCAATGCAAAATAGGGTGCAATTAGGTTTTCATGTATATCATACTGTTTTGTTAGATTACACGCAAGATTTGGAATTATTTAGTCAAAATGTCACAGGGGATCTAGAAGGTGCATATGAACCTAAAAGCCAATTCTGAACATAGAATAAATTTGCATGTCTTAACCTTTAAGTGGTACATTTTGCATTCAACTATTCTTGACAAGTCTAAGAAATGGTTGCTGTGCAAATTTTGTCTGTGGCACTTCAACAATGCTTTGAAGCTTTTAGGGTAATGGAGTTAAAAGTGACTGGCTGAAGATGATGAATTAGCCAGCAGGTTTGGCCTTCTAGACAATACTGAACATTTAAATGGGATCCCTTCAATATTTTTTAAGACTGAGCTTATCCTTTAAGTTCTTTTTTTTTTAATTTTTTTTTAGCAATATTGATTGGAGTGTTGAAATTAAACCAGGATTGCTTCAGTTGTACTTCACTTTGCTCTGTGATTGGTCTAGAAAACTTGTAACCAATCACATGCAAACTAAAATCAACCCTAACTTGAACATTTTCATTTTCCTGTACTTCAGGCAGTTAACCTCTTCATTCTGAACTGTCATTGGCTCTCTGTAATATTTTTCTTCAATGGGATTGGCTATTGTAACTTTTTAAGCTTTGGTCTTATGATGTTGGGTGGGAGATGCAGTGGGGTATTGGTAAGTGGGCTGAGAGGTCTGGGTCCAATACTGGGCATTGTGTTGTGTTACTGGGGAAAACACTTTCCTCTTCACTGTGCGCCTCTCTCCATCCAAGAGTATAATTGGATACCGTTGAATGGTTAGGCAAGCCTTATGAAATGCAGGGGGGGGACCTTGGGGTGGACAAGCATCCTATCCAGGGGTAGTAGTAATACTACTGATCACTTCATGCTATGGAAGCTAAGATAGAACCTGGCTGATTGGGCTGTTAAGCTAGAGTACAGAAGTGATTAACATAGAAATTCTCCCTATATTATTCATACAGTGCACATATATATGAGTTTCATATATTTACAGTCATTATTCACCACTTGGAAGGTTTATTTGGATCCAGCTACTAGTTCAGTAGTGTTCATAACTGTGAGGATGGCTTTGTCTCTCCAACCGCAGTGCACATATATATGATTTTCTTATATTTACAGTAATTATCAGTGGGAAGTTATTATCTTGATTTAACACTAAATTCTCAGAACTGATTTACAAGGAAATGTTTTGCAGCTAGAGGGGAGAATTAACAATCAGATCTTGGGAGTTAATGGATTAATGGAAGAAACAGATTGACTGCTTGGTGAATCGACCAATGTACTGATAAAATTATCACTTAATTGATGGTCCTTTTAATTGACTCATTGTTTTATTGCAGTGGACCAATTTGTAAAAGTATGTACCACAAGGTGATGATAGATGTCCCTCAGGATCTTAGACAACTGTAAGTTCTTCCACTGATATGTGATGTTTACCTTACCTTACCTTACATGAGACCTTTGTTAAGGCCTGTTTACATGGATGTGGTAGGTGAGGTAACCTGCCTAGCCATGGTCTGAAAATAACCTGAATGTACATGCAATCTTACTACGTGGGGGTGAAGTTTCTCAAGGTTGTTATTGCACTTTAAATAAAGGAGTTTAAGATATCACTATGGCAACCTGTAATAAAATGTGGTGGAAAAAAGATAATTTATTTTCTTCTAAGATTTTTGCTAGTAGCTTGATGTGTTAAGTGTTTCCGACAATGCAATGTCATAATGTGAATGTAGTGTTGAGCTCCAAGTAAACATATTACCAAATCACTGTCAAGCTTTCATTGCTAAGAGGACATGAAAATAGGTGGTTTAACATTTTACATGTAGCTCTACATGGAATGGCAAGGGAATGTGCAAAGTTTTAACACACTTGTGTTTCACTATTGTTTTGCTCATTTGAACTTTGTGTAACATAAATGCCTCCCTGCTTATGCAGCTTACTCCACCTTATATCTGCAACCCTTAACCCTCAACCTCTAACAGTGACTCGCATCTAATTTCTCCTTACAATATCACCCCCGAATCACACTTTAAGGTCATGAGAATAAAGGATAGATCACCAACTGAAGAAGCTCTGGATTGTTTACCCTTTTAACTCCCATGAGTGACCAAAAGAGAATTTCTCCCTCCAATATCAATACAATATCAACTAGATGAGTGATGAGAATAAAGAAAAATATCAATTTGGGGATAATTAGTTGATCCAGTACTAAATTCTCTGAACTAACATTATAAGAATTGTATGGTTGACAGTAAGGATAATTACAAATTTGATCTGGGAATTAAAGAGTTAAATTCTCTTTGTCAGCGCCTTAGGAAATGTGTAGGGAACAGTGTGGAAAAAATACATACTGTTGTTTGAGCGAAAAGTTTTAATGATCGAGATTCAATCTATTCCTGTATTGTGTGCCTATCAACTTCACTCTAGTGCTGTTTTACATATTGTTTTTTCTTTTTTCCTCTTCTTTTTGCAAGCTGATTTATTTTATGCCTTTGTTTTCTTATCACCAAATTCATGCTTGTGTCAGGAAACGCTTTCTTCGTCAATGTCAGCTGAGCTATTGGGATCAGACAAAAAGAATAGATTACTGGGGGCCTCTAATTTTATCCATGAATTTATTTACTTGTCTTTGTAAGTACTAGGTTGCTTGTGTAAATGCAGATAGTTTTGCAGAGAGTGGATGGAACTGATAAAGAAACATTTCCGCTGATAAAAATGCTCAAATTCCTCTCCGTAAGAAAATCAATTTCCTGTGGAACGGGTCATTATTTACTGCCTAAGAGGGGAGGAAGTGGGTGTTTGGAGAGATTTGCTTTTCCCTCAGCATATATTATTAAAAAAACAAACAACTTACAGATCTCTCACAAGGCAGGTGAGTGTCGAAGGAAAAAATCTGCAAAAGAGCAAGTTTCCACGTTTAATTTTTTTTCAGAACAAGGATTATGTAATGTACCAAGTAATAGCCCATCTTTTTTGTTCAAGGTTCAGACAAGTATCTTTTTTAGGTGGAAATAAGCTGCCTTAACTGGTTTCAATTAACTTCCTCGTTTTTCCTTCGATTCCCTTATCACGTTTCACATGCAAATGATGAAATATGGTATCATTTCATTTTCATGACGAAGCATTGTTTAACCATTGACACCCGAACTAAATTTCATGGCAAGATCGTTCAAAATGATAATTAAAAAAGCAGAAGAGAAATACCAGCTTTTAAAGGATGGTCAGAATTTTATATCCAGCAACTTGAAAATTTTTTTAACTAGATTACAATTTATGTTTGAATTCATTTTTAATTTTAAATTAAATTTTTATCGAAAAAATTAACTTCTTTTTTCGAACAGCTCGGTGAAATTTCGCTAATATTACTCAAGATATGGGAAATTACATTTTCCATTTCGAAAATTGGCTTGGAATATCTAGCAGTTCAACGTACGCTGGACAGAAAAAAAGTTTCACACGAATTTCCGTGATTCCATCGAGATTTTTCTTATTTATTAAGTTATTTCTATATTTGCAAATGGAAAGACTTATCCACATTTTTCCATGCCATTCATTCGCATGATCATAATAAATAAAAAAACCAATAATGCTGCACCTTTATAACTTAAGACTCATTTCTATGCCGTCTATTTGAAGAAAAGTTCCTATCGAAAAAGTTCCCAATCAAATAACGAGCTCCAATGACCCGCCAAAAAATCAAAGATGCAAGCAGTTTGGTAATGCAGTGTCTGATATTGTGGCTTCCTACCTCCTGAAGTTCTTGTGAGCTCACGTTGAAATTCATCCAACCTGTGTTTTGGCGTACCAGCTTGTCTGATTCCCAAGGAGTTTTGTCAAGTATTATGCAGATCCAGTTTTTAATCCTTTGTTTCAGATTAAAAGAAGCACACCTCGTTGTTCGCAAGCAGATATCAAGACATTCCATTTTTGAAACCACAAACTGTTTTGAAAGCCAGCGCTGATCTTTGTCTAACCTTCCGGGAATTTGTCGAGTCTCCAAGATATTCTCGAAAGAATTCCAGCATGATTCTCCGGTTACAAAAGAAATAAGAAAACAGGAGAAAATTATTGGCAATTTTTCTCTAATCATTATCGACGTTATTTCCAGTCAAAGATCTGTTCAAATGTTGAAGTCGTAAGTGGTTTTGACACCCTGAAAAGAAATTGTCTCGCTTCAATCTCGCTCTATGCTTTTTAGACAATTTATCATTTCATTTTACAGAAAATTAAAAGAAATTTTCAAGCGACGCAATATTACAGTAATTGACAATAATTAATGTGGAGGTAAATATCCACCACTTTTTCCGAAACTGGTAAATGTTTTAGTATGTACCACACGCACACACACACACAAAAAGTTAATTTTTGTCAATTCATCGAAAAGTAGTCGGAAAATAAACCCTTGACGCGCGAGTTTGTCTCTTTGGCTACTCGGAGCGAGGTGAATAAGTGAGTTATCACTCCCGAACCAGCTAATCGGCGCGCGCTAAAAGCTCAGTACTCATCTGTGTGGCGTGCGTGAAGTGCTTTTACTTCATCTCGTTTTGATTAGGTACAGCCAAATTTCCAACCACAAATGAACGTTTGATTATTCTATGACGAGATGGTACAAAAGTTTTGATCTTTGGAGCTTTTTTCAGCTCCATAACAGTTGGGGCAATGCATTTCCAAATAAGGTGACTCAGAATATCTGCTGGTAACTGGGGTTTAGTGAACCAATCAGAACACTAGAGATGCAATATTCCGCGGAGTTGAAAAAAATCAATAATGGCTAGAGTAGTATAGGATTAAGTCCCGAAAAAACCAAAACCAAAGTGATCACAACTGTCCGTCAGAGCAAAGGTGAGCATCATCGTTAGCCAATGACAACTCAAAGTAAAAACATGAAACCTGTTTGAAATCAACGGGAAAACTCGAGTGATGAGGTTGCGATTGGTTTTCGTGTTGTGGCGAGACGTTTACATGGCAAATTGTCACCCCCGCTGACAGGGTTACCCTCGCCAGCAGACTAGGCAACGCGCGTAGACGGGTCACCCCACCTTTAATGTAGAGATTATATGGACAGGCAGGTTACCCCACCTAGGCGAGTTACCTCACCTACCAGGGGTCCCCCACCTCCATGCAAACAGGTCCTAAAAAAAAGATGCATAAACACCTGAAATAATATATAGGTATTAATCAATTAATCATCAACTTAATAGTAAGCTTCTAAACGATTTGTAAATATGCCTTGAAATAATTACTGACTTTTGGTTTGCAACACTTGCGTGCTACGTTTTTATTATGAGGGTAAGTTTCTAAAAAATTGTGATGTTGCATCAGTTGGGGGGGGGGTATTTGGTTTTATCAACTGAATTGTTAATGTAAGGTGGTCACTTTAAAAAATCTCTAAAGCTGATGTTTCACTCGTCAGAGTGAATAGAATAATTGGGATTGTGTGTGTTTTACATTCATGAAAATGGCGCTATGCTTTGGGTCAGAACATGGTAACGTGAAAAATAGAGAAATAAATTAGTTGCTTAAAAAGCGTTTGTTGAAGTTTTGTCCGATTGTAAAATTTCATGGCAAGGATGGTCATGGTTTGTAGAAAATTTGATGTAGATTTTGTGTCTTTCTGTCATAGCTGCAAGGATGAGATGACGCATAGAGAGTTCAAGAAACAGTGTGGTGCTTCTTGTGTTTATTACCTTGATGAATTAGCAGTGCTTGTTGCTTTGGTAAGAATACATCAATGACTTGTTTTAGATCTCAAAGGAGAATCTTGCAAATTTTTGAGGATAATTTTTTACGTACTACAGTATTTTACTGATGTCCAGGTTAATTCTGAAGACAGAGCTTTCATGGCCTTTGCAATTTCATGTAGTAAAATAAACATCTGTTTTTATCAAAAGAACTACTTGTTATTGTACTCCACAGTCTCGTTCTGAACGCCCAGTGAAGTGTGCTGCTATGCTTAGTGAAATTCACTTCAGAAGTCTTAGAACAAAAATGCTGCTACAGTCCTGGATGGATGAGACAGCAAGACAAGTGGAGGTAAGATGCTACCTTAAATTGTACCTTTTGCAAACTTTTGGGGCCGACTGTGATATCATCATGGCGAAAGGGTCCGGTCATCATATGCGTATTACCCGAAATATAAACCCCCCTGAGGCCTGACCTCTGGTAGGCGACCATCTTTGGTAAGCAACCACCTCCCATAAGTGACCACCTCCGTAAGCGACCACCTCCCGTAAACGACCACCTCCTAGAAGCGACCACCTCTTATAAGCGACCACCTCCCGTAAACGACCACCTCCCGTAAGCGACCACCTCTTATAAGCGACCACCTCCCGTAAACGACCACCTCTTATAAGCGACCACCTCCCGTAAACGACCACCTCTTATAAGCGACCACCTCCCGTAAACGACCACCTCCTAGAAGCGACCACCTCCCGTAAACGACCACCTCTTATAAGCGACCACCTCCCGTAAACGACCACCTCCCGTTAACGACCACCTCCCGTAAGCGACCACATAGACTTGATATTATGGGTGGTTCGACTGTATATAAAACTAATAGAACATATGCCGGTCCACATTTGGAGAAATTGTGCATGCTAAGACAAATTATTTTAGTTGGTATTTTTTTTCGATTTCTTAGTTGTCTTATATGTTGCAGACTGCGAAGAAACAGATGGGTATCGTTGAAATGCTAACCCTTCCCGATCATCTTATGGGTCTTGCCATTGGTGCCCAGGGCGCCAACATCCAACAGGCTCGGAGACTAGCAGGGATCATCTCTATTGAGGTGGATGAGGAAAACTGCACTTTCCACATCTGCGGAGAAGTAAGTAATTTGTATCGTTTTTTTTACCCTTTGTTTCCACTTGTGACTAGCATAGACTTTTTTTTTACGTTTTAGAACGAAGCAAGCGTTAAAGAAGCCAGGCGGTTGTTAGAGTTTGCCGAGGAGACTGTTTATGTACCAAGACCTCTTGTAGGTGAGTTTGGAAAAATTTCCCTTTTTCTTTTGGTGCTATTTTGAAACTCTAGTTCTGACAGTTCCAGCTGTTCCTTCGCTGTGACTATTGATAAGGGCTCGTGGAGACCAAATTGTAGCTTTTTAATTCAAAATGAACGCCTGCTTCCTAGAAGCTCTTAGTGTTACTCGGTTGGGCTTTGGTAACAGGTAGCTGTTCATTTTTGGGAACTGATGTGTTTATTATCCATAGGACATTTTAGCCACGAGCGCGACTAAAAGTCCCCTCCCCTTTATACTCTGTTAGCGGCGACCAACCCCCCCTCCCCTCTCCGTTCTAATGAAAACGTGATCAACCAAAATGCTTCGCTACACCCCCTCCCAGGTGATGGAAAATGACTGCCCGCGTAATATTTTCCCGCGTAAATTGTTAACTTTCCAACTTCCCATTGATCTGTAGACTTGATTTCTTCTAAACAAACAAACTTGTCCCTTCTTCTTAACAACAGCGAAACGTTCTACCTTCTTGAATTAAACTTAAAACGAAGATCTTTATCAAATTGGACGTAAGTTTTCAAAATTGAGGATTACTTGCGAGGAATATCACTGGATATTCGTCAATTCATGGTTAGGACATCTTAAATCGCGTGACGCGTTTAAAACATTACGCATCACCATTCCTCGTTGTAACAGAGAAAGATAATTGTATATTTAGATAAAGGGGACTATTGGACACCGAAATACAAAAACATTTGACGTACCATAAATGTCTTGTTTAATCATTTTTTTTTTCACTCAGGGAAAGTCATAGGTAAGAGTGGTCGCATCATACAAGACATTGTAGACAGGTCAGGCGTGACGCGTGTTAAAATTGAACCTCCAGAAGATAGATCGTCTATGGATGAGAAGGCTGCCAAGGTTTGTTATCATAAAGTGACATTACTTTTTCCTTGCATGCAGGACAGTGGTCTCACAAAATGCGTAGGACGCGCCCCTTTCGCGCAAGAAAATGGCGGGAAACATGACTTACGCCTTGCGACGAGGGAAAATGTGCAATTAACTGCATACGTCGCTGAACAGCCGTTGCCGAGCGCGGGAAAAAGGGTCTCTTGTGCAAAGCGCGGAAAACGTGGAATAGGAAACTGGTCCTCAAGGCGAGACTTTTATACGACCGTTATCAGGCGCGGGAAAAACATGCCGTTGCTGCCAAGAGTTCGCACCAAGCGCGCGTAACGCAGAGCGCCAAGTACAGGCTAGCGTGTGGCCGTTGCGAAGCGCGGGAAAACAGACGGCGGAGGTTGAGTGCGTATAATCTCGAACATAAGGTAATTTCTGTTTTTTCATTTTGTTGCAGAAAGAAGTTTCCTTCCTTTTTGTTGGAACAAAAGAGTGCATCGCTAATGCGCGGATGATGTTAGATTATCATTTATCGCATTTAAGGGTAAGCATTTAGATAGATTGTTGAATCGTTGGACAACAAGTTCGTCGGTAGGAACTGACTTTGTGAGCAATGTTCATGTGGAGCGCTCTAAGTTGCCGTGGAAAGAATGAAAATAAATTAGTTTGCCAGACGCAGAGAGGTTAACTTTACAGTGGATCAAAGAGAAAATCGTTGACCGTGTTAGTGGCTTAGAGTTTTATCGACTGCAAATTTTTTTTTTATGTATTATCATACAGGATGTTGAGCTGATGAAGAAAGAGAAGGAAAGTTTAGACAGTCAGCTTAGGAGTATGGGGATAAACCCGCCCCCAGGCCCCGCTTACATACCCACTCCGGCGGAGATGCGGCCTGGACCGAGCCTCTCCTTCATTGGGCAGGACAATATGTTGAGCATACGAGACCGTTCTCTAACCACGGAGAGTTTCGCGGGGGATTTGAGTGAAGGGATGTTCGTAAGCACTAAAGACGGCCCGAAAACGAAGCCGACCGTACGAATAAGGTCGAGCAGTGAGTCGGAAGGTACCGAGAACAAAGCGAATTCACAGCAGTCCACGAAGGTAAGTTTTGAATTTGAGTTCGTCATAAGTCGTGATAAACCGTGAAAGTTTTTCGACTACGCGGTTTCTTTGAAGTCGCAACTGATCATGATTTCCTTCATGATCCTACTTTGTTCTGAATCTGGTTTTTTGTTCCAGAATACTGGAAACCGGCGGGCATCAACGCCCACACCAGAATTGAAAGGAATCGAAGAGGAGACTGAGGAGGGCGATCAGGGGAAGAGTGAGACTGGCGCGACCGCAAAAAATGAACCCAGCGAGAAAGAAGAGGTTGTAACATGTAAGTATGTTCAAGGAAACTTCATTGATTTGCTTCACTTAGTCTTGATTGTGATTGGTTTGAAATGTCGCACGAGTTTTATTGACCCATCAAGAATAGCATTGGGTTCAAAAGGAAAATAAGTGAAGTATTTAATGTTATTTTCGACACTCAGTTGAAATCGCTCTTTACGCTTTTTGATTGAACATTGCACGGATTACGATCGAAGTGATTATTTACAATAAACTTCATTATCTGGCATAATACGCAGACTTCAGAAGTATTCTCCTTTTGGAGTATTTTTACATGACGTCCCTTTTTGACTTGTTTCCAGCCTCCTCCCCACCCAGAGAAGGAAAAGCTAGGAGACAGTCGCCTTGGTTCACGGGAGGCAACCGACGAGCAGATAGCGAAGGAAAAGACGAGAAACGAAACGACGCACAACGAAAGAACAGTGATCATAATGACTCAAGATCAAACCACGGCAACGGAAGCAAACAGCAGGGCCGACAAGATCAGAGGCATCGTAGCGGAAGTAAACCTCAACAGCAAAGGCAACAGTCACAGCCAGTACAAAGACCCCGAGGAAATAGCGGCGGCCAATTCCGGCCGAGCAGTGGAAGTCTTTCGGCGAATTGGAGAGAGCGCCAATCTGAGCCGACGCCCAAGGAAAAAACGAAGGAAGTTGAGGTTAAGAAAGATAGTGAAAAAAGCACGGAGCGCAAGATCTCTAAGGGAGACGACGAGAAGAAAGCAAAAGGAACAGAAGAGGTAAAACAAAATGGAGATGCGAAGAGCCCGGATGAGAAACCGAGCGGGCCTGTGAGCGATGAAAAGCCCGCTGACTCATGCGCGGCTAAAAGTAAGACTCCGCAAACTAAGAGAAACGTTCAAGAGAATTGAGAGGAACTTGCGTGGAAACCATTCCTTTGATGTAGAAAATTGTACAGACAGATAGAACTCTATCTATCTATTGAATTATAACAACTAATTTATCGATGGATCAGATCTCGGCCTATTCAATTTTACGCACAGTACCTAATCTACAGCTGTTCTGTTCATGCATCAAGCGAACGATCTCATTTTCAAGTAATGATCTTTATTGATTTTGCTAACTTCATGGTGCTGTAAGTTTTTAAAAATCCTCAATTAATCAAATACTGTTACAAACTACATCCACCCGTACTTCTTACACTTTGAAAAGGTATGACTCTACTTTCGCCAACAGTGAACAGTGAAAGGACTTAAGATTGAAATCGCCAGATCCGAAATGATTTTGAATTGATATTTTTATAACTCGATGCAAGTTACATCTAAGTGATGTAAGGAATAAAATTACGGGCAGTTAATGAAACGATGTACTTTTTTGCTGCATTTCATCCCTAAATCACAACCCAAAGCCAGATATTGATATTTTCCCGTCTAGCCCTCTCACTCAGCCAATAACCTCATCGCTCTGTCAATAACTACTGGCATTACATGTGCTTTTATCCGGTTTTTATTTCGGAGAAATCGTTCTTAAATGACACTTCGCAAGTTAATCATTTACTTCATCTTCTCGTATACATTATTACAAGAGATAACACTCAGCTGCATTTCAGTTTCGCAATTCGGATTTCACTTTAGATTATGTTTTAAACAATTTCTTGCGATGGAAAATTAAGAAGCTTCCCAATTGTTTTAATCAGTGACACGTCATCCTCTGAGTTTTTGCAACAAACTCCACCCAGTTCCGATACCAATATGCCAAATGTAACTTGTCTTGTTCAATCCACGTTTTTGACGGATAAGCTAAAGCCAACATTTGATTAAATAGGAAAATAATTTTGCCTACATTTGTATATTCATGTCATTATTTTGCGCAAGAAATGAAAGTTAAGTTACAGTTTAAATACATTACCATTAAAAATATAGGTTTTCTTCTTTGATTCAGATTTCCTTTAGGAGCACTGCTTGTTTAAAATACACACCGAGAGCAATAACCTACTCTGGTCTTCTTAGATTCAAATTTTTTAAGTAATTGCAAGTTCCAATGCCTCGCACCGCATATTCGCCCCAGTCCACTTACGGTACACACTCGAAAGAGACGACACGGTAACCGTGACTTTGTTGTATTGTGTGACAAATTGACCACTTCCCTCGAAATAACAAAGCTTTCCCTCTGCGATATTGCAGAACTCCGTTGAAGAAAACGAGGAATTTATAGTACTTCTCATCAATCTGTCTCATCAAATTGACGACCACAACCGCAATTCGGTGATTCAAATCTTTGTAACGTAATATTAACTTTGGAGTTGCCTCTAACAATCGTAACCAGCCACCAGGCCAGTCCGCGCGATGTCAATTTTTTTTCACTCGGCCTCAGGTCCTTCCTCGTCGTCGTCTTCAGATTTTTGTTCCTCTCCCTGTTCCTGGAATTTTACTAGCTGCGCATGCCTGTTCACAGCTTGGCCAGAAGAGTAAAACACTTTTTCTATCACACCAGATTTCGGGGCCCGAATTATGTGCTGCAAAAAAAGCAAAAAATATAGTAATTCCTCGAAAACCACAAGCATTTTTCGCTCTCAGCTTCTCAAACGTTAGAATTTTTTCACAACGCTTTCTCACCAGTCGCGTCAAGGACACTTCTTTGAGCCAATCCAGCGACGAAGAAAATGAAATGACCTAGACTATATTTCCAGCGCTGGAAACAGTTTACAATTGGTTTTCTTACCATTAAGCGGGAAGGCATACACAAAACAAAAGATGTATTCGAAACGCACGAAAATGCGGGCAAAGAAATTAAATTGAATTTCCAGCGCTGGATACAGACTGCTTACTATTAAGCGGTGAAAGGGTAATCAGGTCATGCAGCTCACAGCTGAGCAGCGTTGCTTTAAGGCCTATCCTCTTCTTTTATCATTTTTCCTCCCTCCCCTCCCTCTTCACCCTTTAATTTTACTGCAGTCTTAGTAAGAACAAGCGGCAAAAACAGAAATCTTCCTTACCTCCATTTTCATAGCTTCCATGACAACTAGCGTCTCGCCCTCTTTGACCGTCTGTCCTGGCTCCACGAAAACCTGCGCCAGATATTAAAATAATAGCGTGTCATACCAACAGCAGAGGATAATTTTACCATGCTTGAAAAAAAAACTGCAGACGTGAGAATCCAATGATTCCAATTCTATTCCACTCGACGGTTTTCGGAAGTTCTTCGTCGTTAGCGTCTCCCTTCCGAACGGAGCCGAAGAGACACCCGAAACGGGTGAGGTCGGAATTTCGAAGATTGCGTACATGAAACTTAAGGTCTTCAAAATATTTCGCTTCTTGAATAGTTAAGCGATATTTTTCATCTTTTAACACTACACGAATTTCGCCGAAAAAAAGGACTTAAAGAGAGTCAATGCTCCAGTAAGGCTCAAAGAACATTTTCGAAGAGGTTTTGCCTAATAATTGTAACCTTACTTGTCTTCCAAAAATTGACAGTCAAAATGAGGAAGAGGTGGGGGGAAGAGAAAGTATCGCGTAACGTACCTTTACAACAGTGCCTGTCATTGGTGCTACCGCAGAACCTAGGGAGACAGCTGATGGACCGCCCCTCAAGAACTTGGGAACAGGGCGTTGTAATTTGTGACAGCCATCCTGAGATAGGAACCAAAATGTAATATTCAGCTTGCCGTTTGACAATCGCTACTGGCAATTAGGCAATAAGCCTTAAGCGCGAGAAAACGCGGACAACCACACGGCGATTTGTTTTAGTTTTGCACTGATTGGTCGAGAAGATATGGCGCGTGTCTCTGAACCAATTACAAAGCGCATTAAAGAAAAACCAGTGAAAACCCGGATTACCTTCGGCATCCAGTTAAAACTACTTCATGAGTAACTTTGCATTACTAAAGCTACCGCAATAACTAGTGCTGCGAGCCAAATTCCAATTCGTTCATGTACCTTGGTAAATATGTGCAGGGTTCCCTCCAAGTCAACAAGCCAAGACTTGAAGACACGTCCATCCACATTGGCTGTGAGGCTGACTCGTGATTCTTCTGTCTGTAGCTTGCCTTTAACGTGCATGCGACGGCCATCGATCTATGCAACACAAAATAAGATTAGAAACATTTAGAACCTGATTTCACAGTAAGTTTGTATTGAATATATTTTAGTCTCCGAGTGGAAGTTCCCCATTACAAAAAGCTCCACCCTGGGACTTAGGAATGGCCGAGTTGTAAAAATGGCCACAAGATGCTTCGTTATTCTCCAGTTAACAACCCTTAAACTCCCAGATCAAAAATTTTTGGTTCAACCCAATTCTTATAATGTTAGTTCAGAGAATTTATATAGGATCAACTAATTATCCCCAAATTGATATTTTTCTTTATAAATTTTGGTTAAATAAGGAGAAAATCCTGGTTAGTTAAAAATACAAAAATATGAATTTTATTTAATAGCAAACGTTTTCAAAAGACAAAAGTTTGTCCAAAGCCTAGTTTAAAACATTCCTTGTTTCGATGTTATAAAGTCAGACATACTGCTTCTTCTACACTTACCTCTAAGTTATAAGTTCCATCCTTGTTGTAGGAAACAATGATGTAAACCTCTGAAACAAAAGCAAAAAAATACGGTTTATGTCCTAGAGAATGTTGTTGTTCATCATGGCTTTTTTAGAAAAATGAACGTTTAATCGTTTGCCTCACGATTTACAGTAAGGCTATCAATTGTGTTGATCGCGTTATAAATTACGGTTTAGCGTATCATTTAAGGTTGGGCAGGGTGTAACACTCATATTTCAGGATCGAAGCAAGAAGTTACTTAATAAAAATACCGCGATTTCCTTCATTGACAAAACAAGAGATAAATTTCTGGTACATAGTGACTTACTCTTAACGGGCTGTTAAACTTTTACGGTCAGGGGATTTTTCAGTATAATTTTTTTTTAATCTATCTTCTTCCAGATCCCTTTACCTATTTGAATGACAGTAAACCAGTACAAAAACATTTTCAACATCTTAAATTCTGAGCAAAACTAGCTACACAAAATTCAGTTCCCTTACTTCTATCACCATCGTCAAGTCGTATTTTTCTCTTCGCAACATTATTGAGTCTGAAGCTCACATTAGAATTCCACACTGAAAACGGATCTGCAAAGATAAGCAGAAAAATCAGGAATATGCTAAAATAAATAAAATATAAAAGCGAAATATAGTATCATCAAGATGTGAACGAGAATATCACGTTTTCATTTTTTATCTTTCACATTCGAGTTGGATTGAAAACTCCGCGATTTTACTTTAAACTGAAGAAAGTTTAGACTACGAGCATACGTACATACATATACTTTATTTATGCTCGAAATTCAGTGTAGCTGTAGAGCTAATATCTTCGAGAAAATAAGCTTAAATAAAATAAAATATGCTATATTACAATTCCAATATTATTTATAAACTATATACAACATTATGCATGCGTATGCGACTGCGTATGCGTGTATGCGTATGCATACGAGCAGTCCTTGCTTTTCGGCGAAGTCCGTCTTGCGAATAAAAACAAGCGATGTTAGCGTCACCTCTCCTCTCCACCTGCCTGGTACTTTGCCAGCACCGACAGAGGTACAATGAACAATGCTGAAAGCCAAAACGTCCGTAACATCTCATGAGGTGCATACAATGCGTCAACATAGATGTTCTCACCAGAAGAGAGCGCAGCTCGTTTTTCCTGCTCCTGTCTCTCGAGTAATAAGAGTCCCAAGCTTGCTTGCGCCAGTATTTCGTGGCTCAGCGGTTTTTTTACTGGGAATAGGTCTTGATAATGTTGCTGCGGGGAATTTTAAGTGCAGATAATTAAACTGAACGAAAAATAGATGACTTTATCACCAATAGCGCATTATCAGGACTTTCGAGAATGTTAGAACAATTTCCGAAAAGTCTCGAAGATGTTACGATGACTTCCGATAATTGACGAAGGTAATCCGATAACTTCCTAAGGTTGCATGACGAAGATTTCAGAAACTACTGAAGATTGTAAAGAGCAGATATTAAAGAACACTGCTATACGACGGATAAAAAATCGGAAAAAAGTACAACTCTTGTTATTCTGGCTTTTATCCTTACTATGAAAATTAACATGTAAACAAAAGCAACTGACTCAGAGTCACCAAGTTCATATTCGTTTATATGAGATCGATTTTGTCGATGCCAAGAAAGTCATACCTACGCATGCGCGTGTCAGCTCTAAGTTGCTAGATGACACAGCACTTTTTTAGCTGACTCGACACGAGTGAAGTTCAAAGACCTAAAAGGTTTGAAAACATAAACTCTTTCAACCCACCTTAATAAAATCAGTGTGAACGTCACCCTCCTTGAAATGGCTGTGTTCACACAGATTTGACAAGAAGCCGATATTTGTGTTCAGTCCCACGATCTGTTGAAAGAGAATATCAAGTAACAGCCACTTTCAGCAAAATAGGTTCTACAAACACTGCTACGCGCTCTTTTCCCGTATCCACTCCTTCAGGTAAAACATTTTGATAACCTCAAAATGGAATTTTCTTTATAAACTATTTAAATAGTCATGATGGATATGCAAAAGATGATGGATGTTTTCTTTTCAACAAATTTTAGTGTTAGGCAAGTCAGTAATGATGCTTACTGGGCTGAGTGCAATTTGCTCAAAAATCATTCGCGTAATTTCAAATCATTCGCGCGAGCGTGATTTTTAAATCACAAAGTTAGTATGATTTCAGAAGGTGGTTAAAGGTTTATACATGACACGTGATCAACCCTTTACTCCCTAACATCAGTATGCATATTCTCCTCACTGCTCCCTTTACATTTTCTAAGGTGGTGACGAGGAGAATTTGTTCAGCCATCAAGAGCTTCTTTAGTTAGTGATAATCTCCTTTACTCTCATGACCTTAATCTTTCATTCAGGGGTGATGTTTTAAGGAGAAATTAGATTTTAGTCACTCTTAGGGGTTAAGAATTTAAGGCCAAAATTAGTATAAGGCGTGTGAATATGCAAAAAGGCGAGCACGATTCGTGAAATCATAAACCAAAGTAAGGCGTGAGTTGCTCGGCCGCTTACTGAGGAGAAGAGGCCTTGTAAAGTACGGAAAGAAAACTGATACATACATGATACTTCTGCAGAGACTCTTTCAACAAACTCAGTGCTTGGTCTCTGCTTTCTGACCAAACTACAAGTTTTGCTATCATTGGATCATAATGCACTGATACTGCATCACCTGCAAACAAAGAATGAGTTACACACGAACACATCAGAAGACAAGCACATTATCCGAACACAGAGCTTAAAATCGAAAAGTTAGAAAAATCTCAATAGTCCTTTTCAGTCTTTCAAGCCTTATTTCAATTTTCAAACTTTTAATGAGGTCCGTTTTTGGATCTGACCCGACAATTACGCTCTTACTTGACAAAATCTCGATAGTCCTTTCCAGTCTTTCGAACCTAATCTAAACGTAGTTCAATACCTTTCTTGAGGTCTGGAAATGTCCGTACTTTTTCAAGCACTGAAGACTCATATGCTTAATGGTAAGAACTAGTTCAAGTTAAGAAAAAGGCCGGTTTGGAATTCTCCTGCCTAAAATCGCCCTTAATAGGCAGCCTGAAGTCTCGTTAGACATAAGCTGGTTAGTACAGGCAACTTCCCTGAAGAAGACTAGTCACATTTCAGAGTGTTTAGACCCGCATAATCCAGTAGACTTAGAGGTAGTATTAGTTGCACAATGTGGTGTACATACCTTGTCGTACTCCTGTTTCGACTCTGATTGTGTCAGATGGTTGCGGTGTTGAAAGATGCAATAGAGGGCCTGCACCTGGGAGAAAATCACTAAACGAAAAAACGAACATACAAACAATCAATCAGAACATCAGTCAGAATTCGCGAATAATCCCTTCGTAAAAAAGCTCTTCTATGGAAGGCAAGGCATCGCCTTCGTTGCACTATTTTTCACAACAAAATTCGGTTTTGAACTCCACTAGAGATGACATAACTGAAACAGCACAAAGTACAGCATACCTATCAGGATCTTCAGCATAAATTCTAGCCTCAAATGAGTGCCCCGTTAGCTTGATATCCTCCTGTGTGAGAGGTAACGCTTCACCTGCTGCGACTCTCAGCTGCCACTCGACCAGATCCTGCCCTGTGATCATCTCTGACACAGGATGCTCAACCTGATGGGTACAAAAGAATTCTGTTCGTCTACTCCACCTCATTAACACGGTAATTTAGTATTATTAACTGAGTTTATGGCGTAAATTGACCACCGTAAAGAGTTTAAAAGCTGACGTTTCAAGCGTTAGCCCTTCGTCATTCGCTCTGACGAAGGGCTAACGCTTGAAACGTCAGCTTTAAAACTCTTTACGATGACCAATTTACGTCATCAGCTCAGTTGATAAGACTAAATTACCTGTTATACTCTCCCACCAACGCAGCACCGTACCCACTCCATTCTACCTTATTCTAAATAACAACAATTCCCAACGTAAAGTAGAATGTAATTCGTTTGCAAAGATGAATGAGGCGACGAGAAAATCTGAGTTATCTTCTGCGAGCCGAAGCTTCAGATTTCGTCGGATTTGGTCGGATTTCGAGAACCTTCGGGTTTTGCGCTCCAAGCTCCACTACTGAGTTATCAAGAACTCTATAGTATGTTAAACCATTACCAGCTTCATATGTGAGATGCGTCTTGGATACTACAGTACTCTCTTTACCTGTAAACGTGTGTTCATTTCCATGAAGTAGAAATTTTGGTCTTTATCCATAATGAACTCAACAGTACCTTTAAAGCAAATCCAAAAAAAAAAAAGATGCTTAACCCTTTAACTCCCAAGATCTCATTAGTAATTCTCCTTACTGTCTGCCTCATAGTTCTAGTGATGTTAGTTTGGAGAATTTGGTATTGGATTAACTGATAATCCCCTAACTAATATTTTTCTTTATTCTCATCACTTATCTGCATGATATTGTATTGATATTGTAAGGAGAAATTCTGTCTTGGTCACTCATGGGAGTTAAAGGGTTAACTGTTTTACTATAATTTTACAGTTCTTGCAATCTTTTTTTTCCTAATAGCCTTGGTTACTTCACATAACTTTCCTAAAGTCTTAAAATCTTAATGAAAGTAGACCTGTAACAAGACAAAATCTTACATCCTGGCCCACAGTAGTTCTCTTTTGAGAGTTGAAAGTTCTAGGCTTGTAGAGATAAACCTGTAGTTTTGCTCTGAATCTTGCAATCTCAATGTGATCTTGCATCTGTCACCCTTGATCATATGACGATCTGTCCCTTCTGATTCAATAAACAAGTTTCCTGAATAAATTTCTGTGTGCTTGAGAAAGAGTTTCTGACCATGGTAAACATCAATACCTGCTCCAACATAACCAACTGCCTCTGCTGCCCTCACAGCTGCCTCACCAATTTTCTGCCGCACCTCAGAGGATACACCTGGAGCAGGAGCCTCTTCAATGATTTTCTGATGTCTTCTTTGAACACTGCAGTCCCTCTCAAACAAGTACACTGTGTTTCCAAAGGTGTCAGCAAATACTTGAACTTCTACATGTCTGAAAAGAGCAGGTTAATCGAGTAATATATCAAACACGAAGAAGAGTGTTTCTTCCTATATCCAAACACCGAGAAGTGGTTAAAAAAATGAGGCGTGGCCAAGTTTTTTGAACCAACTTCAAGGTGTTTGGATATCAGATGAAACACCCTTTTGAATGTTTGATATAGCTTCTCAAACCATTAATAATTTTTGGAGAAAATCAAAGCAAAAGTTAACCAAATTTTATGATAATTATGATCACATATCCAAACCTCCTTCATGGTTGTAATTTCCTTTTTTTTCTAAGCATGAATTATTAATGAGTTTGAGAAGTGTGGAGGAAAGTTTTTTTTTCAGCATCAGTAAAAACAAAGAATGAGTCAAGTTCCTGTAATTTTCAGCATTTCCTTTCCAAAAGTTAAATTGACTCTTTGACCTCAAAGAGTGATTAACATCTAATTTCTCCTCATAATATCACCCCTGAATCACACATTAAAGTCATGAGAATAAAAAAAATGATCACCAACTAAAGACGCTCTTGATGGTTAAACAAATTCTTCTTGTTGGCGCCTTAGTAAATGTACAAAGATCAGTATGGAGAATATGCATATTGATGTTTGGGTGTAAAGGGCTTATGCAGCAGAAGTGCCACTCAAGTGCAACCAGATACCTGGGAGTGTCTACAAACTTCTCCACCAACATGTTGTCATCATTGAAGGACTTCAAAGATTCCCTTCTAGCTGATTCAAGGGAATCATCAAAATCTTCAGGCTTCATTACAATTCTCATCCCCTGGGAAAAGTTTCAAAAGATCAGAGCTTCAGAATGTAATGAATCCAAAGCAGTTGGGCTAACTGACTATGATAATGAGGAATTTTGACCCTTGCAATTGAAAAGAGAAAAAATTTTTTTGCTATTTTCCAAGCAAACAAACCTTTCCTCCTCCACCTCTGACAGCCTTGAGCATGACAGGATATCTGGATAAAAAAAGAGAGCCAAAGAATATGAACTGAGGAGAACAATAGTCAAGAACCACACTTGATTGAAGGCAAAAAAAAATTTACCCTATTTTCTCTGTCTCCTGTCTCAATCTCTCATCTGATTGGTCATCACCATGGTAACCTTCAATGATTGGCACTCCAGCATTGCCATGATGGCCTTTGATGTACTGTAATAAAAAATTCAAGATATCAGACTAAGATTGCAGGAAATAATTTGCAATTCAAGTAATTTTAACCCTTTAAATCCCAGATCAAATTTTTAACTTTCCTTACTGGCAACCATGCAATTCATGTAATGTTAGTTCGAGAATTTAGTATTGGATCAACTGATTATACTGTAAGGAGAAATTCTGCCTTGGTCACTCATGAGAGTTAAAGGGTTATAGTGAATCTTCTTAGTTACCTCTTTATACCCATATCTCTGATCGCTGAAGCTGGTGGTCCAATAAATATTACTCCTTCTTTCTCACAAAGCTCAGCAAATTCTGGTTTCTCTGATAAAAAGCCATAGCCTGGATGAATGGCCTAAATTAGAGAGAGAGGACTGGTGTTAACATAAATACCAGAAATCTAAGACATATGTAGTGACATAACTGCTGGTGCCCTGGACTCTGGAATAAACCACAGATACTCCCAGCAAAATCAAACTGCATTAAGCTGTTTTGATTTATACCTGTGCTCCACTTTTGATGGCAACTTCAATGATCTTCTCCATTTTCAAATAACTTTCTCGAGATGCAGCTGCCCCAATGTGAAAGGCCTCATCAGCCTAAAAGTAAAGTTGAGAAATTTAAAAAGTACAGTTAAAAATACACTTTTATCTAATTTATAAGTTGTGGAGAACTTTGCTTTGTTCTTATTTCTGCATCGAAAATCATTGTAAAATTTGTGATATATTTTTTCTAGATCAACAATGCATTTAGCAAAATAGAATTGCCATGAAAACTTTTGTCTAAAACATCAATTATCATCACAGAGTGGTAGTTTCTCTTCTTTCTTATAATCAACTTACAGCATGACCTATAAAAACACAGATTTAGAATATTTCTTTAAGCTACGTATCATTGACCACCATTTGGGATAATTTTGTAAAAATTAATATAATTTACTTACTGTATCTACATGCATGGAATTTTCATCTGCATCACTGTACACAGCAACTGTTCTTATCCCCATTTTTTTGGCTGTTTTCATGACACGACAGGCAATCTCACCTCTGTTGGCAATGACAACCTTCTTAATTGCTCTCGGGCCTAAAGAGGAGACACACCCAAAGAGTGATCAACTCACCAATATCAGGAATGTGACTGAGGGGGGAGGGGGGAATTTGAAGAGCCTATAACCCCCTCTCCCTTGGGAAAGCAATTTTTTTTAAGTCAATGACACAAAAGTCTTATAATTCAGGATTGCCAAAATACAAACATCAGTTTGGTAGACTCAACCCATATGAAAATTTCTGGCTGACAAGAGCCTGAATATGGCCTGAAATTTAAACCAGACACCATCCTGAACCAGATCCTACCGATATGCTAGAAAAGGAAGTAGTATAAACCACTTCATAAAAGGTGCACAGAAATTCATGACTCTGACCTCCCTTTGAAAACTTTAAGCTGTGCCAACTGAATCACCGTCAAGTTCTTTATAACTAATTCACCCATCGCTTTAGAAACATGAATTTTCCTCACTGAAAGTTAGTTTTTGAAACAAGATTGGAAAAAAACCTCTAACGTAGTTTCTAAAACAAAGTATTACACATCAAGCTAGAAATCTGAGTTTAAATCAAAATTTCTGGTTGTTTTCAATTTAACTGAAATTATCATAACGCTTGAAGTAAAGTTTATAAATATCTTAATTAATTTTTATTAAAATAATATTTTTAAACCCTACGAAATTAAGAGATCCTTGCAGCTAAGAACACTACTGAACTAGTTGTTAAATTTTTTTTATTTTTATTTTTTTTATTTTTTTAACTCTGTTAGATCCATGTATTTTACACATAAAAAATTGATATTTGATAAAAAATTATCTCTACAGTGCTAAAAAACTGAGACGTAACCGTTACAGAATTATTTACAAAACTTAGAAAACTCACCAGTAGTATAGTTGGAACCAAAATTCCAAACTAATTGCTTCCTACTTGGAAAGATAAAATGAAAAAAGGTAATATAAAAAGAAAAGATTTAACATAAGAAAAGACAAATTTGAAGTGAGAGTCAATCAATACCTTTTGGCGCCGAGAAATCGGAAAAACAATTTTCTTTCTAAAAGAATAGCCATGTTGGCCGCCATCTTGTACTCGTGGAGAATTAGTTACACATTGTTGCTGATACATGATAAAACTGTAAGATTCAGCTGACCGCTAGTGTAAGTGGTGACTCGCTTCCATGGCAACCAGCTGCATTCTGGGTCAAAAATAAAAACATGGCCGATTTAAGTTGCATGTATGGGCGATATTCTGTTTGAATTTTAGCGTTTGCTGGTCAATTTTCGTATTTATATTTTTCGAATTGTTTAAGAGAATGGGACAAAATCTTAACGAAGCTCCTCCGAGTTCACGGTAGGGTTTTGGTGACAAAAAGGCTGTTTTGTCAGATTTGCTTTGTGCCAATAACTTTGAGGAGAGCTGTAGCGGTCCTATGCATTCTCTGATTTCCAGATTAACTAGAATTGAAGCAGCAAGAAAGATTGAACGATACTGGTGTTCTTACCGGGACAAGCAAATGTTCAAGTTGCTAAAATATGCAATATGTGCGGCGGTAAGTTTGTACAAATCAAGCTTGAAATATGATTTGTGCGCTGAACGATTGCACTGTGAAAGAATAGTCTTCCTTTTGTTGCCAGTGTAGAATTCATGATGTTCCTTTTTTCAGGAACATTCTCTTACGTATGAGGTGCTTAGAAAGGTGTCACCACTCGAGGCAGACCTTCTGCGTGATCCTGTGATTCAAGCACGAGTGAGATTCAGGTATGGGGAGCTCGAAGGCTTAGGTTTTGTTGTTGTTGCTTTTTATATTTTTTCAGCTTTACGCTAAGAATAATCCAAGGCAAAAGAGATCTATAATGATTAGTATCTAGAAGAATCTATAATAGATGAAAGTTTTGGTTCACATCTTGCTTGACGTGTTGAAATTAACTAATGAAGCCTGTTCCAAACATTCCCCCACCCCATTCCCCTGCTTATGGGAACAAAATTCAAACACTTCTTCCTGTGGGGAACGGTATTCAGGCTGTGATGACCCAGAGAGCTTGGAGAAGCAAAGAACATGTTACCAAAGTATGTCCATAATTAAGGTGAAATGTAGCTTTTCTGTGAGTAAAACTAAATAATTGACTTTCCATCACCCTCTGCAAAACGTGAAGGTGCACATCAAATACTTTATCAGCCAATCCCAATGAAACACCACAGGGCAACCAGTTAGCCAATTCAGCAAGATAAAAAGTGGATCTGTTTAAAAAAAACAACTTGTACAAATTTTCTTCTCTAACAACTGTGACAGTTACAGTAAACATACAGATAGAGGCAAATCTGGTCAATGATTGTTGGTTTTTTTTTTTTCATTATCCTTTTCTATGAAAGTTTTGTAGATTTGGAGGATCAGAATTTCCACCCATTATTTTGTTCAAGATTTTTATTCACAGTGGAGGACATGGCGTTAAGTATTATTGTGGGAAAAAGGTTATCAAACCTGCCTCAGAGGTAACTAAGGATATTAGCTTTCTGTGTGGGATTATTTGCACTATGGGGCTATGAATTTCAATAAACAGTGGTCATCTAGTTTAATACTGTAATTTTTTTGTTATTTCTAGGCAGCTTGTGACTCACTAAGATTAATGGGAAATCGCAAATTCTATGATCAGTTAATAGCTGATACATGTCAGCATGAGAAAGACAGAATAACTGATGAAACTGATGTAACAACAATGAAAGATTATATGCAGGTATGAGGAATGATGCAGAAAGTCTTCCCACAGCTTTATGGCTGTAGTTCATTGAATTTTTTTGCAAATTAAAGTATTACAAAGCTTACTCACCCCCCCCCCCTCTAAACCCTCAGTCCCAACCCTTTGTCAATATCCTTAGACACTCTGCCAGTACAGTACAACCCATTTCTAACCCGAGATTGAAAGAGGTGCTGTTAGGGTAAAGTGTTTCCAAGTTATATATCCTGTCTATAGCTGCTCTCCAAGCCCGAGCTCAAGGGATCCCTAGAGTCAAAACTCACTGATATATTTCATAGGCAATCATTTCATCATACTGTATGTTGATTTAAGCAAAATGAATATTATTTTATAACTATACCAACTTGCAATGTGGAAATTCATTTTTAAAGTTTTTTTTTCCTGTCTCACAGTATTTAAGTCATCTTGATGAATGTCCTGCAGCAACAGGAGGAAAGTCAAATACTTGGAGAAGACTCACTCTTGAAGGTATGTCAGCAAAACACCCTTCTTAATTTGTGCAATTTCACAAATTGGTAGTTATCTTACAAAGGGAGTTTCTCTATTTAAATAAAGGTCTGATTCCTTTAAATTAACATCTGTTTACTAGTACAGCTGTATATATGTAAAGATGGTCAATATTATACAATTTGGCTGTGTCAGAGTGTAATTTCTATTGTGTAATCTATAGATACATGTAAATTTATGTCTTACTTTTTCTGAAAGCTTTAAATTAAGTTTCCACTTTACATCTTGTCCAAATGTAGCTATCCCAAGGCACAATATTGTCCACGATATCTTCAGTTACATGGCATGTGGTATCTCCACCCCCCGACTGCTTGAGGAGTGTCCAGACTTGTTGTCATTGAGACCAGCTACTCAGGAAATTCAAGTGGCCAGTATCAAGGCAATTCCTTTGTACAGGTATGGTGGCAAAGTTGCTTAAATTCCCCAGAAGTGAGTGTTGTAATTTATATTAGGCATAGCTTTTCAAATGATCTTATACAAGTGTTACTGATGTCCTCCGATAATTACACCAGTAATGCACTTTTTAGCTCTGTCTCTACTACACCTTCCTCGATCCCCTACTTGCCACCTGAGTGTGTAATGTAAAGTCCTTAATAAAAAGGTAAGGTTTGTAGTCACAGGAGGTCAGACCCATCCAGTGGAAGCTTATCCCCATTTCCTTGGTGGAAAACAACTAACAGTATTACTACTCCCCCTGGATTAATGGTTAATGTGCAGGGACTCTGGGTCAAGAGTTCTGAGTGTGAGACCTGACCTGGTAATTGTGTTGTGTTATTGGGAAAAACACTTTCCTATCACAGTGCCTCTATCCACCCTGGGGTATAAATAGGTACTGGTGAGTGGTCAGGGAAAGCTGATGAAATGCTGAGGGGAGAGGGGGTAACCTTGCAATGGATTAATATCCTATCCAGGGGGAGTTGTGATACTCCTTTGTTACTATAAGCTAAGGAATATGAAATAAGCTCCAGCTGAGTGGCCCAATTAGCTCAAGTGTAGACTTAACCTTTGTAGTACCTTTAATCACCTAATCAGTGCTTAAATGATAAAAGAAACTTTTTTCTTTCCAGGAAAAAAGCGCAAACAGATTACACCATCTCATCCCCAGCCAGGAGGTCAAAACAAGCTAAAGCAAGGGTTGCAAAAATGCGTAAAATGTTTGGACTGGATTCTCCAAAACTGCCTGAAAGTCGCCAGGGTGCAACACCAGCAACACAGGTGCCTGAGGATGATTTGTTTGAGGATGAAGATTGGGAAGATCAAGCTGACAAATTATATGAATGGACGCAAAATTTATCTTTAGATGAGCTTGGAGTTGCCTCTCCATGATGTTCAACAATTTGAAAAATTGGAATAAAAATGTGGTTAAGTTGAGAAGGAAGAACAAAAAGCAAGGAATGGTCCAGGGTCAAAGGTCAGTGTTCAGGTCATGGATCAAATGGACATCTAACACATGGCACTGATCAACAATTGAAATTCAAAGCTGCTGTTATGTTCCCCATTATGAGGCAAAAACATTCAACAAATAATTTGAATACAATTGGCCCTTGATATGCTTACTCAAAAGCAGGAAAGATCAACTTAATTTATGTATTGTCAAAATACGTCTTTACCAGAAACATTTTGTATTTTTGTAAACATAGTTTAAATGTTATATTATGGAATGTTACTTCCTGAAAACAGAAACTAAACTCCATGAAAAATAATAATTGAAAATAAATAGCTAGGTTAATTGTTTAATGTGAAATGTGTCACTGCAATGATTTTTAAACAATATCTTTGTCAAGTACAGCACAAAAAATGATGTGATAAGTTGAGTGTTCACCCAAAAAAATTGCAACTGATGAAGACATCCGAGAACAATGAATCTTCTTGGTTTATTATTTTGTGCTTATTAGTTACAATGAAGTTGATGAAGCAGGGCAAATATCAGATACCCTTCCTTAGTACTTCTTGTTTTTAACAATCTAATAAACAAACTAATAATAAATAAATAATACTATCAATTATACATAGAAAAATGTGGTGGTAAAGTTGCACAAGAAAGAAAGGAATATTGGAATTTTACTTGCAAGCTTATGTACAATAGGCATTAGATAATTTTCAAAACAAACACCAATGATATCACAACTTAATCTTATGGCTTAAAACCCTTTCATTCAGTAATTCTCCTTACTGTCTGTCATACATGGAGAATTTGGTCTTGGATCAACTAATAATCCTTTAAGTAATACTTCTCTTTATTCCCATCACTTGTATTGATATTGTAAGGAGAAGTTCTGTCTTGGTCACTCATGCGATCATGGGAGTTAAAGTGTTAATGCTGTCTGTCTTGTGCTGTTCTTATACCAACTTTTTCTTTAAATTCTCATCTGCTTCCTTGTAATAATTACAACTTTTGTGATAAGACCTTGTAATTTCTTTAGTTTGCAATCTGGTAAATTCATCTTAAAATTTCTCTTACCAGATAATTTTGTTGTTGCTATTAACAGGGCTCACATTAGAGACCACAGGAATCCCAGGTTTATTAGCATTCTGCTCACAGGAGAACAAATACTTACAAACTTGATCTTTCTATCTTCCTGATAAAGTTTACAATCACAGTTACCCAATCTAAATTCATCTTGCACTTGTACAATAATATAAAGGGGTGTTTTGGACCTTAGGCTTAATATGATGTAACATCAATCAGGATTTAATGAGCCAATCTTCCATCTCCCATCTTGCTGTATTTGCTACAAAACAGCTGAGCAGTGACAGATGAAAAGTTGAACACAACTTTGTTGGCAATCAACTTGCTATTTCAGCAATAAAACTGGACCTAAGTTCTCTGCAAAACTACTTCAATCCACATTGCATCTAATCTAACAACAAATATTTACAGTAGATACATGTACATCAAACTAACAGCAGTCACATGAAAGCATCATCAGCCATTGTAAGGCTTGGCTCCTGGCCTTGCTGCCTCTTTCTGTAGCTCCATGTCAACCTTGGCTTTGATTTTGTCCCAATCAACTTCCACCTATAACATACAGGTGAACCATGTAAATAAGACACATTTATCAAACTTTAATGAGGGGTAAAAATTGATTTCTCCCTTGAGAAGGCACCCCAATTACAGAATATTTCCATGTTGTTTGTAAAGGTAGTAACATGATTTCTCTTGCAATTTGGTGTTAATAAGCACAGGTAAAGTTTTCAAAGACAACAAAATTGTATGAGCCCATATGGTGAGTGCAATTTTTAGTCTTTGAAAAACTTTCAGGTGCTTATTGCACCAAATTGCAAGAGAAATCATTTTATTACTTGTTTAAAATGAACATGAAGAAACATCACCAAAAGTCAAGAAAGGCCAAATTTTGAAAGTGTGCCTGTGCTATTTGTAATTTGCACTCATATTTCAACTTTGCACCCATGTTACATGAGAAATGCACTTGTTTTCAGCCAATTAGAAGCACATTTTTTATCATGTAAATTATTAATATTAGATTGCAGAACAATTTGACATACACAAATTTTAGCCTTTGTCAAAAATATGCTTCACATCAACTATTTTAACAGTGAGAATGTGTCATGAATGGATTTAGGTCTACAGAAAGGAAACTTGAACCAATGAAAAGAAGATGTATATGCTTACCCCTTGTGTATACTGAAGAAAGCGTTTGCTTGTTTCCTTCCTGTCAAAGTTCTCCAGATATTTCTGTCGGTGTGCTAGAACTGTGTCCACATGAGTCTTGTGCTTAACAGCAAGTTCAAGGGCCCTGTCATAAAACAAAGGAAAGCAAACATAAGATATTAGGCTATCCATTTGTTGATAGAAAACTGGGTTTACGTTGTAGCTAATCCTTATTTCCCTTGATCACATCTGTTAGAGATGCAGTGGCTTCATTTTCTCAATGCACCTGAAAGACTATCAATGAGGAAAATCTCTTTTTGCGCTGCCAGTGATTTCTGTCTCAGTCTATACCTGTCCCAGTTAAAGAGATCTATGTTCATCTGTATTGCCCTGTAAATGAGTCCAGCTTGTAGGAGAATTGTCTCTGCTTCTTGAGTCTGTCTGCAGAACAATGCCATGGCAGCATTCCTTCCTTCTTTAGTAGGAATTTCCTTGATGTGATTGATGTATTGGACTTTGTCAGCCTGCGAATTGAAAACAAGTTTGACTGTGATTTCTGAGGCTACAGTTTACATTAAAGTGATGTCAATTTGACAAAGTTTATCTCCACAACTTTGGCAGAAGTTCTCTGACTTATGATTAAAATGTTGGCCATTTTTTAGCTAAGAGTCAATTTCTGTCTATTATGATCAGAAGAAAAATTTTTATGATTCACGGCTAACTTTTGAAAATCATATTTAAATTTAAAGCCTATTGGTTAAAATTTTTGCTGTTTTTCTGCTTAAGCTTATCCCATTAAGACCCTCATGGCAGTTGTTTCTGGTCAGCAGTTTGTCTCATGAGTGTATGCTAACATGAAGTCCACAAGTAGTTTGGTAGCTACTACTTTTTCAGCAACTCTGTGCAGTTTTGTGGCATTTGATTTCAAGTGTTCTTCCAGCTCACCCTACCCCATCTGCTCTTTTTCTTCCACAAATCCAATCACCTGGCCCATTCATCAGTTCTGCTTCAACCCCTCTCAGTCCTAAACCTGCTGCAGCTCACTCAATAACAGCACAATATTGACCCTTCACCTCCCATGAGTGACCAAGACAGAATTTCTCCTTACCATATCAATACAATATCAATCAGATTGGTGATGAGAATAAAGAAAAATATAAGATTGAGGATTTTCTACCTGATCCAGTACCAAACTCTCAGAACTAGCATTATTAGAATTGTATGGCAGACAGTGAAGATAATTACTAATGAGATCTTGGGCATTCAAGAGTTAAAAAGAAGCTTTAGTACCAACCTCATCTATAGCAGCATATGCTGTCTCTGCTGTGTTGAGATCCTTTGCATAAGCAGCCATTGTCGCTAAACACGCCCATAAAACAGTGTCCTGAAAAAAAAAGCAATAACATGGTTTTGACTGTCCATCCAAATTTTATCAATTATTCTTAATCTAGTCCAGATTATAGTTTGTTACTCTGACAGTCCTTTCTTCAGAAGCAAAGATTTGTTACGTTCAAATTCATATTTGTTTCTGTTTGGACTATCACACATAAATGGCATGAAATCAATAATCATTTTAATGATTTAATAATTATTTAATACCTTTACAAATCTGCAAAGTCGAATACCATCTTGCCACTTTGACTCACTGGCATACTTGTGTAGCATTGAAGGATATGGTGAAATTCTGTCAAACAACCAAACAACAACCCTCAAGAAAATTCATCCTAACACTCAACTTATATTACAGGTAGTGTTAACCCTTTAACTCCCAGGATCTGATTGTTAACTCTCTCCTCTAGCTGCTACACATTTACTTGTATATTAGTTGCAAGAGTTTGGTTTTAGATCAAGGTGACAACTACCTGATACATTTGAGTATATACTCTCATTACCTGTTTGCTGGATAGTGGACGGATATATATTGTTGGGAGAAGTTACATGTGAATCACTTCTGGGACTGAAAGGGTTAATATTGCATTATAGATAAAGACCTGATATTTGGATTTTAAAGTTAGTGTGAGCTATAGCAGATGAATTGCCATACATCACCACAAGTTGCATAGTTCAGCTTCATTTTCTATAAATCAGGAAAGTATATTATTTGAGAGAACTTAAGTCTAGTTTTATAGCACTGATGTGAAGAGAAAACTCACATTGTGCTGCACAGGGAGCCATCAGCTCTTCTCATTGTGCAGTGATTTTCCAGGAAGCTGACGATCTGGGGGTTCTTTCCAAAATCACTGAAAATGGGGGAAAAAAATGATGACAGAGTGACATTGGCATTGTAATTAAATTCAACTCCTGAAGAAGACCACTTCTTAAGATGGCTCTAAATTTTTTTCAGGGATCACCAGCAACTGGGCAACATCTGTTCAAATGAATTCCAAGTGTGGTAGTAAGTGAAATTGTTTTTAATGTTTTTGATCATTAATGAATCAATAAATAATACTAAAATTGATAACTTTGAAATCCATGGGTGTCTGGGATTGTTATTGACTGGATAGAAGGGATGGACAGAAAATACTTAACTCAAGGCCCATGATTGTGTTGTGACCAAGAGCAAAATATTTTCTTGTTGTGCCTGACCTAACTCAGCCAATAAGCATTTTAAAAGATGAAAGAAAGAATGACAGATGTCAAAACATACGTCACTTTAACTTTCTTCTTTAAAAAACTTAAGCTTGTATCTCGCAGAATGGAACAGCATGTTCTGGAGCAGCTTACATCATCATCTATTGTAAATACAGCCTTCATACCACAATTTTTTTCCCTTGATTTTCAAAAGGAGAGCTTTAGGGGTTGTACAGGTGCCATGATAAAAGAATGTAACCAAAACAGAGTTGTACAAAAGTCAGGATCTATTTGGTTAAAACCTGCATTTCTGAGCATTATCAACAACAGTTTACAAAATAGAAGAGGAGGGAAAACAGGATTTGAAGTCACACCACAGAGGTGGGAAGTAAACAAACTTTGCTGAGCACTTATCAGTCATGCGCCAACCCACCCCCTTTAAATGATAAAGGTGTTTTTGACTTAAGCATTGGCAGGGATTTTTTTCCTTACCTGGAATCTTTTTCAAGAAGTGTTTTGTGCAGGATATCCTGATCAACATACACAGCACTTGGATAGTACCAAACAATAAATCTACCATCCTGGAATGCTGATAACATGTTTGTGTTGTCATTCCATGCCATGGTTGTTATCATTGTTCCTAGATTAAAAGAGAAGTAAATTAAACAAGACTCAAATTAACCACAAAAAGGGTGTCTGCCAGTGGAGAGTAACTTTAGATAAAAGAATAAATACTATGCCTTGATAACATCTGGGGTGCTAAATCCTCATAAAACTATTGTAACATTAATTTATGATATTAAATCACATAATTATCTAACCAGGCATGAGGTCAGGCTTTTTGGAAATCAATTAATTTGCATTGTTCTGAGCTGAGATGGACAATATGCCAAAATTGTCAACTCCATAAATTCATTGTTTGAACGATCACTTGCTTTGATGAAATTTCATCAAATCTGCCATTTTGGTTTTGGCCTACATTCCTGTGACTTCTGCGAGGGCAAAATAGGAAATCAAGCAATCTCCTCAGAAAACCAAACAGGAAATAGGATTTACCTAGCTAGTAATGTTGCTTGCTCACAGATCACCAAAAGAGTCATTTCACATTTTGTATTTACTTTATATGAGGCCATCCCAGTCACAAAATGTTTATTCAAATTTACCTCTCAAAGATGTCAGTTGAAGAGAGCCTCTAATCAATTCTATAAAGTTGGATACACTTCCATAATTCACAAAGATTATTAATAATCAAAGTAAGTTGTCTGTTGTACTAACCAAGTTTAACCAATCTTTCAGCTGGACCAATGTGTTTGACAGGTGTAAGATAAAGATCTCTGTTTTTATCAATAATGGCCAGTTGCCTGCCACTAGTCTGACCACACTGGCTCAGAGAAATCTCCATTACTTCCAGCTGGAATAAGAAGACACCAGGGGAGCAGGTTAATCCAATAAACAAATAAAATAAATAATTCAAACAATTTGTAAGAAGTGGCTAATGGTAAACTATAACAAGGTTTGCTTATGATCTTTTTAGAGTATCTGTTAACAGACTCGACCTGCATGGTACTTTAAAAGAGTGAACTGAAGATGATTGCGTCAGCGCACATAATGCTGAATGCAAGTCCTCTTAGAACTTGTGTATAGAGAGGCGGGAAAAAACCAAACGCAATTTACAACTCCTTTAATTTAAAAAAAAAAACACTCACAGAGTGTTGGATTGGCTGGCCACTTCCAACTGGCTTTCCTGTCTGAGTTTCAAATAAATGGATAACTGAAAAAAAGAAAAAAACAGCAACAACAATGCAATGAAACTGTACAAACAAACTTAACACTTGAGTCATTTACAAGATCCTTCACTATGCCTTGTAGCATTATAATAGATTATTCTATGGCAAGGAAGTCCTGAAGTAAATCCAAGCAATCTGATTGGTTTGTACTTGTCCATATTTTGCTGTACAGATTTTTTCCATGAAAAAAGTCATAAACTATGTATTTTTGGTCACAAGAATTCTAAATAAACAACTTTAGTGCTAGGGCCATTTTAATTAATAAACTACTTACTAACCTGGCTTGCTTGAGCTGTACTGGGGAATGTTGGCTCTTGGTCAATTTTGTACAGACCTTGCTGTGCTTGGTGTGTACTGCCACAACCTTAGGTCAATATTCCCCAGTAAAGCCCGAGGACTTGATAAGTTAGAAGTTTAATTCACTGAAGGTGTAATTTCCAACATTACCTTTCTCATCTTTGCGATCTTTGACTGCAAGTGTATCATTGCTTAATGTACAAGTTTGTTCATTCAAGGTGTCAGTCCTTAGCCCCTGAAACTTTGGAACACAGGTCAAACGACCCTGCAAGATTGATCAAATCAATTGCGATGGATGGTTTAAAAACACAATTTAAGAGTTTCATGATGATAAAATAATTATAATGCTATTTAAACTGTCATGGCTGATCAGAGGTACAGAAAATGCATAGGACTCAAAACTGGCGCCAGTGTAAATATTTTGGCACAAACCTCATATGAGTAAACTTGAAGTCCTGAGTCATCAACTAGAAGAAAGTGTCTGAAAAAATAAAGCAACAAGTTAAAGCTCACTTTAAGATCATTCTTATGGATAAAATTTTGGTTTTATCAACTGAGTTGATAAAGAAAATTGGTCACGTTTTGAGTGTTAGCCCTTTATACTAGGCTGTTTCCTTGGGGATTCTTGAGATGACATCCTTCTGTAAACTGTATGTAATTGTTAACAAAAAAATTATCCCATATAATCATCTTATTGGGGAGCAGCAGAGTGTTCATTTTGCCTCTCACAAACATTTGATTTTGAAGGACAGATACAATTGAGGATTAAAAATAGGGGGAGAGTTTTTTAGCAAGCACCAAACTGTTAAAGACAGAAATTAAGTAAGTGGAAAAAAAGAAAATGTTTCATTAGTACTTACTTTTCAGTCTGGACAATGAGGGTGATATTTCCATTCTTGAGGTCAAATATCATTGGTGTGTTCCAGTTTCTGACACTGTGAAATAAAAAGCAAATATGTCAAATCAGTAATAAATATCAGCATATACAACAATGATCTTAGTTCATTGATTATTATTAAGACTCCATACCCATTCTAACGCAACTAACCTGTATATGTAGCACTGAGATGTTGTTGCTACAACAAGGTGGTTGAAAGCTAATGAAGTCTTGATAATACGATCTCGGAAGTCTAAAGGAATCATGAAGATCTTGTTTAGTGCAAAACACACTCTTACGAATGATCATGGAAACCAAAGATTTAGTAACAAGATTTTCAAGGATCTGAAAAAAAATTACTTTCAATGATATGTTCATTTATTATTACCCAATGATTCCTTCACATCATTCATTACATCTCTGACGAGAATGCTCTTGCGGTCTGTTACTGTTACTTCAAAGTTTTTCCACTCGAGACGTCTGCCAAAGGAAACAGTTCATAACAATTCCAATTCATAATAAGCCTCAATTTCCAGACTCTGTAAACTATATAACATAATGTAGCAAATTACTTTCCAATGTCTCACTCTCAGAGCTCACCTTTCAATGACATGAGCAAAGATAACTTGTCCATTCCCACAAGCACCAGCAAGCTGTGTTCCATCACTTGACCAAGAAATGTTAAAGATTGAGCCAGTATTGGGTTTCTCCAGAGTGTAAGACCACTGAAGGAATTACAGTGTAGACAAATATTAACACAGTGGTAATTGGTACAAAGCACATCATAATGTAGCTTCCAGTTGCCTTTGGTAAAAATTCAGAAATAGCCAACTTAAACAGACTACTTCTTCTGGTGAACAAAACTGTGCTACTTTTCATATTTAATTTTGTTTTCTGTACTTATTAAGTACAGAAAACAAAATTAAATATGAAAAGTAGCTTTCAAAACCTGAGCTCAATGGAGATTTTAAAATTAGAAACTCTGATTATGGTTTAATCCTGCAATTCATAAGCTTGTCGGCAGATTATGTTCATAACCCTTTACACCTTAACATCAGCATGCATATTCTCCACACTGTTCTCTATACATTTCCCAAGATGCTGACAAGGAGAATTTGTTTAACAATCAAGAGCTTCTTTAGTTGGTGATCATTTCCTTTATTCTCATGACCTTAATGTTTGATTCAGGGGTGATATTGTGAGGAGAAATTAGATGCTGGTCATTCTTAGGGGTTAAAGTGATAACAAGACTTCATGCATATCATTCTGCACCTTGTCTTTGTAATAAGTAGTTGTTTTCCTGCATACTTTACATATTTTATAAACTAGCAAAGAGGTTCCAATATTTTCTTTGAAGTATTGTTACACTGTATTATATTGTAATGGTGACATTGGTTGAATTGAGAGGATTTAGTCTGTAGGAGTATAATCATTTAATTTTCTATTTCTTTTTCTGCTAAATCAACATTTAATTTAAAAATAGTTTACCCCAGTTTTGTCACAGAGTCTCAGAGTATTAAAAGACCCAACAGCAAAGAGTTCACCTACAAAAGAGAGATAAAGACATAAAGTTATTTTGTAACATTTATCGTTCATGTGTATCTATTCTTGACGACAGATATAAAATCTCAGACAAAGTGACTGCAGAGATTAATGATACCAAAAGAAAAATGTCTGTTCAATACCTGTTTAAAAGTCCAAATAAAAAGAAACTTACCATCTGGAGCCCATGAAATACTGGTAATAGGATATTCATGCAACATGCTGGAATACAACACTCTGCCGTAACTGTCCCAGACCTAACAGGAAACCAATGATAACAAAGAAAATTATTCCTTGCCTTCATAATTGTTCAGCATCTTCAGCAAAGGCCATATCTGTCTTTTTCCTTGTCTAATATAAATCAAAGCCTGTATGTTAAGTACCTTATATTTGCAGTCTTCTCCCCCAGATATGATCAAGTTATTGATAGGATTCCAGTCCACTTTTAACACAATTCCATCATGAGCTTTCCACTATGTTATGAGATATATATAAAAAAAGATGAGATTAATTTGAAATATTTACAGTGAAGGGATTTCATAGCTAAATTGAAGTAAATATTACACCCAATCTGTTGTGTCTTCTCAATAGCATCACAAAGCGACAACTCAGAAGTAGCTGGCACATCCCTGGACATAACATAACAATTGTTCTACAGTTCTTCTCTCCCAGACTACCTAGTATATACATGTACATCAAAGTAGTAGCAAATGTGTTAATTGTCCATTGATCAGGGCTGCACTCCTTCAAAGAGTTTTATATCACTGGTTTGTGACCACTTTGACATGAGTAAATTAACTCCAAATAGATTTAATTTTAAATACCAGTCACTAATAGATAATGGGTTAGAATATTCTGTAAGCTAAAGGTGCAAACTAAGTTATCAGCTTCCCAGGTAGAAATCTTATTAAGATCTTACAAGATCTTATAAGATCCTCTAAGAATCTTACAAGATCCTTAATAAGATATAAGATCTCACTATAAAGATTTTTGATGTTTTGAAAATCTCAAAAGATCTTATCAATTTTTCAATAAGATTCTTAGTTAGATGGATTTATTTTAGGAATTTTAGTAAGATCTTGTAGGATTTCTTGTAAGATTCTTAATAAGATCTTATTGGGTGATCTTTCTAAGACTCTTGTTATATCTTAGTAGGATCTTATGGGATTTCTCGTAGGATTCTTAATAAGATCTTATTGGGTGATCTTTCTAAGACTCTTGTTATATGGAAATGTTATGGTGCTGTAAAAAAGATGTGAAGAGGAGGTTATTCTGTTTAAGTTACTTACAAGATCTTATATTATAAGGGATCTTAATAAGATTCTTACAAGAATCGGTGAAAGATTTTTAAGAAATTTTCTTGTAGGAATCTTATAAGAATCTCATAGGATACCTGTAAGAATCTTGTTAGAATCTCATAGAAATCTTACAAGAATCTTATTAAGATTTTTAAAGGATTTTGGGTAAGATCCTGTTTAGATTCTTATTAAAAATCTTACTAAGATCCTGCCAGGAATCTTATAAGATTTGGTAAGAAACTTGGTAAGAATCTTAATAAGAATCTTAATAAGATTTCTACCTGGGTTGTTACAAACAATACCTGCACTAGTTTAGCAGCAGCTTGTAAAGGTTTAATCACTAACTGCTTTCCACTTGTGTGAAGAATCTGGTCAGAGTCTGGGCTCCATGATACAGAATATACTGGGGTCCCTGTGAAAACACAATTACTAAAACATATTACCACTGTAGCATAGCTTGTAATTAAGGCAAGTCAAACTCAATTGTACAAGCATGATCTTGACTGAAATTTTCAGGATTTTGGCAACTAGATATAGACTTTCACTATTCTTGAAATACCAATTTCCAAACCTTTAGGTTGAGCCCCAGGTGACTTGGTCAAATCTTCCAAGAATCAGTTTTACATGCAAGACTGCAAACCTTTCTGGTAGAGGGAGAAACCCATTCAAAAAAATTCTGCCTCAGCTTATTTCTAATGTGTGAATTCGAAGCACCAAAAATTTACAGCACTGTATTAAAGTTTTTGCACACAAACCTGCTTGAACCAGTGTTGATCTTAACATTCCACTCCTAGACCATATCTTTACTTGGCCATCTTCTCCAACTGGTAAAAAAATTCAAAGATAAAATTAATAGCAGTACACTTAAAGATATACTCTGAATTAAATGCTTTGAGTTTGAATAGGCATTTATTATCACCTTGCTGCTAAATTTACTTTTGCTCTCCGAAGGTAAAACAATCAGCCAAGAAATGGGTTTGCAGCCAGTGAATATTTCTGTGTTATTTTACAAGACACAGTTCAAACAGGGTGAAGCACACCAAAATCAATATAATTATTGCTCTCAAGTGTCTCTTACAACCATACTTTGTCCACAACTGGTAATTTGAGAGTTTGCTTTCAGACAATCTACTGGCTGGCTAGGAAAATAAACTCATATATGCAGTCTCCATTCAGGTGCATAATAGTCCATTTTACAGTTGCATGCTTGGTTGCCAAGCCTTTGAACAGAGGTGTCAAAGCTAGGGGTCTTGTTATGATACAAACACTGCTGCTAAATCACTTTGTTATCATGCTAACAAGATACCGGTCTCTATCACAACATGGTCACCTTCAGCCTCACTCCAAATCAAAGGCTTGGCAACTATGTACACAACTATATAATGGCTTACTCAAATAAGGAAGGCCTTTCAAACCTGTCACCATTGCTGATCCATCAAGGCTCCATCTTCCAGACAGCACAGCGCCCCTGTGAGCTTCAACAGATTTCTCAATACGACCATTCCGAGATATCAAGTGGAATTTACCTGTAGGAAATGACAAATAACAGGTTATACACCCAATAAATTTAACACAAAATATCCTTTATTTCCTTCTTAAACCTTTAAACTCCTGAGATCTGATTCTTAATTCTCCATCATTTCTTTGTATATGTAAATAAATTACGAGAATTTGGTGTTGGATTAGAATATTCTCATTACCTGTTTGCTGAATGATGAATGGACATAACAGAGAGAAGTTAAATATTAATCACTTTTGGGTGTTTAAGGGTTTAAAATGCAATTTAACATTTGAACTCAGGAGTCAGGAACATGTTCAGTGACTACTGATAAATTTGCAAAAAAAGTCACCCACTGGACAACCCCTATGTCAGGCAGTCATGTGACCTCATCTTTAGAGATGAGCTTACCATCTGTTGAAGTGAGGACAAACAGCTCTGACTGGCTTTGTTTTTTGCCTCCAGCGCCACGCGGAAACCAGTGTATGTCAGTTGGAAAGATCTCTGCTGGCAATTTCATGACCTGTTTAAGAGACAACCACCAGAAAGGTTGACAGAGAAAAAATCCACCTTAAGTTTAAGAACTCACCATTAATTACTAACAACATTGGAATGACAATAAACTTTCTAACACTGTGAAATGAAACAAGCCTACCTGTGTGGTTTCATCTGATAACAGATTCCATTTCAATATGCTGTGATCATCTCTGTTAGAGATCAAAAAAGACAATTCAAGTATAAATTGGTTAAAATTAAATCACCTGAAAGAATCATAAAATTGAATACAGTGGAGGTAAGGGTTAAGTCTGTACTCAAGCCAAGTACCCCATCCTGTGGGAGCTTATTTCAGTTCCTGTTGCATGAAGTGACTAGAAGCATTGTTGCTCCCCCCTGGATTGAACATTAATTAGTCCATCGTAGGTTATCCCTCAGCATTTCATCAGGCTTCCCTGACAGTTCACCTGAGTGCCCATTTGTTCTCCCAGGTGCAGAGAAGTACTCAAACTTAAACTTCTTGCCTCATAGTGGAGCGCAAGCAATTAGAGCACTAGGTGTCCCTGTGCATCACCATTGTTTTTCTTTTATCTTTTTTCCTGGTGGATTTCTAAACCAATCACATCTAATACATGTGAATTAACCTACCCACTAGAAAACAGCTCATCAGCTGATGTCCAACCGACACAACTTACAAGATCTTTATCTGTTGTCGTTGGTCAAGAATGTTATAATACAAATGCAAAGGAGACGTTTTGTAACCAATGGTAAACTCTTAGCTAGTCGAAATGTTAAAACAAAGTCAAGTAAAGGTTCTATTTTCTAGTTCGTTTTAACGTAAGGTGTAGCACTTTAAAATCGATTTACGACTTAAGTTTTAAATTATTATAAATAATGGCTTTTGAACTGAGTGGAGCGCAATTTGGTTGTGATTTCTGGTCAGCATAAGGAAAATGATGCGACAAGGTACATCGGCTTATCCAGAGGTAGGGCTTGAGCCAAATCTGCTGGTGTTTACGGTACGTCTGCGCATGATCTACGTCTACTAGCATTTTGATTAAAAAGGATACGTTTTGATTCTTTTAATACGTGAGTCTTGAACCTCATATTCGATGTTTTCAGCCGCCTTTCGCCTCAAATGCAAATCTCTCTTGTCCTTGACAACCAACAGCAACCAGTGACCAAGGTAAACAACTTTGATGAATGTGGTTCAAAATACGAACATTTTCCTCAAAAAAGCACCATGAAGAGGAGTATTAGCCACTCATAAAGGTATCGTAGATACACAGTTACCTGAACCAGTAGATTAATAGAGAATTTTGAAGGTTTTTTTGCAGAAATAACTTGACCAATTTGGAAAGAAAGTTATTTTCAATCGCTCATGAATTTGCTTTGCAACCTGGCACTTTCGGCCGTAAGAAACTGGGTACAAGTAAACATTCCTTCTCTTTTTCCTTGAGATGTTGGAAACACTTACATCGCTGTAATGAATATTTGGACGTGAAGTTGAGTATCCCTATCAGAAAGCTATCCAATAAGCTCAAGCTGTGGCAGGCAGAGATTATTTCGAATAAAACTGAAGAATTCAGAGACTTTTTTAAGTTTTCGTGACCGGTGCGAAGAACCCTTTTTTTTTTCTTTTTTTTTTTTTTCGAAAAATAGACCAGTCACGTTATTGGACCCAAACACTGATTCCAACTAGATTTAGTTGAATCAATAAGAACCTCGAACCGAAGCAAGCAGATATGATAGAGAACTCAGATGGAACCAGAACCGTGGTGCAATATTTGATGTCATTAAAAGCCTACAACAGCATGTTATCAAAACGGCACAGGCTCTGCACCGAAAAATTTCTCTCTATTGCATGAGCAATAAGGAGAAATATTTCAAACTGAGTTTCTAACAGAAAGTTATCTAGGCACCAAGCCTTAAAAGGCTATTCCCTTTAAAAAGCTTTCATTGCGGGCATAGGCATTTACTGGAATCCGAGAAGATTTCTTCACCGAAATACCGAGCATAATTGGTTTGGGTTAGTGTATACAGCTGTTCACACCATTCTATCGTTGATGGGTTTATAACAAATTCACATCTGCAAGGCGAAATTGATATGGATTGATACGTCAGCTCGAACTTGTTTCAACGTTTGTGTCAAGAGGTTGGGCAGAGCAAAAAAAAAATATGAAGTATGACTCGACTGCTAACCCATTAGTTCAAATGAAAGGAAATAAGTTCAAATACTAAAATGATAACAGATAAAATGCAGTCGGCCATGAAGATTCCCGTAAGGGAGTAATTTTCAATGTCTAGACTCAAAACAATTAAGTTCGATTAAGTGGTAAGTTTACAACGTACTCCATAGCTTATAAAAGCACAAATTGTGTAAAACAAACATAGCTGTAGCATGCTAGCCGCTTCCCATTTAGCGAAAGTTTACACCATGTCGGCATAATTTGGATTTGTGGAGGAAAGCGATATTACAATGAACGGATTAAATTGCTGAATGGGTCGAATCTTTGCCACATTTCCGCGGTTAGTGGTCGCTGGCTACCATTTTTATTCCTCAGGCAATTAATTCAAGTAGCGTCGCCTGGCTAAGGAAATACCTATTTTACTGAGGTGAAACTTCCTTCCGGAATTTTCTCACCCGCCGTCTAGCCTTGTTTGCAGTGGGAAGAAACACATGTACAAGAATTTACGTGTCGCCATGGCGCAGACGTTTGTGTTGTATTTGGTCGTTGTTTTAGGAACTTTTGCATCCGTCGTAAGGACCCAAGGTGAGCTGGTTAGGCAAACATTGTTTTTTATGAATAATAAATGCACTATGCTGCGGTTTCTGGGTTTATACCGAGCTTTCCAATCCAATTTAATCAAAACCTTTTGCCTCTGGTATGCAAAGATCATTTAGAAAGACGTTCCGTACCTAATGAAAGTGTGACTAATTTGTTGAGGAATTCTCTTGCTTATTTGAGTCTCATATCGGCGGGAGAAAGTCTGATTTTGCGAATCAAAAACAAGTTTCAGGAAATAATGGGTGAATCCATTTAAAAGGCTAAAATGTTTTACTCTCTGAATTGTCCCTCTTCTTATTCGCTCTCATTTGAAGTTATATTTTCACGCATCGCTAACTGATTCTAACCGAGGGGATCATCGAATGTGTCTCAAAACGAAAAAGTGAAAATTTTCTAACGAGAACAACCTCTATCCTGCTTTTCACTAAGTAATTTGTGAGGGCGTCGGGTAAATTTATCATTCCGAGAATCTCCGTCGAGTAGCCACTTAACCGATATCAGTAACACACGATTACTCACAGATATGACATGGAGATGCGTTGAATAACTGAGATGTACATCTGTTTATTAAGAAAATGACCGATGCAGCTGAGGTTTAGCAACTTCATGTAAAAATTTTACGTCTAATTATAAATCAACTGCTAAACTAATTAGCGTGAAAACCAAAAAAATAATACCTCCTTGAAGGAAAATTGAAATAATTGTCTCTCTCGTTAGCAATAAACTCATATCTATAATCTTCTTTAGATAATGTACTTATCTTTAAGCCGAAAGCTAACAATAACAGTACATTCCCAAATAGAGAAAACGCGTTGACTCTTAAATTGGTGTATGCACCACATCTGAAACGTTTTAAGAGAATGATACTCAATTTTTGAACGTTGAAAAGTCTAAGTTCTTTCTTTTACAAAGAGTTACGCTCACGGGAAAGGGTCACGTTCATTGCGAAAAGGACGTCAGATATTCACAGAAAAACTTAAAAATTAAATATTTTTGAAGCAGAACAGCTTATAAAAACACAGCTTTGAAATGGTGTCATAGTTATACCCTACTGGCAATAAATTCCTGCGGTTTTTTTCGTAGGATGTTTTAAGCATTATTGGCATTACACAATACGACGGCAGAACAGCTGGGATTTTTCTCAGCACTGTAAAGTGAAAAAGCTCTCCCTCCCGTAATGATCTCACGTAGTGTGGGTGGAACTTAGTCTGGTACCCAGACCTTTCACGGGTAGGGTGACAGTTACACGGTAGAATCTGGGTACGAGATTAGGTAGAGCTTAGATAAACGCAAAACAGGAGCAAATTGAAAAAAGCTGGTAAAGAGAATTAATCGATGAAAATTTAAACCGGAAGGAACTCATCCTGAGCTCCTATTCAAAACGTTTCCATATACTCTTTTTAACGCCTTACACCCAGACATCAATAAGGATTTTCTCCATTCAAATCTCTATACATTTCCAAGGGAGCGGACAAAGAGAATTTACTTAGCAGTTAAAAGCGTCTTCACCTCATGACCTTCATTTGTGATTTAAAAATGACATTGTAAAGAGAAATTAGATGCTGGTCACTCTAAGGAGTCTTAGGGTTATGAAAAAGTTCCTAAGTCAATTCTCTCAAGCCTAGTTCGTGTCCAAACCTAACGAACCTGGGCGAATGAAGTTAAGAGCTTTTATTAATTAAGGTAAGGAAAAATATTGAGCTTCACTGGACATTTCCATGAGTTGCAGGCACAGAATGGGAGGAATACACTCCATATTGGTGCACCCCAGTGGGGAGAGTTTTGATGAGCCGAGGAACGACTGTTAAGGAATGTAAAAGTTATTGCAATGAAGGCTGTGGAGCAATCGAGTGGTGGGAGGGCGGAGGTCAAGCGTGTTATCTGTGCACTGACTTGAGTCTTCTGATTGAGTTCCCATACACGCGGGATCTATCCTATCCTCCTCATGTGTTCATCAAACAATCAGGTATGCCTGGATGCGTGTTATTTTTTTTGTCATTTGGCTTGATGAGAACGTGGTTGCCGAGTGGGCGGCATGCTGGATCCTGAATCCAGAAGTCCAGGCTCAAGTCCACAACTACTTCCTTATGTTCTGTTCTTGCGTGGTCTCAAGTTAATCTTTAGGTTTCGAGGTTAGGATTCATTATAGTATTATCAGGGTCAATTGCTGTATTCTTGATGTGAATGTGCTAGTATCTCTTCTTCTTTCTTTTTCCGCATAGTGCTTGCCTAAGAGCTGGCCCCTTTTATAAGCGCTGCAGGATGCGCGTACCTTTGCCCGCGGGGAGGATTTGAGACGAGTTGGGGGAGGTTCGCCGGGAGTCTGGCTCTGATATCAGTGCCAGACCCCTCGCCGACCTCTCGCTGGCTTACGTTGCTTCAAGCCTCATTCTTTTCCGTGAGCGAGGAAACCTAGTGCCGGAAGGCCCGTGACGAGGGCCCTCTCGCAGGTTAACATTGTGCCAGTATAGATGCCAACACGCTCCTCTTACTTAAAGTGTTATGCTTGTGATTCTTCATTAATACACAACACCATTTTATGTTGTTCATCCTTTTGTTTTCAACTAAACTAGATGCGCAAGCTACACCTACTACTATTGCGACCACGATTGCAACAACGTCAACAGCAGTAACGTCTGATGAAGGAATACCGACAACCACACCTGAAGAAACAAAGACAACTTCTTCGATGGAGGAAATATTCCCAACTGTGTTTCCGATAGATGAAGATGACATATCATCTACGCCAGATGAGGAAGGTACAACATCTGCAGCAACAGATGGAGAGGATATTGCGTCGACTCCTTTCCTAGTTTCAACACTTGCAACAGAGCAGGAAAAGACATCCGCCGTATATCAAGAAGGTACCACCGCTTCCCCAGAGATGACAACTTCAGCGCCAAGTGTAGAAGGAACAACGGCTAAACCAGAAAGAACTACAACAAGGTCAGCTGTGGAAGGAGATGGAACGGTTTCTGAACCAGATCATCGGATAACAACCTCTGCTCTGAATCTACAACAGACAACAACTAGTCCGTTTCATGGAGGATCAACTTCTACCACCAACGAAGAAAGTACCACCAAGGAGGCAGAACAGGAAATGACCGCCCTTTCACCAATCCAAGAAAGTACTGCATCTGCTTTGGACCTACAAACGACGACATCTGCACCTGAACACGAAAGGCCTACCTCTAAACCAGAGGTGGAAGGAACAAATACAGGTAAAGAGGAAACAACACCTTCACCCGGCCAAGAGGCAAAGACCTCTGAACTGGACCCAGTAGCAAAAGACCCAGAAAAAGAAACTTCCCTTCCTAACAAAGAAGCAACAACCACTTTACCTGAAAAAGGAGCATCTACCTCAGTGCCTGAGCTGGAATGGACGACCTTGTCACCACATTCAGGAAGAAAGACATATGCGCAAGGAGCGACCCCCGAGTCACACGAAGACACGACATCATCTCCATCAAGTAAAGAAGCCACAACCTCCGGACCAGAGCTCATAAAAACCATTTCAGCACCAAATAAAGAAGGATCGACATCTGCAACACGTCAAGAAGGGACAACATCTCTTCTACAGCAAGCAGGAATCACCTCTGCATCAGAAGCTGTGCCACCTGCCTCCGAGAAACAACAAGAGGGAACAAGCTCTGAACCAAGTGAGCAGGTAACAACTATACCACAAGGGCAGGAATTTTCAACTTCTTCTTACAAAGGAATTACCCTCAAGCCAAAAGAAGAACGGACCACAGTAACACATCCTGAAAAGAAAATGACAATTTCTAATGAAGGGAAAACAAATTCAGCGAAAGAGGGAGGAACATCATCTACACCAACAGAGGTATACAGTCTTTGTCTTAAAGTATTAATCGTTCCTGAGATGTGACAAAATTATTTGCTCCATCGTTCATAATAAAAACACGGAACACTCAGGAAGAAACCCACTTTCATTTTAGAAGTATGTAATTCCATTAGACAGCGTGATCATGATTATGAGTGTAATCGCATAAACGACCCTTTCTTGTCGGTAGTCATGACTAACGTCTCAAAACCCTTCGCGGTAGTCCTTCTCCGAATAAAATGACTTCTTTCATTGAAAACCTTCTCAATACGATTTTTTGTTTACTTGAATTTAATGATTGCTTCCTCTTGAGTTGCCAAATTGCATTTGTTCACTGCGAACGACTATTCATCTTTCGAGAGCAACCCTCATTACTATTTTTTTCTTCCCTCAATTCCATTTAGAGTCATTCCATAAGATCTCCCGTGACTCTTCCTGGCGTTCCAATCGAAGTATCCTCCAAAACCATCTCGGAAACGGAGCTAGAGGTGTCCTGGATGCCACCACATGAGGGACGCTCAAACATTTTGTTCTACAGAGTCAAAGTTATCGACGTCAGTGGGGGTAAGTACTGTCTGTGTAACTAAAACAAGATTTCATGTAGTTGCATTTTTGATGGATAATCATTATTGTACTGTGATACACTTATGGTATAGGTATATTTACGCCAAATAACCTTGAAATTTGGATGATTGCTACTTTGGACGGTAGATGGGCGTCTTCTCTGTCTTGAAAATTTCAAATTTAGAAATGCTCAAAATCTTTATTGAAGTATTATCAGTAACGCGATATAGAGGGTTTCTCTGGTTCCCTCTGACTTGTAACTAATTGCAATGCATCCTGCAAGTCCTTAGTCCAAGTCCTGTCTGTGAGAGCATACCTTTACCACTTTTCACAGTTTCTGATACAAAAGGCCTGAAGAGGCGTCTGTATTTCCAGGCTAACGCTTCCTGGACAAATATGTTTGTTCATAACCCTGTATTGTCATTTAAGCAGTGTTCGAACACAGTGTCTACAAGATACCGATGGTGGCGAAGGCACTTCGCTTACATCGTGGTGATTTTTAGCTGTTGTAGCTCATTTCTGTTACTGATCTTCTTCTCTCTCTCAGGCGGGCTTACAAGAATAATCCAAGTGCCGCAGTACGTTCAGTCAGTCACGGTCGACTCCCTTAATCCGGACACGGAGTACTTGTTTGCAGTATCAGCTGGCAATCAACATGGAATTGGACCATTGTCGGAGGAAATGTCTGGGCGAACGAAGGCCATAATAGCAAGAATAGAACCCACAAAGGACACTGAAGTGCAAAGTACGAGTCAAGAGGGTAACAGCTTATACATTTCAACTTATATACGTTTTTTTCCTACCTATGGGCAATTTAAATAGTTTTGAAAACCCACGTTCGTTATGTCGGGGCGAGTTAGGAAAACTGGGTCGAGTACACGAAATGAAGACTTCCTAGAGACTTCCCCGGAAAACTTCACCTCATGCAATCCTGAATTTCTGAAAACGAAACAAAGATAGGTTAAATGAATCACGTCAAAAGAAAAACCCTCCTTTTCTCTTATATCTTGTGGGGAAATTTTGATGATTTAGCATAGCTTGACGTATTTGATGCAGTTCCTTTTCACTATTTCTATCGAGGACATCACAAAATGGAACAAATCAGGTGCCCAAGGTCTGTGTATTTTTTCGTATGTGGTTGGCCATGTTTACAACCCAGCTATTTCTATACACGATTCTCCAATGGATTATATTCCAAAACCAAGCGTAAAGTTCTCTTTTCGCATTGACAAATTTATATTATTGTCTCGCTTTGCAATACTCGTTGAAAAAGTTCTTCCAATTTTACTGGAAAACTTCAACGTTTTTCAGCTCCATTCACGACCATTTCTTCTTTCTTCCAACAGAGCCAGTCGTAAGACTCTCTCACCGCACAGACTTTGTCGTTGCCGGAATGGACAAGAGTACCAGAGCCATATGTTTTGTGAGTGGACAGGAATTTATTGGTTGGTTTAAATCAACTGGGAAACAAATCATTGGCACAAGTCCTAACCACAGAATGTACGTGGAGGACGAAGATGACAGCTATTCGCTTGTAATCCGCAGGCTTATGCAATCTGATGGCGGGGAATACGTTTGCCGTGGAACCAAAACGAGTGCAACTTATTCGCTCTACGTCGAATGTAAGTGCTGTATGGTCTAATGATAGAAAAACATTCAGGAGCCATTCTTCCATTGTAAAATGGCAAGGGTTTGAAACAGCATTGATCAAAACATAAGGGAAAGAACGGGCCAGGTTTCCTCAGAAAATTCTTGACAAGAGGATTATTGGCGAGCATATTGCAATTCTCTTCAAAAGAGTTCGGTAAACTTTTGATTTATGAAAAAATAAACCTTGATATATATTTTAAATTCTTACCAAAAAATGAGGAATGTGCATGTTGCGAGTGGAAAGACGCATTTGGAAAATGTTTTGCTTGAGTTTCTGCGGAAATTAGTCTTTCCTAGCGGCTAATATGCTGGAAACAACTACAGATAGAGAAGTCTAGCTTTGAGTCCAAGCTGGTTCATTGTGCCATTTTATTGGGCCATTTTATTTGGTCACTTTATTGGGCCATTTTATTGGGCCATTTCATTGTACCATTTTATTGGGCCATTTTATTAGGCCATTTTATTAGGCCATTTTATCGGGCCATTTTATTGGGCCATTTTATTCTTAAAGTGCCTCTCTTAACCCAAGATTATAAACGTGAACTGGCAAACTGTCAGGGGAAAAATGACGAATTACAGTGAGGTTATTTGTTTAGGATTGAAATCCCACTGCCGAGAGGATGAAGTGTTTGTCCATCCCTGAAATGAAAAAAAATCAATATTCGTGAAAGCCTATCTGAGCTTGCGTAGACTTCCGAAGCTGTCGCCTCTTGGCAATCTTTCCCATGGTGTTTTCTTTCCGTTTGACTTCTTTTTCAGGCGTACTAGGCCTATGAATATTACGGATGCCCTAAAAAATGTATTGTGTTAAACTGTTTTTTTAACACACTTTTATAGATAACAGTTGTGCGATCGTATCGAGCCGCCATGTTTGTTTTGCATGTTTTAAAACTTATGCTATGTTCGCACTCAGATCTCGTGCGGTCAAAAAAACCCTATGGAGCCTTCTTAAACCTAAAGGTCTCTCTAATTTTGCGTCGACAGTTTCTGTGGAGGATCCTCCAGACGTTCAAAACTTATGGTTAAACCAAGAAGGTGAGATATTTGTCGGTGTCAAGATTGGGTACCCGGCTCCGGAGTATCTCTGGCAGAAAAATGGAGTCAAACTTGACGCAAACTCAGGTCGATTTCGTCTCCTACCCGATGGAACCATCAAAATTAGTAAAGTGTCCGCCGAAGATGCTGGAGATTATAAAGTGAGAATATCTCAATTGAACAGGCGACGGGAAACCACTGAAACAATTAAAGTTAGGATTTTTGGTAAGCGATATTCGTTACATTTAAAATTGAGATCATAAGCTCGAGATTTCGTTCACATGGGTTTGGGGTGAAGCCCGAAGGAAGTATAATGCACAAATATGGAGGCAAATGATCCTTATAGAGAAATCTGTTTTTTGTCTCGTCACGAGCATGGGACAAAGAAAAAATTCTGAGACAGCATGAGGAATCGAACCTCAAACCTTCGGATTCCGCGCTACGGTGCTCTACCACTGAGCCACAGAGACTCTGGAAAATCACACTCAAGACAAGACGAAAACATCTTTCTATATTTCTTTACCAAGCTCAAAACGTACCTTCTCTCTTATTCTAATGATGCTTACGTTGCAACATAAATGTGCTAGTCGTTTGAACCTTGATAAGAAGACAGGCTCATGTTTCCAATAATATTAGTAGTATATGACCTTCAGGCTCGTTAAAAGTGTTTCCGGTTTCTGCGCTTGGGTAGTCCATGTTGTCTCCTCGTCCGGTAGGCCTCCTACTCAAACCAGCTTTAAAGGCGAACTGGGCCAACCTGTCTAAATATCGCAAACAAAAAACTAAATGAAGTTAATTGAAATCCATAGACCCTCCGCAGATCGACACCACAAAGCCAGCGGAACGCAACCTCACCTTTGGCTATCCAACGACATTAGAATGCTTAGTTTCCGGTATTCCCAAACCGGAAGTCACATGGACCGGCCCAAATGGAGAGACAGTCACAGGGTCTGAGCAACGCATTTCATTTCAAAGCGACGGTAGTTTAAAGATATTTCAAGTAAACTTGATGGATATGGGCAGATGGACCTGTGAGGCGATAAATTCTGTGGGAAGTGCCAGCCGACAGATTGAGGTTCAGGCGATTTATAGTAAGTTTTTCTAAGATAAAATTGGAAGGTTTAAATATTCTTTTACAATATGCGATAGATAAATTGTTATAAACGACAAAGAAAATGTATATAATGCCCAATTATGATGGTTCATGGTAACCATCATTGTAACCAAAGCTGAAAACAATAAACGTGGGAGAAACTTGGCTGAAACTGCAGGCATTCAGGCCCAAATCTCGTAGGAAAAGGGGGAGGAAGGAACTCACGTTTTGGTGCAGTAAATATTGAGAGTGCAGAATCAAATTGGCCTTTTAACAAGTCATTTCGTCGGGATGGCGTTTAACACTTAAATTTTTTTAGGGACTTTTTCGAAATCAATAATTTTCATATCAATTAAGGATCGGACGCATTGGACACTTTTAACACGCCAAAGAAGTTTGCTTGTGCTGTGAAATTTGAGTGAGGGTTATGTGCTTGGCTTTTTTCTCAATGAGATACTGCTTCTCTCATAACAGTGCTCTCTCTGCTCGCTCGCGACTAAATTGTAAGATCTTTTAACTCTAATTTTATTCAGCTCATTCTCGCAACAACGGCCTATATTTCAGATACAATCAGCTGGTTCGCTAGAAAGTAAAAATTTTGGTAATTATGTATTGATTGAGAACTTTGCTTTGCCAGTGCCGCCGGAGATTCATCAGCTTTCAAACATCAGCGCAAATGAAGGAGATTCTAAATCATTGAAATGCACCGCTAGCGGTTTCCCTCTCCCGAAAGTGATTTGGCTCAGGGACAACAAAGAATATCCAGGACAGATGGTGGGTTCTGACATGGACACTTGTTTAAACCTCTATTTCATCGGTTTTCGATATAAGACTTTTTTTTATTGAAACTAAACTTTGGGATTATCTGTTGCAATCAAGTAGTCTAAAACTGAAAATTCGAAGTTACACAATAAATTATTCGTGAAGAGCGATACTTCATGTGGGTCCGATTTCTGGCGGTAATCTGCACATATCAGCCAAAAATTGTTAGTACTCCTTGACGCATAGGCGGGATAAACGGGACAGGAAAGCGGGTTGTCGTGCATAGTTTATTTCCTATTACCTTTTAAACCACAGAAAAAACCTGGCGAGAGCGTGTTGAACCTGGAAGATCTCGGCTTAGACGACATCTCGAAGTTTATTTGTGAAGCTTCTAATGCAGCAACGGACGAGGAAGGAGAAATTATTGTCAAGACAGTTGCTGTTGATCTCTTTGTTATGGGTAGGTATTTTACGTCAACTTTGCTAAGGTGGTCATTTTAATTACAGTTCCCATGTCTGCCGTTGCTAAGAACAGTGAATCACGTCAAAAAAGGTAAAAAAGAAACTGGATGGGATCAATGTTTCTTGAGAGGCCATTGGGCACGAAGTCACGACAGCAGGAAAAAAATTTACTGGTGTTTTTCTCAAAAACGTTAATTTAATGAAACATTTTAGTACATTGTTTAAATGCGATGTTGGAAAACCACATTCCAAATTTAAGGGGTTCACGTTGAAAAGTGTCCATTCTTTAAGAACTAGAGGTAGGGTAATTTTCCCACCGAAAATGATATTTGAATTACAAAGTCACGATGCCGCGTGACTTAAGGCTCTGACGTAGGTTTGTGTGTTCCATATCGGATCGAGGCAATATGGCTAAAAGTGAGTGAAGAGTAGGGGAGGCAGATTTTTTGTCTCTGGTGAGCATGATGAGCAAAGCGGTTAGAAAACCCTATATACCCCTTCAATAATGACTGAATTTGTTGTATTTTGTGCAATTTTAAATCATAACGCTTTCTTTCAGTTGAACCAAGGCCATACGATTCAAACCTGGTCAAAGAACCCGTCTATAGTGAGCTCGGGAGCCCAGTCCCCGTCCGACTGGCCTGTGCATTTACCGGTTACCCTCCCCCTGAGGTGCGGATCACAAAGGATGATGATAGTGTGGTGAATGGCATAGAATCAGTTTGGATTGACATCGTAACAGACAGCCTCGATGATTACGGAGTGTACCACTGTGTCGCCGAGAATGTGGTCAGTCTTTCCAAGTTAAATTATACCTTCGAAGTCAAGAGATCAGGTTGGTATTGACTCCATAAAATTAATATGATAGTTGTGCTACGCCGGTGAGTGATTCTTGTCAATGATCTTCAGGGCACATTTCAATTGGGTGTTGTCGCCTATGGCCAAGGTTAAATACCCTCTACAGCCATTCAAGGAGCCAATGAGCTTAAAGCGCGGGAAAACACATGTTGACGGTTGCGATTGGCTTCAGCTAAATATCTGATTGGTTGAGGGGGGCAGGGGGGTAGGCAAGTTTTCTAGACCAATCAAGAAGCGAACCGAATCAAAAGCATTGCAATCCCACACTGCATTCAACACTCAATTGAAAATAGTTAGATAAACTAGCTGTGAGTTACAAAACGTCATTATCTAGTCAAGTCAGCAAAATCTAAGTTTACGTTCATTTCATTCATTCTGTCAGAGGCTCCGAAGTTTACGTTAGAGCCCAAGGTCCCCACTGGAAATCTAACCGCAGGCTTTCCAGTGACCATGACATGGAACGTTTCCGGTATTCCAAAACCGGAAATGAGATGGAAGAGCCCTTCGGAAGGATATGTAACTTTGGTCAATCCTCGCTTTTTGTTGAGTGAAAGAAATCTTACCATTAAAACATTGGAGGAAAAAGACGCTGGAATTTGGACGATAGAGGCGACAAATAGCTTGAAAACCACGAAAGTTCAGGTGCAATTCGGCACAATATTTGGTAAGAGGCCAGCAACGATTTTAGATCCGGCTTTATTTTCATTAAATACTAGGATTCTTTTCCATCATCACGATCCTTTGATACATTCTTTCCACAGAGATTATTTCGCTCTCCTTTTTTCATTGATCACATCGTTGAAAATCTGTACTGAGTGATCGGCGGGGAGGTTTGGTCCGCCTGAAACTTCTAAAAGAAATAACTATTACTTATACACTTGTGCTTATATGTTACGAAGTGTTCTGTTGAGGGTAACGTAAAATGACTTCTTCCGAATAATCTTAATATTGCTTTCAATTGAATTCATCACAGTGCCGCCCCAGATCAAGCCGATACCTGATGTGGTGGCATATGAAGGGGAAAATACTACGCTGACCTGCACTGCTTCTGGAGTCCCGACCCCGGATGTAAAATGGATATCAGAGGGAAAGGAGTTTTTCGATGAGCAGGTATTTATATACAATAGTCTCGTAATGCGTGCATAGTTTGTTCTCGACACAAAGACCCGCTGACAAACTTCACGAGACAGGTGGATTTTTACGTGTTAAATTTACACATTACTCAAGACTATGCAGTTCAAAGCACGGCTGCTTTGCACTAATCAAGGTTTGATCATCATGTCTCCCGAATAGCTTTGTCGACAGTTTATCCTAAAACATGAAAATAGTGGGCTTAGTATTTTCAGAATTGGCACCATTTTGACACCATATTCGATTTTTAATTTATGTAATTTTGAACTGAAAGATGTTAGACTTGCTCATTCCACTATACAGTTTCTGTCAATTTGTAACCTTGCAAAACGTAACCGGCGGCAAGCAGGCTACAACTTGCAATTGTAATCAGTAACCTGTGCCTGCAGCCTGCAACCGGTAACATGCAACTTGCAACATGCATCTTGCAACATGCAACTTGCACCTCACATCCTTCAATTTCAAATTACACTCTGCAACCTGTGACGTGCAATTTCAACCTAAAACACAAAGTCTGCAGCCCACGCTTACAAATGTGTAAACTAAAACAGCACTGAGGATTACACCGTCATTTCTGGTGTATGATTTCTCATCATCATCATCATCATCATCATCAGGTCGAGCATGCTCGGTATTCCATGACATGCTCCATATTTCTCTGTCTTCCATTGCAGTTGATAGTTATTCACGTCTGCATCCTGTGTCATCCATCATTTGGTCAATGTGGGTCTCTTTTGGGCGTCCTCTCGGCTGATTTCCATGTGTTGGCTTTCAGAGTAATACATCCCTTGCAAGTTCGTCTTTACCGCGCCAACAATGCCCTGCGAATCTCATCCTTTGTTGCTGTAGCGATTTACTGATTGTCGGGATGTGGCCGTAGAGCTAGAGGCCTTTTTTACAAACTATTGTTTCATAAACTGAATTAATCATGTAAATTGACCACGGTAAAGAATTTCGAAGCTGACGTTTTGAGCCGAAGGGCTAACACTCAAAACGTCGGCTTTGAAACTCTTTACGGTGGCCAATTGACATTATCAACTCAGTTGATCAAACCAAATTATCCTGTAGTACTCCCCACTGACACAGTTCCGCGGTTTCTTTAGAAATGTACCTCCTTTATTCATATTGTTTCTGTACTTTATGTTTTTTTCTCGCCAGAAATCACCTGGTAAGAGTGAGATAACTCTGCTGAACCTGGGATTGGAAGACAACTCGCAATTTATTTGTGAAGCGAAAAATGGAGCCCAAGACGACAAAGGGAAGGAGCTGGTTGATGTACAAAGCATGAAACTTATCGTCAAAGGTGAGTTGGATTATTTGTAATAATGATATTTGGTTGTACCCAAAACGAATTATTTATGACATTGATGTAACGAATGGATCGAGCCGGGCGATGCATCCAAGCAGTTTGACTGACGTATTTAAATTGACCAGTCACAACTGACGCTGTTTGAGTCTTACAGCCAATGGTATCACTGGAAAACTAGCCAATCAGTTTCGGTGAAGCTTAAAACACCTCCCCTGACAAACAGCTCTTCACTTGACAATGACTTCCGCTCAAGTTTTCGCAACGTCATACAATATTAACAATAGCAGTCTTTTTTAAAACTACTTTTATCTTTTCTTTACTGGTCGATCACACCACAGAGTCGATTTTTATTCCGAGTGAAAGTACTTACTGCATTCACTCATTCATTCATCTATTTTGCCAGTTGAACCGAAACCAGCGGATAGTACCCATCGCGCCAAGCCTGTTCTTTCCTACATCGGAAACCCTGAACCTTCAGTCTTCAACTGCGAGTTCAGCGGTTATCCGCCTCCTGATGTAAGAATCTTGAAGGATGGTCAAGTTTTGGCTTATGGCGAGGATTCACTTTCGTACAGCGTTAGCGTTGATAGCGTAGATGACTTCGGTGAATATATCTGCATGGCCGAAAACGAAGTAGGGAAATCCAAGAAGAACTACACCTTTGAGATACGATCTTCAGGTAACGAGTATGGAAATACTATAAGGCCATTTAAGAGTTCTTAACACTTCATTTTGAAAATGAAGAGGACCAAGGCTCTTGGCTTCTCAGGAAACGGCCTCTTCATTGCGGTAGCTGACTTCTTGTAAGAATGCTTTAATGGATGAAAATTGAGTCACTAAAGAAAAGATCGTTTTGAAAACTCGAACAAACCTTCAAACCACATGGCAACGTCTGAAGAGAGCAATTTTACAATTTAGTGTTCAAAACGGATATGATGAAAATGTAATGGATTGTTTTGGTTCCTCTTTCTTCCGCTCTGTGATTGGTCTAGCGGAGAACTCGGGCCAAAATCTCAGCCAATCAAATAAAAACCTGAAACAAATCCCAACTTGGTTACTCGCGTTTTCCCGCGCTTCAAGTAGAGTGCCTGGTTTACTTTGAATTCTCATTGGTTAATGATGATGCTCGCTTTTCTTCTGATTGGCTGTTTGAATTATTTTGATTTTGGTTTTGTAATGCTCAGTCGGAATATGCTCAAGTCAATCAACTAACCAAACAATCAAACGAACAAGCAAACCGTCTATCAATCAAAAAAAAAGATACACGTTTTGAATCTTTTACTCTGCTCGTATTCCACAGCCGCACCAAGCAGCCCAAGAGACTTCACTGGGGAACCAACATGTGACAGCGTGGTCTTAAGCTGGAGCCACCCAGAGGACAGTGGGGGATTTCCTGTCATAAGCTACGTTATCACTTACAGCAATAACACAGTGGTCATCTCCTCGGACCTGACTGACTTCATCATTGACAACTTAAAACACGGCACAACATACAAAATCGGTTTACAAGCTAGAACAGAAGCCGGCATCGGGAAAGAGGCAAATGTTGAAGTGAAGACGACACAGTTTTGTGAGCAATATGCTGTTTGTATTGATAAATTTTTTCTATTTTAATCGCAGTCGAAAGTTTTCTTGCAAGATAGGAAGAAATTGAAGAAGAGTACGAAATTATTCAATGAGATTGTTTTATGAAAATCAACTACATAATTTTCGTCCGTTTGCTACGAGGTTCGTTCGTATTACGTTTCTTTTACGGAAGGCTCGTGTCCAGCTCTTTTCGCCTTTAGACCTGTTTCAACTTGGTGGAAAGTTACCCTATGGCCGAGATGACGATGAAATGGAGGCCTTACGAGGAGTTATGGGGATACAGGATATTTGGGGTAAAAATTTTAGGGATGAGGGATACTCGAGGCAAAAATAAATGGGACAGGGAATATTTGAAATAGAGATTCCGGGATATCGAGCTTTAGAATTATAGGGATACAACAAGGTATTTAAGCCAAAAATTTATAGGATACGGGATACTCGGACCACCCCCCTCCCCTCTCCATCTGCTAATGGGGCCTTGAAATGGGATCGAACAATCTCATAATTAGGCTCAGAAGGCGTGCAAACTAATCCTGGAATTCTTTGTAAAACACATTTTCAGGCCAAGTGTCATCTTGCGTAAACGTACTTGAAGATGGAGATCTATACACTTTAAATGCCAGTCAGGGTCTCTGGCCCAGAGATGGATTTTGCCGAGCACTGAGTGCGCACAGAGCATCGGAGCCTGACATGTATAGGCTGTCCACTGACTATTATATCCCTGGCACTAAAGGCTCAATGGTGGTTACCTACGTGGGTGTGTTCTTTAACGCTCAGAATGAGGACAACTTTGATTTTATATTCTTCAGGTAAAAATGTTGAAGATGATATATTGTTTTATAAAGAAAACTTCGCAGCTCACTCATGTTGAATGGTCTCATTTGTTGAGGCAGAATTTGTAGGAAAGTGCCCTTTAAGAGGACACAGTTTGGTTGTAGCCTCAGCAAAGGGGGCGGTAACATTAACAGAGGCTTTAAAAGAGGGTTATTTTCATTTTACGTCAAAAAAGGCCGGAATTTCTATGGGTCTGCTTAACTTCGCTCTATAATTTGTTCAGAACACTCCAGCCGTCCTCTACACCAATCATATGCAAGACAGAAGCCATAGACATTTTTTGTTTTTTCATTGAGCTCTGAGTGGCTCCCCGTGATATTTTTACCTTTACTGTGATTGCCTGTTGTGTTTACTTTGATCCTGGTCTTACGACACTGAAACAAAAACTACTCTATCTAAACGAATTAAATTTGAATTTCCCTGGTCAGTGATTGAAGAAAAGTAAAATGGTTTCCGTGTCTACATAGCCTGATGTAAACACGCGGGAGGTTGGGAGAACACGAGATAAGCAGCTTATCGAGTTATCTCCCAACCTCCCGAGTGTTTACATCAGGCTATGTAAACACGGAAACCATTTTACATTTCTTTTATAAAATAACTAATGAAAGAGGAACGAAAACCGCGTTTACAGACGCTTATGTAAAATGGTTTTATTGCCAATCAGAGCGCGCGTACTATTTGAATTATTTTATAAAATAATATCCTCTTCCGTGTAAATTTATGGCATGGTTTCTCTCCATTGAGGGAGTTTCAAAAGAGTTTTAGGAAAAGTCATTTAATCAAGTTGCAACAGTCCAAGTACAAAAACATGTACCTTTTTGCTGGGCCTAAGTCTGTTGATAAGAAAGATTGCATACTTTTTGAGAGCCCTGAAAACATGTCTATTTTACAACACCTTCCCATATATTCCAGATAAAAAAAACTTAAAAACACAAGTCGAGCCGGAGTTTGAATTTGACGAGGGCAAAATAAATTTTTGAAGAGGAGGTATTTTCTGTAATTCTTCAAGTTTCTTCAAGGTTAATATAGACGACTATTAATATGGATAACTATTTTTCTATGGGGATATCAACTTATAATGCTTAACTGTTTTTTGGAATTTTACTCACTCAGGGTTGGAGCAAGTGACAATCCGTGCTTCCAAACTGGTGAGATCCAGCGAGGCCGGCTGAACTGGTATGGTTCCCAGGTCGGCTCCTGTCCGCACGGCCCACCTCGCAATGCACGATGGATACACATTACACTCGAGGTCCGAAAGTCTGAAGTTTCAGTTTTCCTAGAAGGAGTTCACGTGACTTCTTTTCGAGGCCACTTCCCTCCTAAAGGTGCTGGGGGTGTGTTATTGGCTAATCGCCGTGGAAGTGTTGTACGGTTCAAGAAATTTATCATCAACGATATACCTTCTTTGCCGTTTGAAACAAAGAGTTGTGCTACAATGCAGGATAACACAAAGTACTACTCCATGATAAGTCAAGGCGACTTCTGGTCGCAAGGATTCTGCCGCGCTCTTCTGAAAGATGTCAACTTGGAGGAGACATCTACTTATCAAGTGTCCGTGGACTTGTTCAGTGATCTGGGTTGGAGTGGCGACAGGATTGCATATCTTGGAATTATTTTCAATGCCCGTGATATCAATAATGCTGACTTCATTTACTTCAGGTAAAGGCCTAAAGGGTAACCCTAAACATCGTATCGTAAAGGCTTATATTAGCACCCCCTTCGAATAAACACCGATCCTATCGACCAAACCTTTTACCAAAAGGCCTTCCTCTGAAAAATTGCTCTTCCTTCTCCTCTTTTTAAAGTAAACGAAAGATCAAGTTGGCCGAAATAGTAATGTGCGTTGCTTGGTGATAAAGCAACTTGTGTTTGTGAACACTTAAGGTTTGAAAAAGTAACGAGTGTCCACTGTGCCACCATTACGACTTAAGGTTGAACTTCAGATATTGTTACAAGGTTTATGCTAACATTGTTATAATAAAAAATGATTATAACTAATTGTCTTGCGCAACTAGTACGCATTTTTCGTTCCAATTAAACCTTTGGCCTGACTTATTTCTCAGTGAATGCATACTAACTCATGAACCAATTGTTAATTTGTTCTAGACCTTACTGGAAGGATCACTGTTACCAAACAGGATACCTGATGGGCGGACGGCAGAGGAGAGAAGGAGCCAAAACCGGGCCCTGTTCCTGCACCGTAGCAGGCGGGAAATGGTTTAACGTCCGTCTGGAAATCCGCAGTAACATCGTAAGCGTTTTCATGAACGGCCTAGCTGCTGCAACTTTTAAATCGCATTTTCCTTCCACCAACAAAGGTACTGGTGTTCTTGTAACGGGCGGTTGCCGGAAGTCCATTCGTTTCAGGAACTTTACCGTGAAATCGCTTCCGTTACTGCCTTTTACTTCCAAGAATTGTCAGGGCACAAGGGATTCTGGGAGCTATTTCACCTTAATGGCTTATCCCGGAATTGAAGACACTACTCAACCCGGTGTGTGCCGCGCAGTGTACCCGAAAAATGTCCTGGGCACTAGTTACGTCATCAGCGTCAGTTTTTATGTTCAGGGGAGTCTGCTGGGTGGAAAGTATGGTGTCATGTTTAACGTGAAGAACGCTGACAGCTTCGAGTTTGTTTACTTCCGGTAAGAATAAATTTATGAAAAAACGATTTAGCTATTTTTATTCGATGGGGCGTATTTTCATCGATACTCTCTATTTCTAAATCAAATTTACTAAGACGGCCTGTCAAACGAAAGAAAAGATTAAGAGCCCATGAGAACTCAGAGTGAGTCTATTTGCCCACCTCAAGCGCTGCACCTGATTGGTTGACTATGTGGTGCGAGTTTCTTGATCAATCTTGGTGCTAAACAAAGCAAAGAACTGCTCTATGAGTCACTTAGTAAGTTTTTCGCAAACGCACGAGTTTCTATCGCAGCTGATTTTTAAAATAATGCTCAAAAACATTTACCGGTACTTCTGGCAGCCACGTCTTTGTTTTTTGAAGCCTTATAAGGCTTAAAAAATTAGGGAATTGACCTTTATGAAACCCAACAGGCCATCTCAATACTACTCAGGTTTATGAGACTGTTTTATCTTTAAATATTTATGAAATTCTTTCAACTATTTTACGATCATTTTTTCATTCTAAATCACCTGATAGACGGTGTAATTTAGTAATATCAATTGCGTTGATAACGTAAATCGGTCACCGTAAAGAGTTTAAAAGCTGACGTTTCGAGCTGTAGCCCTTCGCAATTCGTTTTGATGAAGGGCTTATGCTGAAAACGTCGGATTTGGAATCTCTTGTTAACGGTGGTTAGTTTACATTACCAACTCAGTTGATAGCACCAAAGTATCTCGTTATACCTCCCACCGACTCAGCAGCACAGTTGCTATAGAAACTTACCCCTTTTATTACTCTTACTCTCTCTCAGACGGGAGGTTCCAAGAAGTAATGCTTTCATAACATATTTCCACACTCATTTCCAGACCCTACAACCGCGATGACTGCGTTCAAATAGGGTACCTTCAAGGCACCAGAATCAACGAAGGGGAACGAAGAAAACCGAAATCCCTGACATGCTCATACGGATTCATGCGGGGTGGAAGTTGGTATGATGTGCGCCTCAAGGTCAACGGAAGCGAAGTAAAGGTTCTCATAGATGATGTAGTGGTCGCCGTTTTCAAGAGTCGATTCCCGACTATTGGGCGCGGAGGAGTCATGGTGGCCAGCGGTTACAAGCGAAGAATAAACTTCAAAGACTTTCGCATATTGTAATTATATCAGTGAAGAGCTGTGAATATTTACCCAATCCTTGGCTATAATGTGGCTTTGAGAAAATCTCACGTCCCTTTTCTATGGGAAACGGGTCGCGACTGGAAGTTGAATGCGACATGTACCTGGCAAACGGCAGTCTCAATTTATCTGAAAGACATTTGAATTTTCTTTATTCGGGAATATTAAACCGATACAAATAGTGAACCTCTTCCTTTTCCTTGAATAGAGTTTCTTACCCTTTAGAAAAATATGCAATTAGAATTTCAGGTTAAGAAAAGTTAAAGGAGTTTTACTATGTGATGAAGACTTCGAGTTTTTGTTGTTTGTAATAGTTATGAAATTCTTACGTCACTGATCATTTTTATCGACTATGTTAAGGTATATGTTTGGTTCATGATATTAGGTTTCAAACTTGTTTTACCTGTTAGCGTCAGATAATGAAGATACGATCATTCTTCATGTATGAATGATCGAGCTATCCACAAAATTTCACGGTGGTATGCCATGTGCCAAATAGATTATAATCTCTTGGTGAACAAAATAACACGTAAATTTAATATCTATCAATCTATAGAATAACACTATTGTACCCATGCCTCATACGTTATTCAGGGCAAATTTTGTGCTTTTTAAGCCTTTTTGATGTAATTCGTGACTAAGTAAATGGTGACACAGCCGGCAATTAAAAAAAATTATCCTTTTACGGACTATTAAACACTTTTGTAAGAAAAAGGGGAAAAAGTTTTATATACTCACATTATGTAGTTTAACGAAATGGGTTAAAAAGAACAAAAAGAAAGGACTTGAGTGATCATTTCACAGTTGAACTAGCAAAAAACAAATATGTTAAATCGAGGCCAGTGTAACAACAATTCCCTTCCTGAGCTGATGTAGTAACTTCTTTGAAACAGTGAGTGGCTAGTTCTTGAAAAAAAATAGCTCCCGAACGTCGACAAGCTTTAATTTTTGTGTTTTTTTTTCTGCTCTCTCCCGATGATTCCACACCATTTCCACAAGAAACAGCTATTTTCCATGGAAACCGAGTCCTTCTCGTGAAAATGTCAATATAGATCGTTTGACTTAATGACAGCATGAAAGTGGTGGAAGTGGTTTTCTGAAGATTGCATTTTGAAGGAAAATAAGAAAAATATCATTACAGGCAGTGTTACGGTGTTACGATATATAATATCAGTTTGTAATATGTTCACAATTTTGAATAGTTTTTATATTGCTTTGCTGGTATGAATGTAAGATTATAAAAATATAACCTTTTTTAAAGACCTTTTGTTTATCTATCCGAGTTAAAAATTGATGATCACCAATTTCGGATGCATTTTACACCTTCTAGAAGAAAATTTGAATTAAGTAACCAATCGGTTATTTGTTTTGATTTTGCTAGGCAGCTATTTCCTTCTACATGTTGACACAAAACCCGCCATTTTCAAAACCAATCAGGTTCAAAACTAAGACCACGTTTTCCGCGCTTCAGATTTTTTTCTTGTTTTTATTTCGAGTTTTTATTGGCTCTTGGTGATGTTCTCTTTGCTATGACTGGCTGTTACGACTGCTTTAGTTTTGGTTAATGGAAAAACGCTCTATTGTTTTGTCATGTTAATGTACTTAGCCTTTTGAGATTAGTCCTGAAAGAAGAAACGCTTTTTAAGACAAATGGTTTGCGAAGAAGGTTTAAATAAATATTTTGGTGGCACGAGACACCACGCAACCTGGATCCCAGGCCGTTGCTTCATGGGCAAAAAAGCAGAGGTAGATAAGAGGGATTTTAGCGCGTAATAGTCATTTAGGCCTCTGAAACAGTCCAGCACAAGGCTTAGTTTATTTTTTATTTTAATTTTTCAGACTTTACTATCGCCTAGTTTTGTCTTTGTAAAATTTCCGTAGGTTAGGCTCACCACCTCCGGAGCAAGAGACATGGTTTCTAGTCTACTAACGGTCACTTAAATGATTACTTACGCGGTTGTCTTTGAGAATGACTGACTTCTCGACAATCTTAGCGGAAGTAATCTTGACAGTTACTTAGATGAGTTTTTAGATGAGTTTTTCGAAGATTTTCACTCTTTTAGACAACAAGTCTTTTTGAAAACGCACTTTTAATTCTCTTTGGTCTTATCAAGGCCGTTTTAGCTCCTGAAATAAAATTGATGATTCACTCACTGTGGTTGAAATTTCCAATGACAACCGAACCTCTTCACCAAAAACGCCAGTGTACATTGTTTGAATAAATCAAAGCAAGAAGATGAACTGGAAGAGAAAGAAAACCATTTGAAGACTTGTTGTGTATGTGTCGCTTTTGTGTCTAACGGAATTAATGTCTTTTCATTTCAAGATTCGAATTTGTTGGACAATTCTGATACTTTTCTGCATTGGAAGCATTTGGTGGTCAGATATCTATAAAGGTTTGTAGAGATTAGAATCTAGAATGCTGCATATCTTGCTTTGAAAATGGCTTCTGATCGGCTTAAAAATAAAAATTAATTCTCACGAGATCTGTTTTTAATTATGTAGAATTTACTTCAAAGTTTACGCTGACAACGATTAGGGAAGAATCCAAAACATCACTTCGAAAGGAATATTCCGTGGTAAGTAAAGAAAGGTTTTCTTTTATAAAATATCTGATATACTACGAGGGTCTGGTTTGTCTAAAAACTTGTCGTTTACTGCACCGGTAACCCCTAAGAAAATTAAAGTCAATTTATTTCATTGAACTGTTTTCGTGTGCTCTCAACATTGCGCTAAACTGATAGAAATTACGCTCTATTGCTTAAAGAATCCTATAACTAGGAGGTTGATTCGGACCAGACGAGACAATTTCTTGGAAAACAAAAATTTATTTCAGTACGACACACCTCGGCAACATTTTTTCGTCACTTTCCTTTTTTCCTTTCGCAATATCCGCGCGGAGAACAAAATTTTGCAAATCTATCTCGCTTGAGTCTGATCACATGCTTTACGCCGGTTTCGCTACTCGTCAAGTTCGCTACGTTCGACTTTGCTACATGTTCGCTACTAACGTGCAGAATTTGCTGCCTCTGTTAGTTCACAAGCAATATCTGTAACTTATACTCCCAACTGCGTGATTGCCATTTTGAGTCAGTTAAACTGATTATATGCAAATTGCCTTAAGGTTTGCTGTCAACCGGCTCGGAGGTTTCGTGATTGTTGCGAGGTTGCGTCTCAGAAGTAAACCTGATTGTAGGGTGGAACGTATTGGCGAAGTCTAAAAAATTGTAAGCTTCTTTCATAGAAATGTCCCACAGTGAAAAGGTGTCATCAAGAAATCTCTTCCAGACCAAAGGTTAGAGGAGCGAACCATTAACAGTCGTTTTTCTAGGTCTGCCATTTCTCTCTCTTGTCGATGATAACCACCACGTTGGTTCGAAGTGATCGTGGAAGTAGAATGATAGAATGGTAATATGAAGTAAGTAGCGAATTCGGCATGTAAGCAGCGAACATGTAGTGTAATCGATAAGTAGCGAAACCGACTGTTACGGATCACATCATGATACAAATTAAATTTATTTGACGGTTATTATTTGAATTGCCCTCTAAATCATAGGAATTGTTAAAAAGCGAATGATTGGACTAAAGTCTTTTTCTTTTGGTATTCAAACAATTGTTTTTTGCTCAAATTTACATGTTAGTTTGATATATTATTCTGTGTGTGTTTTTGAGTTGTACAACGTCGTAAAAATCAATGCAAATACCCATTCCTCGTGTAAACAATCCCCTAAAAGATATTACCTTCCGATCGAGTTGTATCGATTATGGATCGAGAGAGAGAACGACCTCATTTACGTATTTGTTTTTAGAAATGTAATAATGAGCGAGCCTTACTAATTGCGAATGCATGAAACAGCAGCTTAATATAACTCCCAAGGGACCGATCATTATTCACCGACTGCAAGGGGGAAGTTGGAGAATTTTGACTGTGTCGCAAAAAAATTTACCTGCTCCTACGAACAGGTAAATTTTACTTTTTTTAAGAGATCTGAAGTATTTTCCTCATCGGAAGTCAATTTGCCATATTGCCCACTTAATGTTAGAGATGAAACGACCGACTCCTTTCCCAACCTCTTCCGTTTCCGGTCCTTTCCGTAAAAATCATGGGATCCCCACAAATACTTCGACTCCCCCACTGGTACCTTAGAATATAAGATTTCTTGCCGCTCATTAGATTGGCAAACTTTAAACTACAAGCTATGCAGTTTTAATCTGTTGCTTTCAGGATTTTACAAACGCTCGACAACTTGAAGATCGCATACAGGCCCGAAGAAAGATGGTTGCGGATTACTGCAAGAGGCACAAAACCAATGACTCTCTATTTGGAACTAATCTCCGCTATTTTCTGGTCTTTCGGAAGAGAAAGGTTATCTATTGTTTTGTCCCGAAAGTTGCAAGTACGCAATGGCAGAAAGAACTCTTCGTTTTAAAAGAGGAAGATGAGGAAATGTCTCGTGATGCAAACTTTACCGTAGCTAAGAACAACTTGAATTACTTTTCTGAGCAAGAAGCACGGCAAATGCTGAAGAGTTATTTCACGTTCCTGTTTGTTCGCGACCCGATGGAACGCATACTTTCTGCTTACAAAGATAAGTTACTAGAAGACAACAAAATTTTCCGACGCACAATTGGCAGAAAAATCATCGCACGATTTCGGCCAAATGCTACTCAACATGCTCTCGAAACAGGTAGTGTTGTTACGTTTCCAGAATTCACGAATTTTTTGCTGAAAGCAAAAGAGTACGATGAACACTGGAGACCATTTGACAACCTTTGCCATCCTTGTGCAATTAACTTTGATTTTATTGGACATTACGAAGATCTCGCTGAGGAAGCTCCTTATTTGGTAAAAAAGGCGGGAATTGACGACCGCGTTTCGTTCCCTCCTGTTCGCGCGTCGAACACCACGGCTGACCTGTTGCAATATTATTCACAAATTCCTAATACGAAAATCTTGCAGTTAGCAAAGATATACGAAAATGACTATAAAATGTTTAATTTTCCATTCCCAGGTAAACTGGCAAAGCTCTTTGATTCTAAAGAAAGCTGAGAACATAGATTTGGGAATCTTATGGGAAATCATTTGAATTTCATTTCTGAAATTCATTTCGAATGAATTTAACTGATTTTCTTCAGAAGCTAAAACTGGATATGAAAGTAAAGTATTTTATTCCGGTAACCGTTTTTAACTCGTGGATATGCGATAGCTAGTTTAGAAACGAGTTGTTGTGGGCACTTTGGGATATGCAAATTGGCGTGGAGTCTTCGTAATTTGTCGTAATTAGTCGGCTCCGAACTCGAGATCTATCCTTCCGAAGAAGTCCGAAGTTCTGGCGCTATTGTGATTGCATCGATCGTTGCAATGTTTATTGCCTTTACACGGCTGTTTCGACATTTACTAAATTGAAATGGACTTCGAATGTTTCAGATTGGTGCTATGATCAACGTAAACACCAAATTTGAAGGGTCTTCGAATCGTCCATGCACTAAACATAATGAGGAGCAGCGAGAATCACGAAGAGTTGGGGAGTGACAGAACAAGCTGTTGACATGGAAATTCCCACGGAAACATGAACCCACGACTTAAAAAAAAATGTTAATTTACAGCATTATTTCTTTCGTTTCAGGGGTTTTTCGAACGTTTCGGCAGCGACGTTAATTTCGGTTTTATCATTATGGTCGGGTCGTTTCGTTTCGTTGTTTTTCTATTCAAACGTGACTGTTTTGATGGTAAAAATAAAGCATGATCGGTTTCTGCTAGTCGTTACCAAGAGCGGGACCATAATCTCACCGGTATCGTTTTGCATTTTCAGCAATTTTCAATAGAGTTACTAGAACGGGGTAACACATTTTTGAGATTTTAGGCGCAAGGATTCATAAACAGGAAGATTCATGGTAAAAAACTAGTGTTACCGTATTTAATATTTAATAAACGGTTCTCGTTCCATTCCGGTCTTGCCCAAAAGCGGACAAAGATGGGGTCTTTAATTGGCCACAACATAGGCTAAAATACGGCAGAGGTTCTGAGAGGCCAGCTGCACATACCCAGCAAAAAATGACCCATGTACCCCCCCTGGGGCTTCCATCACATACTCAAGTACTATAATTTCTTTTCTTGCAATGGTTCTACTTTCTATCTTTTTTTTAACACCTTAGTTTACTGATAGCAACTTTACAAGTATCTATCTCTTTAATACTTTATGCACGAGTTGGCCACAGGCGCCCTTTGATTACTTAGTTCATCGCTAACATGCATGTAGGCCATGTATGTTAAACCTGCGTAAACTAATATCAGTTCATTAACGCTTCCTTTTTTTCGTTATTAGAGTTATGGACAGAATCTGAACCCGTTCGACTCTAGAATTGAAATCTTTCCTTCGATTTTAGACGACGCGTTTCTTACAAGTGGCAGGTATAAATTAAAGAGTTATCGGATGGAGGACCAGAAATTATCATGGAGAGAAATAAAGCAATTACCGTGCAGTTCATTTTGGCATCAACAGCATCTTCATTTTCATTCTCATTAAAAAAATGAATTACTTGATTAACAAAACAAATACACGTATGCATGTAATAAACTTGTCAACGAACCAATCATTGCATTCGCCGTGTCGATACCAAAGTGAGAACTTTTTATTCTGTTTGGTTCCTAATAAATCATTTAACGCGTTTAATTTTGCATTTCTCTTGACAGGAAACAATTTCTTTTCTCTGTTGGAACTGGTTAGGCTTCGTTGTAGTACTTATGAAATTAAGGGTTTTCAGTTGGGAAACTTAAACAAGTCGTGGAGTCGAAATTACAGAGCGCAAGTGAAAAAAAAGTTTCAGTTTGAAAAAAAATATACTCATGACTTTTTTTCAAAAATTTTCTAACTTTCGAGTAATAATTTCACCTGCTGACGTTATCGTAATTACATTTGTCCTTTCGAGACATGTAATAAATATATGGAAAAGATTTGAATCGTAAAACACAGTCGCGGGGGGCGAGAAACGAACTGAGAGATCAAGCTCGGCTAAGCGGAGAAACGAAGAAATTAATCATTCAATTGGACACGAAGTTTCTGAAGTCTGTGTACAGTTTCATTTGAATTATGTTTCTTGGCATTTTGTATTTCTCTGGAGTATTCGCAATCCTCACGCAACTAAATATAGCTCAATACATAAGTTTGAAAGGTTCTTTCGACGATGGCTATAGTGGAGTATTTGTTTACGGCAACTGTTTTCCATTTTTAAACCACAAACTTAATTCAACACCGTTGGAATCCCGTGCCGTAGTTGCTTCAGAGGATTGTATAGAGGCATGCACCGTCAGTCATCGATGCCGCTCGATAAATCTCAAAGCTGTTCCTGAAAAAGATAAGAAATTTATATGCCAACTCCTGGAATCAGACAAGTTCAACTCGACTGATTTGTTCGCTGCAAGTTTGGATTTTCATCACTACAGCTTCGTGGTAAGAATTTGTTACTTTATTCTTTATTTATCGTTCAGTGGCAGAAGGCAAAAGGCCACTGACAGACCCGAGGGTTAGATATTTCATTTTGCAGCTAAACAGAAAAGCATCCAAACTAAAAACAAGAGGAAAAAGAAAAGAAAAAAGTATTGAAGAGACCTTAGATATGATTTTTCACGTAACTGGTGAAAATCTGGTAACAAACTGTCTGATAAAAAAATAAAGTACGCAGAGAGAGGTTAGAGACACATCGAAATTTTTTTTCCGATCAGTCACGTACTTTTTCGCGTCGCTTCGGCCAAGGTCCTTCAGCGCTACAAAGAAGAAAAGGACTATTCTTTAATACTTAATGCGAGAAGTTGAGCCGGAACAATAGACCATTTCTTGCTACGCTGCACAAGTACTGAGCCTGTCATGATCAAACCCATCCAAAGATTGCCAATTATTTTTTTTCGAAAAATTGTTCGTGGTTCACGATTTTTAGCACCTTACTTTCTTCAGGCCTTATCGCTGTAATTTTAAAAAATACCATTTTCTATCGAAAAGTAAATAATAAAATTAACATAATGTACTTGCTCCTAAGAAACACATTAAAGTAATACATTTTATCATAATTAACCTCGACTTTCATTTCGTTGTCATTTCGAGTTAATTTAGTTTTGTAATATGTCAACCGTGTACACGCACAATGTTTTGTAGACAATTGCGAAGTTTTTTAGTGGATCGGAAAGTTTTTACAATAAAATCAATTCCTTACTTGAACAAATGAGTCCATCAGAACCGAAACTCTGAGTTCAGTCTAAAGCCCACAATATCCTCTCACTTAAAATAAGGTAGTCTTGATATCGTCATTATCATTGGAATATAAGAATTCTCAATGTTTTTTGAAATTTCAGCTTTTTTCTTTACTTTTTGAAATATTGAGCTGTTCTCTGCAGTTAGTGAGAAATTGGATCTTTAGCAGACTTGTAAACATTACAGATCTCACGCCAACATGCGAGATCTCTACTTTTATTTGCTTTCGTACGCGTGCGCCTTATTAATTAAACATGAATTTAATTGTTATTCATCGTGTAATCCATCATAAAAACCCAGGTCAGAAGATTCTCACATGTGGAAAAAAGTGGAGGCCTTTGATGAGTTTTCATATGAATGGTTTTTTAAACTTTCTTGCCTTATATTTGTCAGTAATTTCATCATTTGTTATCGAAGACTTTCCAAGTAAAGTAAATTGCTATCATTCATATTCGTTTTAGGCCCCTTGTGAGCGCAATCCATGTAAGAACGGCGGGACCTGCGTACCAGATCACCAGAAGTACGAATACAAGTGCGCATGCGTCAGAAGCACAAAGGGAAGCCATTGCGATAAGTGTAATGTTTTATGCCTTTTCTTGAAGATTATCTCAATGATAGACTACTTTATGTTAGACTTCAATATTTTCCTCTCTAATAAGGCAATATTGAATTAATTGAATGTGCACAATTCCTGATGTAAATATCTGTGGGAACAGCTGATCGTTTTCACTGATTTTTCAGCCAAAAGCAGTCTTATAATGACTGTTGTGGGCAGAATTGACAGACGATTCGGCAACCTAAGCGGAAAATATAATCAGATTCAGAATCCCTCTCTCCCTGACATTGAAGCAAAACTGACTTTAAACGAATTTCGTCGTTCAAAAAAATGCAGCAACTGACGTTGTCTGAAATGTACAAAGAACTCTTTCATCCTGAAATCAAGAATTTTTCTCAGTGTTAAAAATTTTTTAGACGTAAGTCTTCTTTTGTTAATCAGTTTACCAGAGTTGTGCCGAGCTGCGCGATGTTGGAGTGACTGAAAGTGGGATATACATGATTCAAGATCAACATAGTGACAGCGGGTTTTACGTTTATTGTGATCAAGAACACATCGAGGGAGGTAAATAAGATAAGCTTAAAAGAAAATTAGGAAAACTGGTTACACTACATCAAGTTTAAGCTTTTAGAAAAATTCGCAAAAAAAGGTAAAGAATGCAAAAAAGCATTTTTCGTAGTTTGATTTGTTCCGTTTAGGTATTTCTGTTTATTTCAAATTTTATGCAAAACAAACCTTTTCCTTTTCGGTTAAAAATAGTTTGTTATGGTTATAATCCGACTTTTCGTGTCAGGCAAGAGACTCGTCACATATTTTTCGGAATTTTAATGCAAACTCGATGAGCATCACTTTCAAAGTCATGTTCGCGCAGTGTAAGATGTTAGCAAATGAATAAAGGGGTAAGTTTATTCCAGAAGTAGATTTTTAGATTGATTAAGAGAGGCTGAATAGGCGCTCTATCCAGTTTACTTCTCGTTCACAATTTGTCAACAAGGGTTACTGGTTGTACCATACCAAACATTAGGTTAGTTTGGGATTTACCAATAGCTTGACCTGGGAAATCAGTCTCTTCTAACTCTTAAAACAATTTCTTTTGATCTATTTCCTTTTCCAAGAATACTTCCATCGCGAAAAAGTTGTCCCACCCAAGAATTTTCACCTCGGCTTGACACTTGCGAATTCGTAAATACGAAGAAAACCTAAAAGAAAACGAACGGTAGGGTAATTGCCCTAAAGAATTCTAACCATAGTAATATACTAAGGTTAATATTGTGCGATAAACGTAGTTCAAACTCTGTACATCGAAAATTAAATAATACAAAATGACATATATACCTTAACTTTGCATGCATGCATTTTGCATTCAAAACGATAGTCATATCTCTCTCTCCTATTTTTCATTTTTATTTCTCTCTCTCCTTGCTAATTATTTGTTAAAACCAGGATGGACCATGGTATTCAAAGCGGTGTCTGGTGTAGGATCTGATGTTTATCAATTGTGGTCCGCCTCAAACGGTTTATTCGAAGAGAAAATTGAAGCCCTGAACGTAAACTCGTCGTTCAGAAATCATTACAAGAACCGCCTGGTGAACAGATGGCAAACTGTTGCTCCTAAGGAGGTAGGTTAGACTGTGTCTTGACTAAATGTGTGTGTTGGGGGCGTGGGTTGACCAATGTCATGTAAACTTATATGAACTTTAAAAAAGGTCTTAAATCCTTATGATTAAGTTCCACAATCACGCTTTCAATACGCCCGTCCATCGGTCGGTCAGTGAGCCAGTGAGCGAATGAGCCAGTCAGCCGGTGAGCCGGTGAGCCGGTGAGCCAGTGAGCCGGTGAGCCAGTGAGCCAGTGAGCCAGTGAGCCAGTGAGCCAGTTGATCAGTTAGTCAGTCAGTCAGAATGTCACAGCAAGCTGGTCGACTAACAATGGATCGCTCAATTTAATGATTTATTCCATCATTACAAGCATCATTGTGTCATTAATTTCCTTAGGCTCGCGTAGCTCTTTACAAAGATGGAAGTGAACTGTTCTCCATTGTCTTTAACGCCTCAAACAGCAACAATGAAAACTGGTTTACAAAAAAGAGAGTCATTTCTTCACCATGGACTGACTTGAAGAGCAATCTGCCTACTTACTTTTCTATTCCTGGGGCCGATGGACGACGATTTTATGTCCATGGGCCCCACCCTGGGTGTGATGGAGACTATGGATGGCTCTCTATTACCCAGCACCTCTGCACATACGAGACAAGCCTCCCGTACACATCTTTCATATACAGCAGACTTCAAACCAACACCAACTGGAATGTTCAGGGTAAGAAAATGCAGTGAAATTGCACCATAACGAACTGAACGTCAGTAGCCATGTAGAACTTAGTAAATATCACGAGGAGCTGAATATAACTCACTGAGTTAAAAACATGCAAGGAAACTAAGTGAAGGGCGGTAAAATTGACGCAAGTGATCAGGTCACTGCTGATTTCAAGTTTTAATCTGATTGGTTGATAGGGTGGCACGATTATTCTAAACCAATCATCGAACGATAAGAAGCAAAGCACATACAATCCCAGACTACTTTCGATATTCATTTCACAAGCGTCGAATTTTGTTCCCCCAAAAGACAATCAGGGCATTGTATCTCTTCTTTGTTTACCTTTTAATTTCCTTATTCTGTTTTGCTTTAGAAAATGTTGGCGTCGCAGATGTCTTAGTGGTGTATATTCGCTGAGGTAAATTAGAACTTCAAGACACTGTTTTAATTAAAACTCATCAAAACCTCTTGTCAGTGATACGTGAGACATAATTTCTCGTGGATGCTCTTTTCGCCATTTCACCCCAAGATCTGTCAAAAATTCACCTCACTGTTAGTGTTACATTTTTATGGTTCTATTCCAGAGAATTTGGTGTTTAGTCCAATCATAAACCTAACTTTAACCTTTTGTTATTCTCATGGCTTATCTGCTTTGGACTTCATTGATCACATTAGAAGAAAACACTCATCAAACACTCGTGGAATTTAAGGAGCGCAATGATTCTGTTTGATCAGTTTGAAACTTCCATTTGACTGTGTGTCTATTACATTTTTCAGGCGTTGACGACTATTGGCCTATCTGACGGAAACGGGAGGTGTGCCTTAACTTTGAGATAAGCTTCCGCTGGCAGTAAATATTAACAAAGATAAAAATCTGTTTCTAATGAAGGAGGAATCCTAAACGGCTGATTTTCATGATAACCAAAAAGTTGCTTGAGAAACATTTGCGCTGAAGCTGCGTAACAAGATTATCAATGTCATATAATTGATAAATGCAAATGAGCTTGTACAAAAGGCTGAAATAAACTTTTTGATTTTATTTGTCGTAAATTATGTGAATGTGGCATATTGTCTCCAAACGGTAAATTATATTTGGAGATTTACCGATCGATGGGTTTTATTTCCATTAAAACATCTACTTTAGGGATAAAAAGAGAATGAATTAACATTTGAGCAAACACCAATAACTCATGTGTCATTCGTCATGATGTAATTTTTTCCATTAGCTTTGGACCCTTGCGTTTTTTTCATTCGACATCTTCAATCCCTATCTACATTACAATCTGTTTCTCCCACAATATTTTGCATAAGCATTGTTTTTCATACTGTGTTAATTAAAACCCACATGTTTCTCAAGATGATTATAAATAAAGTGTGTGCAAAGAATTGGGTGGCAAACAAAATGAAGTGAGGGATTTTACCACAACGAATTGTTACCAAAATCTTTACACAACAGTTGAATGAACCACGAACACCGAAAGATTGTTATGATCTCAAAGTGGTATCAAGATTTTGTTTTAGTCCTATTATGGCCAGTTTTGATACTTGCAACAGATGATTCTTCTGGTAGACTTCAAGACTCTACCGAAGTTTCTGATGGAATCATCTTATTTGCCAATGTGTTTTCATTTCCGCATCACAAGCTCGACTCAAGACCATTTGAAACTCACGCAGTTAACAGTGAGCAAGATTGTACTGAAATTTGTTCTCAGATTTCTCGCTGTCGATCGTTAAATTTCAAACATGGTGCAGAGGAAAGTGGTGAATTTGACTGTCATCTTTTAGACAACGACAAATTCAACTCATCAGCTTTATTCGAGAAAAACCCGGATTTTCATCATTACAGTTTAGCGGTAAGTAGATGAAATCCGAGTATCAATTTTTTTCCATTTATTTTTCTCCGTTCAATTTAATTTTCACCTTTCCTGGATAAAGTTTATCGCTAGAGAAATTCCTCGGGCAATTCAACTTAAAGCAACGCATTCAATTTTTCTTTTTCAAAATTATTTTAATTAACAAAACACAGTTACCACATAGGCTACGAATTTAATAATTCATCTCCTGCAACTGTGCACTCTACTTCCTTACCTCTTTTTATCAATACAGTTGTGAGAAATTTGAAAAACAACAGGTGTGAATTCACAACGGTAAACACAAACAGGAATGGTAAACACAAAGTTAGTCTGCGGGGTTTTTTTTAATCTATTTAAAATAATATCGTAAATATTTAGGTGTGGATAACGTAAGTTTCAGGAATGATTTTGAAAATAAAGAAGAGTATTTGTCTTATTTTTAAATAAGAGGCAGAAACTTTGAGTGGAATGAAAGCTTTTTCAGTTGCTAGATCTACGAAGATAAATAAAGTTTTACCGCTTTCAGAAACTCGTAATTCAGGAATTCATATAGATTTAAAGAAAGCTTTTATAGTGGCATTACATTTCCGATGACACTGAATTTACATTAAACCGCTGTAGACTCATTTACCGGGCTTAATCACTTTCTACGTACATGGGAGGAACTTCGTTTAAATATTAACTCTTCACGGTTTTTTTATTCTAAAATAATAAATTTTCGAGAAAAATATACTTAAGCTTCTCATTCGGCAACTGATATGAATCCGCAGCTCGGAAAAAATCCTCTTATCGGATGGAAATGGTATTTTTAATTATCGTAAAGAACTTGAAAAACCTTAGGCAAACTTTAAGGAAATATTGAGCCCTTGGCATCGGGTTAAGATTATGCCTTCAATTATAGGAGTTGTTTTCTATGGAAACAATGTTGTACATAAGGCTTTCAAAAATATCTTGTGAAGTGATGACGTCGAAACCCGTTGCCTCAGTAACGTAAGTCAAAGCCATTCTTTTTTCACTTGAAGTTTATCTTTTCCCCAGACTTAAACAACTGTTTCTAAAATGAACTGTGTCATGTCAATCATAAATCCAGCGAATCATAAATTCGACCGCAAGCCAGATTAGATAAAAAGTATAGATATTCGAAACAAAAAACAGTTCAATAGTCTTTAATGACAAGTGGACGTCGAATAAAGCGAGTAAACTCCAGATTATTGCTCACTGGGTAACATAATATATGGATAAATAAATTAAACTTTCGTTTTCGCTATGAGATAAACATCAAATGCAAACAATGGCAAGATATGTTGGTTACAAAAGGAAGTGTTAATTTTAACCGGCGGCACAACAGAGTGCAATTGTCAAATTGAAGTAACACGCGGAGTAATGGAGAGTTACACTAATTGTGGCACATGATGCAGTGAGGTTTGGGTTCGAAACCTGGCGGAGTCTTTGTGTTTTGTTCTTGGGCAAGACACTCTACTCTCCCCATGCCTCTCTTCACCCAGGAGTATAAATGGGTACTGGTGAATTGTTAGGGAAGCCTGATGAAATGCTGAGGGGGGTAGCCTTGGGATGGCATCCCATCCAGAGGAGAGTAGTAATACTCTTAGACACTTCATGTGATGGAAACTGGGATAAGCTCTGGCTTTTTGGACCAAAAGGCTTTTCCACTGATAAATGCTACGCGTTCACTTTACTGTACATACATACATTCTTTATTTGATAAGTAGGTTGTGTGAAAGGCAGCCAAAGGGCTGATGTGGACCTACTATACTAAATATTAGGAATTACATATATATAAAAATTGCAATAATAACTTAGAACTACTATATACAAATAAAATGGTGTTCACTAAGACTAACATATAAATCTAGAAGTAAATGAAATGGTCCTTTCTGTTGGCAACTACTGTTGCCTCTTTCTCAAATGAAAAATTGTCAATAGTCTTAACATGTTTACGTAAGATTTGTTTAAAAGAATAAAAACTTTCAGGTACTTTAACTAATCTATTTACAAAATTCCAAATAACAGGACCTCTGTATCGTAGGGAGTTCCTGCCGGTCTCTGATCTAAATCTAATGACATTAAATTGGTTAGGAACACGAGAAGATCTAGAAGAAACTCTTTTAGAAAACAGTTCACATATCGACTGGGTCGTTGTTCCAAAATATACTTTGTGCAAGAGGAACAGTACAGATTTTTTATAGAAGTAAGAGATGGGCAGCCAGTCGGATTTCATGAGACATGTGTCATCTGCCATCGTTGAGTCGAGGTTATTCACAATACGAGCTGCTCTTGCATGAATATGGTTTAGAGAGTTCAGTGCGGAAGGAGAACAATTTCCCCATACCGAAATTCCATACGTTACACTGGGGATAATTGTTTTAAAGTATATTTCCTCGAGAACCTTCTTCGGAAGGATTCTCATTCTCTTCAACGCTCCAACCTTCTGCGTAAAAGATTTCTTCACTGAGTCAATGTGCACAGACCATGTCAGCTTATTGTCAATTTTAACTCCAAGACAAGTGGTGTAATTAACCAGGTCGATATGGCCAGTGTTAAAGTGGAGGGGAGGTATAGGCCCAACAAAAGAGGTTTTACTTAGTATCATTGCTTCAGTTTTAATTGGGTGGATGGTTAGCTGATTCTTAATGCTCCACAGGAGAACTTGCTCCAATGATTTATTTAGTGACAACATAACCTGGTCAACATTTGGTCCAATACAGTAAACTGTAGTGTCATCTGCATACATGTATAGATCTCCCGAGTCGATGTGGTCAGGGAGATCATTAACATATATGGTGTAGAGCCGGGGCCAAGAAGCGAGCCTTGAGGGACTCCATATCGCACATAGTCAGTGACCGACCTGCAATTATTAACTTCAGCAAATTGACATCTATCAGTAAGATAGCTCATTAGCCATTCATGAAGAGATCCTGATATTCCAATGGCGTGTAGTTTATGCGATAAAATATAATGGGGGACAGTGTCAAAAGCTTTCTGGAAGTCAATAAAGACTGCTCCAACTGTCAGACCATTGTCAATTGCTGTCTTCCATCCTTCAGTCATAGAGGTAAGCATTCCTTCAGTCGATAGTCCCTTGCTAAACCCCCACTGTTTACAGCTTTTTATGCCACAGCTGTTCAGATGGGTATCAATTATGTTGCAGATCTGGCTTTCGAGCAGCTTGCTGGGGATATTTAAAAGTGATATTGGCCTATAATTTGAAACATCTGCTGGGTTTCCTTTTTAAAGATTGCATTAACTTTTGCAATCTTCCATGTGTTAGGGAAGCTGGACTGAGCCATGCTGCTCTTGAAAACAGTTACAATGCCCTCTAGGGCGGATGTTCCTGCAATAGCTAAGCTACGAGAAGAGATGCCATCAGGACCAGATGCTTTGTTAATTTTAATTGTCTTGATATCAGTTTTGAGTTTGTTGATGTTGACCTCCAAGACCTGCACAGTGGGGGTAACTCTGTACATGAATTGATGGGGATCATCAACTTCGGGGAATTTTTCAGCTAGTTCCTTGCCAATATTTATGAAGTAAGAGTTAATCAGTTCAGCTTTCTCGTAGTCATTTGTGATTTCCTTATTTTCAGCATCTCTGAGGGGGCCAATATGTTTATTCTTAGGTTTTCCAGTGGCCTCGTTCACAGTTTTCCAGAAAGATTTTGAGTCCTTGGTCTCTGTAAATTTCTTTTTCCAATATTGAGCTTCAGCACGTCGTAGCATCTTAGATACTTTGTTCCTAGAGGATTTGTAATCAACCCAGAGTTTATTAGTAGCGGGTGTGCCATCACAGGCTTTCAGAAGTTTATATCTCTTATTCATCTCTTTCCGGATCTCACTGTTCATCCAAGGTAGTGAATTTTTTCTAACCTTGGCTTTACGTAAGGGAATGTGACTGCTTGCAATAATATTATACATGCAATTCCAAGCCCAAGTGATGTCATCCAAGTCCTCAAAGGTGGAACAGACCCACCAGGGAGCACTTTCCAGGTCATGTTTGAAGTCTTTCGGGTTTTCCAACACGTTCTTGAAGTTGTGGACATATTTAATAAAAGGCTTTGGATTCCTGATCTTCAGCTTGTAGATAACGTAGATGAATTTGTGATCAGCTATGCAATACTCAATCACATCAGACTTTGAGACCTTTGAGGTATTGATAGTCAAAATCAGATCGATCAAAGTGTTAGAATGTGCTGAGGTTCTTGTGGGTGCTTTTATGATGTTACAAAAGTTATAAGATTGTAAGATGCGTTTGAATTTCGCACCATTTCCATTAGTAGCAAGCTGATCTGAATTGAAGTCACCAGCGATCACAACATTCCTGCGAGACATCCAAATTGTACTCAATACTTGGTTGAATTCATCAAAGAAAGATGTAACGTCAGGAGGGTCTATATACACAACCCACAAGTAATCTTTGCGAGTGAGCTTTCAATTCAATCCAGAGAGCTTCAATGCCGTCGTTGTCATATTTGGATATACGTACACAATCTAGGCTAATGTTAAAGTAAATAGCGACTCCGCCTCCTACTTTGTGTGACCTATCTCTTCTCAGAATTCGGTATCCATCGATGTTTACTTCGTTATCGCTTATATCTTGTGTCAGATGCGTTTCAGAAATGGTTAGGATATCCAGGTTGGTATGCTGTAAAAGTATTTTCACTTCGGGGGGAGGTTCTTACGGAGGCCTCGCACGTTCGAGTGACCGATGGATACTCCTTGCTTTCCATTGTCTCTCACCACGTGAAGTGCATCAAACAGAGGGGAAGCAGGCCCCGGGTTAGGACATATGTCGCCACATAGTTGTAAATATTCAAAGTTGAAGCTTGCATCGGAGTTGCTGTAGTAGTTGACTCTCGAATTCCTGAATCTGACTCGAGCTTTCCACACGAATCCAATATGGCGGATATTGAGTCGAAACAAAATGGAAGATATCGGTTTCAAAAACCAATGATTATCCCAGCTTTGCTTGTTTACTTTGACGAGGCGCATATCTAGTCCGATGTGTGCATCTTTGCCACTTAAACATGCCAATATGTACAGAGAAAAGCCAAAAAGAAACCAAAGTATAGGCGAACTAAAAATTTTGCTTCTTCCCGCCATGATGATTGCCGGTACTGTGTTAACCATATCATTTGCATAGTTTTGTGAGTGAGCTGTCAGCCCATGATTGAAACAGTAAGGTGAAAAGTGCTTTGAGCTGCCTTAAACTTACGCTGTTATCTAATGAGAGGAGGTGCAAATTCTCTCCCTCTTCAGGCTCCTTGTTATCACAATCCATGCAAGAACGGGGGAAAATGTCGCCCAGTAATCGAAAAGTACGACTTCAATTGTCAGTGTACGGAACATTTTGGAGGAAAAAAATGCGATCTTCGTGAGTATTTCAATTTATTTTTTCTTAGTTCGTGAGCGGGCGGTATTCTACAAATCCTGCTATCTGATTGGTTCCGATAGCGGGCAGTATTCTCCCCATCCGGCCCACTCGCAGCGGGAGGTTCTTTTCGCAACCTTTTGTTAGGTTTAGAAAAAAATAAAAATGTTATTTACTTCCCAAGGTCGGTCCGTATTGCGAAAAACTGTGCCCTCCGTCTTGTGTACTTCCCTCGACCTACGGCCTCGGGCGGTATCCAAGACGTCGGGCACAGTTTTTCCCAATACGGACCTCCCGTCTGGTGAATAACATATATTTCTTTTCATTTTTAGTTAAGTTTATCTTGAATGTCTGCCCAAGTTTAACATTTTATAGATCGATTATCCTTGGTGTTTTACTTACAGCGAGAATTTCCCAAGGAAGCAATGTTTGCACATGGCTTTTGGATAACGGATCGAACAAAAGTGGCATTTATCAAGTTGCAGCAGATGGGACTGACATCATCAGCATCTTCTGTGATCAAACCAATCAAGGAGGAGGTAACAAGGCTAATCGTTTCACTGAGCTGACATAGCTCGCTGCACCAGTGTACTCTCCAAATTATTTCTGTATCGAACTCAAAACCCTGGCATTACACTCTTACAGAGCTCCTCTTATCGCAAAATTTGGTGTATGAATGAGCTCCAAAATGAAAACGAAAAGGGGAGGCACTAGAGAAGAGGGAAAATTATTTTAAACAATTTATGGCAAAGAAACAGGTCGCGAGTAGTCGGAAATCCGGATTTATAATCCCTATGGTTTGCAAACTGATTCGGTTTGGTTAAATACTACGGTTGCAAAGATGAGTGTGCGTTCGTTGGGTTACGAAGTGAGTTAGTGAGTTTTGAATTGAGAGAAAGTTCTAAGGAAAAATGGAAAGCTAAGCAAAACGAGTTAAATTAAGAAGGAAGCCTTCCATTTTTTTAAAGGTACTCAACGGAATAATGGCTTTTACTGCCAACGGTTGGAAGTTTGGCCAATTTACGGCTACGGTTGACCCCAAATGACAAAAAATGACAAGTTCTAGAAAAAAATTATGGTTTCTTTTTTTTATGACTAATGGTCAAAAATTTGTCATTTTTTAGGTCCAACGGCCTTTTTTGGTCGTTTCACGGCAAACGATTAACCCCATTGAGAACCTCTATTTATTTTTACCAGAAGTTTAGAAGTAGCGTAGATTTTATATCCTCGACCTAGTTTCCTGAATCGCGTGGGAGCCATCAAAAGACTCTCCAAATCACTAAGCCTAAACGTATTCCTTGATTCTGATCACTTGATTCAGTTTCGGAGTCAATAATATAAGTTCGCATGAGACATCTCGTAACCCATAAATTTCCAAAATTCCATTTATTTTTCGAAAAAATTACGTGTTACGTGTTTGCCAACAGGTTGGACTATGGTATTCAAGTTAGTGGCCGGTGTTTCAGCCGATATCGCTCGTCTGTGGTCCTCAGGTGACCCTTTAAACGAAAACAACGCAGAAGTATTGAATACCACTTCAACGCCCAAAGAACATTACAAGAACCGCATGATAAGGAACTGGAATACCTTAGGACTAAAGGAGGTGAGAAAATTCCTGAAAATTTTCCGCGGTCATTATGATATGTGATACTGAGTATGATGATATATATGTATTTTTTTCTTTATGATCACCATCTTTGGTAACACTATCGACCTTATAACCCTCGTTATCACCGCATTCACCGTCCACGTCATTTCTACGGTCATTGTCGTGTTTATCATTATCGCCGTCGTCATCGTTATTGTCATTTTCATCGTCAACGTCATTATCGTAATTATCGTCACCGCTATCGTCATTCTCATCCTCAAAGTTATCGTCGTTTTTCATCGTCATCGTCACTGTCATCGTCGTTGTCATCCTTAGTTATTGTCTTCTTCATCGTCATCGTCAATTTCATCATCATTGTCATCCTCAAAGTTATTGTCCTTTTGATCGTCATCGTCATTCTCGAAGTTATGGTCATCGTCATTTTCATCCTCATTGTCATCGTCATCGTAATTGTCATCCTCAAATTCATTGTCACTGTCATTGTCATCATCGTCATCCTCAAACTTGTCATTTTTCATCGTCATTTGTTATTAACATTGTTATTATCATTGTCATTGTCATTGTCATCGTCATTTGTTATTAACATTGTTATTATCATTGTCATTGTCATTGTTATCGTCATTTGTTATTAACATTGTCATTGTCATTGTCATCGTCATTTGCTATTAACATTGTCATTATCATTGTCATTGTCATTCTTACTGTCATTATCATTTTCATATTCGTTACCTTCGTCATCAGCACTGCTATCGTCTTGTTCTTCATGGCCATCGTGATCATCACTAACTTAATTTTAGACGGATACAATTAGATTCAGCAGTCAAAGATCAACAGAATGGCTTTTCGACCGCTGTTTCCAGGGCTAATTGAGATTTTGAGTGTTGGTTTATGTGGAGACTGAGAGACAGGAAAAACGCTTAGAGTTAGGACGGGAACCAATAATGATGTTAACCCGCTTTTGACTTACGGTTACGGCAAGAAACCCATACACACCTCGAAGTAAAGGTGGGTGACCTGCTATCACCACTGCGCCATCATTGCCCCCACTTAAGTGTTGAAATCATCTGCAACGTCACTGTCGTTATCATACCGATCACAAAGCGAAGTAACGCAAAACCAAAAATCCTGAAGATTGTACTCTGAGTTTATTTCTCGGTGCTAACTTCTTTTAAATGTAATTTTAGGTGCGTGTCGTTCTCTACAAAAACAATTCTGAAGCTCTCTCCATTACGTTCAACGCAGATGGCACTGACAACATGAACTGGTTCGCAAAGAATAGGTTGACTGAGTCGCCATGGACAGACCTGGGAAGTGAACCTCAAAACATTTTCTCCAACATTGGTCCACATGCTCACTTAGGAAGAAGTTTTCACATAAACAGGAATTATGGGGGATGTCCTGAAGATGCAGGGTGGCTCTTGGTAACAGAGGGAAAACCCTGTGAATACGAAAAAAAGCTTCCACCCATAGTGATCCTTTATAGTAAACTCCATAACTACACGAACTGGAATTTTCAAGGTAAAGAAACAAGTATCGATTTTGAATTAAAACCTTGAGTTAAAATGATTCAACGAGACCACACATCAAGATATGTTACTTCTCAAGTCGTATGCCAACTGGGGATAGAGGGACGGAACTAATCTGATCGATTACTTTTTACCTGAGGCGTGGTATTTTGTGGTTATAACACACTTTATCGCGGTTTATCACTATCTCCTTCTCGATATACACACCCGCCTAAAGGCTCGGTAAAGAAATAGATGTTTTTCGTCTTGTCACGAGCATGGAACGAAGAAAAAATTCTTAGTCCCTATGAGAAATCGAACGTCAGACCTTCGCTCCGATGCTCTACTTTCTTTATTTTTTACCGAGCTCAAAATTTACCGTCTCTCTTTTTCTATCATGACAAACATGACGCTATCGACATTGCTGATCCCAGCTGCAGCATGCAGGACGCGTGTTATATGAACTTCGAAATACAATTCGCTTACTGTAGAGTTTCTGTGGCTCAGTGGTAGAGCATCGCAGCGGGGAATCGGAAGGTCTGAGCTTCGATTCCTCATGGGAACCCACTCGCTCGTGACAAGACGAAAAACAATTTTTTCTATCATTTTGAATTTGAATTGCATTTTGACGTTTCGAGCGTTAGCCCTTCGTCAGAGCTATTAGAGGAATTGTGGGTTGTGTGTGGATTTATATGTAGAAAGTGAAGCTACGCCATTGGTGGGAATATGGTGACGAGAAAACAGGAATAAATTAGTTGAACGAAAAGCGCTCGTTGATTCCGTAGGGATTAAGGGTGCCGATTTGGAATATAAATTTTTGTCGGCACCCTTAATCCCCACGGAATGAACGAGCGCTTTTCATTCAACTAATTTATTCCTGTTTTCTCGTCACCATATTCCCACCAATGGCGTAGCTCCACTTTCTACATATAAATCCACACACAACCCACAATTCCTCTAATCGCTCTGACGAAGGGCTAACGCTCGAAACGTCAGCTTTTTTACCCTTTACGGTGGCCAATTTACGTTTTCAACCCAGTTGTTCACACTAAATTACCTGTTATACTCTCCCACCGACGCAGCACCACAGTTTCTTTAGAAACTTACCCCTTTATTCAAAGTTATAAGCATTAGCCGTAAAAATCAATCATCCCATTGAGAACCCCTATGTTGTACAGCATAAACACTTCGCTGTGATCCATTCAATATCAAGGGAATTTGTAATTCCATGTTTAGACAACTTTCACCAACACAAATTTCCTTTTTTATTTTTTAGAAAATGTTGGCACTGCCGATGTTCTTGTGGTTTTCGTTCGTTGATCCAAAGACTCACCGGGAGATGGACATGAATGACTATAAATTGATGCTCAGATAAGTTTTTGGCACATCAATGCAAGACAACCTTCATAAATCAACAAACTCTTTCAGAAGCGCTATATAACTGACTCACTGTCTTAGGCAGGACAGCGAACGGGCTGAAATAGCAATTATTTTATCCAAATTTCGTTGAAAGTTATGTACACAGTCAGACATCTGCTTAATGACCCGTTCCCTGCTTTCTACTTACTTATATAATATCCGCTATAAAATGTTCTGTATTAAAAATGTACCAGTCAATTCAATACCACAATAGTTCTTGTGCGTGGCAAGCAGAATGAGGAATGTGTCACTGGATGCAACCAAGCCAATTTGAACTGAATTTCAATAGGATTCTTTTGTCTATAGAGCTTTACAAATTGCATTTTTATTTGAGGACTGTTTCGCAACGTCAAAAATGTCCTAGAAAATTAGCTCGTGAGGGAGTTAAAGTGTTGGTATTTATTTGTCCGAAAGTGAGTCTCAACATGTTAACTTTAAGACGCTCTTTGGATGCCTTTGTCATTTGGCATTTCTCTTATCATTCCTTTCTTTCTTTTTCTTGTCGTATTCTGCTCTCTACATTGCCTTATTTATTGCATTTGAATGTTGTAAGTTGTATAAACGTTTAAAACATTGACTCTTAACTTCAGAAAAAAAAAACCCTGGCATGTAGTTATCAAGGCATGCCTTTTATGTCTGAGACTGGGAAGCTCAAAATTGCTATTGTTCGTAGGAAAACTAGTAAAGTAGCACACAAAGCATTAAGAGAAGATAAAGTTTTCTTGAATGTGTAAATTCATATTTCATATTCTCTCACCGGAAAATGCCAGATGGTTGGCAGTTTTCGAAATTAGTTATGGCGCTTCTTTACCATCCTTTTCATTTATTAAAAATGGAAAATGTTAACCATCCTTTTATCATTCTTGTTCACCTTGAAATTGTATGTTCTCTGCCTACAATGTTTAACTATCCATTTACCTAGTAGCTTTAAGCAGGTAGATAGTGTTAAATTTTCATGCAAAGATTGATAGTAGCCAAAATACTATTTATGTTTATTGCGAAAGCTATTTATTAAAACCCACAAACTTAACAACAAGTCGTTGCAACACTTCCCTTGGACGAAGATATGAGTGCTGACCATTACCCTTCACCTTCACAGATGCGTCACCCTCACTGTTGGAAATCATTCATCTGACAATGAATTATTGATGTTTTCAAAACAATACTATTCTTTAGGAAAAATTGATTAATCAAACGCGCGTAATTAGAGAACATTCTTCACAGACTACCTCCATCCGTAGAGATGAAACTGAATCATGTCGCCAACACTTACAGTTGCTTCCTCTTCATTTTATGTCCTTTTCTTTTCGCATACAGTGTGGCCGAGTTAACAAATTTCAAGAATTCTTGCTCGGATGGATATTTTTTGTTTGGTAATCCGGTGCCTTTTCGTCGCCATCAATTAAACTCTTCATCAAACATATCTTACGAAGTTGAAAGCGAAGAGGAATGTCTTTTAGGATGTATCAATACTTCAAACTGCCAGTCTGTGAATTTCAAGATAGCCGCTGGGAATGATGGAAGGTTTCTCTGTTATTTACTAGACACTGATAAGTTTACCTTCCCGCAATTATTCAATGTGAGCGAAGATTTTCACCATTACAGCTTCACGGTGAGATCTTTTATAAACAATATCGTTCTATTATTGGAAACCAAGGGCACATTGTCATCGCAAAAATACTTTTGAAATTATCGGAAGGATGAAGGTCAAATTATCGAATTTCTGGTTTATGAATGACTAAATTATGATAAGTATATTCTAGAATTGGTATATATAATTTCTTTCTTCCATCACCACGTTACGTTATTTGTGATAAACAATCGAGGAGCCACACTGACGTTGTATTAATATACTTTAGGTGTATGCATAGACAAAACCAATTTGTTTTATGTTTTTAACCTGACTACTTCAATTTCTTGAAATGAAAACTGATTAAGGCGTTTTTAGTTTAGAAGTAAAGCTCCATTATTTGTCTTGTTTTCAGTTTCTGTATTGATCGCAATTTCTGAAGCCATGACCACTGTCAATCCGTCAGTTTTTATCGCAGTGGCTAAAAAAGGATTCTTAGGCAAAGGCTAATAACACGCGATCGGTTGTTTTTGATTCATTTATATTTTTTTCGGACAAAATTCTGATGCCGTTTTCTTTTAAGAGGGTCTCAACGGGGTACACCGTTGGCACGAAACAGCTGAATTATCGTATTCTTGAGTCAAGGATAAATTTAACCCTAGAGATCTCACCCATCTTCAATGTGTCATTTTGGGTGACCATTAGCTATAAATGGTCAAAAAAAAACTGTCAGCCGTAACAGCCATTACTCCATTGAAACCCTCCTATCAACTGCTTTTCTCCTTTTCACATTTATCAGCCTAAATGCGTTTTCAATTTTATTCACATTTTTTGCAGTAATTTTGAAAAATTATTTTAAAACAAAATTCTTCTGGTCTTGTTGTCTCTCACCAGTCCCCTTGCCAGAACGATCCATGTTTGAACGGAGGGACCTGTCACTCAGTGAGAGGCCAGTATGACTTCAAATGCACCTGCCCGCCGGGTCTACAAGGAAAACTTTGCAACATCTGTAAGTAAGCATTTGAAAAATTATCTTCACTTAACTTGCCGCAATAGATCAAAGTTATGTCCCAGTGAAATACTATTAGAAATACAATCTAAGAGCACAGTTTGACGGTTTAAAACGGAAAAGATGTAAAATAGCAGAGGCTTAATCGAAGGTCAAAAACCACTATCTTATACGAACTGGTCAGATGGTATAACCCGTTTTGCGTCATTCTTTTGACACTTTGTCACTATTTACGCCAAAAGAACCAAAGATCGTAACTTTCAAAGTCGCAAATTGATCAACTAAAATCAAGCAATGGCTGCAAGAAATAAAATTGTTGTTGCCTGAAAAAAAACTCACACAGATGAAGTAGTGACTTCCGACGCCGCTACCACAATTTTTCCCGTCAAAACTATTTTCTCTCTCGTTTCTTTCCTTATGCAAAAAAAATAAAAAATAAAAAAAGCGGAAAAGGATGTTCTGTGCAATATCTCCACATATTCTAAGCCAGATGTCTTTCTTGCTTAACTTTAGGCCATAAAACGTAACGGCGTGCCATATGACCGCTAAACACATGTCGCAAAATTGACTAATTTCTCTGTAAATTTGGTCGTCACGACCTATTTTTCTAATCGCCGGAAGCACGGATGAAGGAGACTTCCTAACGGCAATTATATCAGCCTAAAACACTTTAATTTTATTCTCTGGTGATGTATTCAGGATCACACCCCTACTTTCATTTATAAATTTGCTTGTGGCGTTTGCATGCACCGTACTGTCATTGAATTCTATTTCATAGCATATCAAAGCTGTATCGAATTACTCAAAGCTGGATATATTCTGAGTGGAGCTTACGTCATCAAGCCCAGCCAGTCAGAAGGGTTGATAAATGTCTACTGTGACCAGTTCAGTAGAGGAGGAGGTAATGAATTCAATATTATTTATATAGAGAAATTTTCAATTGAGTGTCGAAAGCAGTGTGGGATTACAGTTGTTTTGCTTTTCTTCGCTCTGTAATTGGTCCGGAAACTTGCACCACTCTCTGAACCAATCAAGTGCAAAACTAAATCCAATCATGACTTTGCGTTTTCCAGCACCTTTCCACAGTTTAGTTGTTTTTAACTTGGGTTCTCATTGGCTCCTAATGATATTTTCCTTTTCTTTCTGATTGGCTGCAGTGATAACTTTGGTTTGGTTTTACGACACACGATCGAAATGCGTTCACTTACCTAAACGTCTGCCATCTTAAACGTGGACTTTTGAGGCCCTACTCGCGCTAATGAGTTTTCATTCAAAAATACTTTAAGGTGTGATGGGGTGGTATTCCTGAGACGAAAGCTTCATAACGTGATGCGCATCTATTCGACCTTATTGACAGAAAACGTTACAATCCACACAGGAAATGGCTTCATCGTGAGACAAACTGTCGAAAACGTGAAAAAGCTGTACCACGTTTCCTTATAAAGTCACGATTTATTCGCTTGATTCAACAATTTTGCCCCTATGCTTCGGTTGACTCCTACTCACAACTGTCGGCTTATTCGAAGGAAACACACTGAAGGTCCCATTGTAAGCACATGGAAAAGTACCATACATGGGACGATAAAACACGTGCCGCATACATGTTTGCCAAGTTATGTATAAATAAACGAAATCCCTTATAAATGTCAATAAAATTGAGAATAATTAACGTATCGTACAGCTTCTAACAAAACGATAATACTTAATATACAACTGCATTAACAGCGATCACTTATCGTAACCTTTTTTACCTTATTTACCTCTTGTCGATGACAAACCATCCTCTATCTTACAGGTTGGACGATGGTTTTTAAACTGGTGTCCGGCGTTTCCACTATTCCTCACCAGCTATGGACATCGTCGAGTGTTTTGAACGAAGACAAACCAGAAGCACTGACCACCAATTCAGATTTCAAAGCTCATTACAAGAACCGCATGGTGACGAACTGGCAGACTGTGAACCCTACCGAGGTAGACTTGTAGTTTAATGATAATTATTGTTAAGTTAAATTAAAGGCTCGGAGTAGCGTCATAGTTATGAATGAAATTCTCGTTGCAGAGATGAGGTAATCTTCACAGATGTTTTAGGCTTTCATGTCTTTTGAAATGATGTTAGTCATGGGACAGTGGCGAGGGGAAATCAAGCATCGTTGTCACTGAAAGGTCGAGTCTGCAAACAAGAACAACTGGTGCAGCTTCCACTCCAGTTCAGCTTTAGTATAACGCAACTTGAATTATCCTTACTACTCTCCCATAGATATGACTACATTACACGGACCTCTGGGAGCGAGGCACTTTCTCCGAAGAGGTCTACGTGGTTAATTCTCCAATTTCGTGGGATGTTCCTTCATGTTTTGTTTTCTTTACGGATTCATTTCCTTTTTTCTCGCTTCCAGGCACGAGTGGCGCTGTACACAGAAGGGAAAGAAGATCTTTCTATTGTCTTTAATTCTACAAGCTCTAACAACGTCAATTGGTTCTCAGAAACTCGCGTCACTGACTCTCCCTGGACAGATCTCAATACTGAACCGCTTCTTTACTTCTCAATCGAAGGCTGCTGTACTAAAAGAGACTTCTATATCGTTAGGAATCATGGAGGCTGTTCTGAAGATGCAGGTTGGCTCGCCACAGCTTCCGCAAATTGTGACTGGGAGGGAAAATATCCGGAATCAACCACATTGTACAGTAAACTGACGACCTATACTTCCTTCAAACGCACAGGTAAGGGAAAACGAAGGAAGCTGGTAACTGTCAATTTACCGCTTGAAAACATCCACTTTGAAATCCCTGGTGACCCTTGCAATCTTAGCGGCTCTCACAGGTGCAGTTGATTCACGAAGCACACAATTTTTACTCTAAATCAGTCGCATCTTTTTCCCAACCAATGAGAAAGATTTGCTTAAAAACAACAACCACCCAGATTTCGAGCCTTGTTTAAGGTAACCAATCAAATTACTTGAAAATGAAAGAAAACTTTCTGAAATCACGCGTATAATTTCAGGCCTTCGCTTTGACGAAGGGCTGACACTCGAAACGTCAGCTTTAAGGACTCTTTACGGTGGCCAATTTAAATTATCAAATCAATTGATAAAAAAAAGTTATCTTGCACCTCACTCAAGTAAATTACGGACACTTTCGAAGGGGATTCAAAAATTTTCAAGATTGAAAAAGTTTTGAAAAAAGCAACATTTTGAGTATGTTTTGGGCTTGTGTTTCAGCTTATATTGGAGTAGTGTGGTAATTAAAAGTGATTTCTAATTTGTCTCTTCTCAGAAAACATGGGCACCGCTGATGTTATGGTGGTATATATTCGTTAAGCAACGATAATTTGTCTTAAATCTGCAGTTCAGCACGTTTACAAGTCTCAGAGTTAAACTGTAAAGAAACTTTGCCTCCACCTTAGGTCAAAGCTAGATTATAGTAGGATATATACTCCAGAATCCACAGAAAAAAATTTCAGCAGTCAAAACTTTTTTTGTCGATGAACAGATGGTAAAAACCCTGGATTGAAAGTCGAAGTTTAAGCCAAGGCAAAATTTTGAAAAATAGCATAAAGCTGCTCGGTAGCAGGTTCTTCAAGTCAAATGGAGAAAGGTGCTTTTATATTCTTCATTATGATTCAATTTAAACAATTCTTTAGGAGAAATGTGTTTTTTGTGTTTCAGCTTCTAGGATCGTAGTGAACCGAAACTTCAACTCGATTCTTTCAATTCTTTCAAGGAATTCCTATTCGGATTACCTTTAACATTAACTCATAGGTACATGCACCTTAGAACAAAACGTAGCCCCACCCTGTTATTTAGGACATTTTTCATAACCCCAAACCTTCTTGTTTACAACCAAGATCCTTGGAATTTTGTCAACTAAATACAAAATAGGTATATCAAAGAAACAGTTTGGGCTGACTCTAAATAGCAGAAAAAATTTGCTATAACTGTTTTGTTGTATAAAAGTCACATAAACCACCCTTTACACGGAAAATCGTTTTTTTAATCAGTTTTCAGTTTTCCTTACGCTACAAGAAGTGCAGTATTGAAAATATTAAAACTGCTGTCATCACAAGACTTCAATGCTCACGATGTCCTTGTATGGATTGAGTTTATCATATATCTGATTACAAAATAACATGGGCAGATACGTTAAGCAAAGTTGAAATCATTGTAAACTTCGGTGGCCTAACCTTTACATTTCTTTATATAAAGTCCGCGGCTGAGAGATTTTCCAAAAAGCGAATCATGATCTGGCCAAGAAGCGAAGCTTCGTGAGGAAAAGTGAAATTTTGAGTTCCATTGAGTTCCTTATGATTTTTTATTTTGAACCAATCATAGAGTTTCGTGCTATCAAAAAAACCTTCGGTAATCCTTTTTTACTTTAAGCATCCAATAAAAAGAAAATACTTTAAAGTAAAGAATATGAAAGCGATCCTTGAAGTTATGAATACTACTGAACTAGTAGTGAAAATAAGGCCTCAAAAAGATTCAGGCCTGTACGGAATTTGAAGCCATGACCTCCCATGACCTCCCATGACCTCCCATGACCTCTGGATTCAAATTTCGTACAGGCCTGAGTTTTTTTTCAGTTCTCATTTTCACTACTAGTTCAGTAGTATCATATCTGCGAGGATTGTTTTTATATTCGTTTCTTCAACTGTAGTTCACATATATATGATTTTCATGTATTTGCAGTCATTTATACTCTACAGTCTTTGAAGTACAACTAAGTATGACACATTTCTATTTTACCTGGCAAATTCTTACTAAATATATAACTTAACTTGAATATTTAACAGGCTTTAATGTTTCTACCTCGGTTAGCGATATCTAGGAGAGAGAATTGTTGTAATGTGTTTTGCACGACCCGCGTTGCATATGAACTGAGGCCTGGCCGAGGTCATAACGGAGCTCTCTGCATCTCGGTGGTAGTGGACTCAAGAAGTGCTCTCCCTACACTTCTTTTTGCTTTAGCTGCTTCCTCCATGTTTTACAACAGAACAGAGCATAGTTAAGGCTTCTCTATTTGTTAAATGTTACATGTTCACATCAGGTTTTTATTTGGTTTATCTAAGTTCAATAAAGAGTAGCTCAAATTAATTGTTCGGTTAGACGAGGGGCGGGGGGATGGGTGCGACTCAAAACTCATTTAGGGGGTTGCAAAGATCTAGACCCCATCTTCTCATTGAGCTCCACCCTAGGCTGGGTGTGTCCATTCAAGTCCCTCCCCTGTCCTTTACTTCTCTACACATGCGCAAACCATATTCAAAACCACATACAGTTTGAATATTTATTGTTCCAAATAATTATAATAATCAACTTACCTTATCTAATAAATTATTAACGAATATACACCACAAACAAATCTGCGACTCCAACATTTCCTGTGCGATAAAAAATAATGACATATTATTCTTAGTGATATAAATGGAACTATAAATTTTGTAATTTTGTGGTCGATAGGATGAATAGTGGAAATTTTAAGCGGAGAACATTCCATGAGGTGGCTCTTCCTGTCCATTGTTTCCAGGTCAAACTTTAATTTAGAATGTTGGTATTTCGCGAAAGGAGGAAAACCCGGAGGGAGGACCCCGAGAAAAACCTTCAGAACAAGGAAGAGAACCTAAAATACATTCAACCTGCTGGTGACACCTGGTCCGGGGATCGAACCCAGGCCACAGCGGTGGGAAGACAGTGCTCTCATCTCTGCGCCATTCCCAGTCCTCTTACGTCCTGGGAGGCTAACTGATTATTCCTCCAACGCTGAGTTAGCGATAAAATTTAAACTATCAGGACATAAGTTTTAACCTCCCTGGTGACCAATACATCGATTTACAGAGGAAGAGAAATACTGTTCTTTTCTCAATGGAATGCGAATAGGCTCGAATCTAAAATGTGAAAGTGGTGCTATAAAGCACTTTTTGATTGATTGTCCTTAACAGAAATGCAAAGTAATCACAACAACCAATTACAAAAAAGCAGAAGGTTCAGCAGGAGCCAATCAGAACGTAGAGTAAAAAAATAAAATGCTTAGAGCGCGGGAAAACGGGAGTCGTCGAATTACTGTTGGTTTTTGTTTTGAATCTGATTGGTTGAGATAGTGGCGCGAGTTTTCTGGACCAATCACACCACGAGGTTTTTGATTAGTTTGCAGCGGTGATTTTGCAACACTTGACCAAAGAACGTTATAGCTTGTTCGCGAATCTTACCGAACTGATTCCAACTCGTGTATGTCGTCCTGTTACTGTACAAAACAGTAAAAGGAGGAAGACGTTTCTCCCATCCACAGGCACTCACAGTAATAGCCAGCCATCCTGCATCATGGCAGCTGCCATGATTTCTGGAAATGTAGAAATCCCTTCCATAGCAACAGCCCTTGATCGAGAAGTAATTCTGGTGCTCGCTTTCCAAATCTGTCCACGGAGAGTGAACGATCCGACTTTTGGAAAACCAGTTTTTGTTGTCAGAACTAGTAGAGTCGAATACGATATAAAGGGTCTCTGAGCCATTCCGTCTGTACAAAGCTATCTGCACCTAAAAAAAACAAATTATATCAGTGAGGGACTAGTCATTTTTTATTCGGGTGGGGAGACTGAGGGGGGATCAGTCGTCGCCAATGGAGTGTAGAGGAGAGACTTTAGACGTTTGACTGCCAGCGAGTTGGGGGAATCATCAAAATACTACAGAGTCCCATGGGGGATTAGGTTAATTTTATTGTGAAATAAACAGATTCCTCTCCCTCCCCCCCCCTCATACAGTATATAATGAGCGTACCTAGGATTCTAGATTCTCGGTCAATAATGGCGATGGAAAAAAGTGACCATGCGAAGAAAGAAGGGGTCTGATACAGATGTCTAAACTGGTTTCAGTTTTAAATCTGATTGGCGACATAGATGATGCGATCTTTATAAACCAATCAGAAAACGGAATATAAATGAGGTAAAGTTTCTCAGTTCCAGATAATTTTTGGCATGGTCATTGCTTTACTACGCATTAAAGCATTAAATGAATTCTGAATACACGTCATAAGAAGTCTTTGATAACCCTTTCACTACCGATATCTCATTAGTAATTCTCCTTACTGTCTGCCATACATTTCTTATGATGTGAGTTTGGAGAATTTGGTGTTGGATCGACTGATAGTCCCGGCCCCTAACTGATACTTTTTTTTATTTTATTTCTCATCACTTGGGCGCTTGGTATTGTATCGATATTTGAAGGAGAAATTCTGTTTGAGTCACTCATAAGTCAACTATGCATGACTAAGAGAACTTGTCATGGGCAACTAAGACAGACTTACCTCTTTGGGTTTTGCAAGGTGCCAATTTGGCACAAAGCGGTTCTTGTAATGTTCTCTCAATGAAGAATCGATGTTCAACGCCTCTGATCTATTTTCATTGATCGTCTCTGGGGAAGACCACAGTTGCGAGCTGCTCCTACCGTTAGCCGAGACGCCAGACACAACCTTGAAAACCATTGTCCAACCTGTATACAAAATAAATTGTCTTCCGCGAATACTAGAGCTTAGTACACACAAGCATTTCTCCGCCATGCGCCCGGCGCTTGATTCTCAAATGCATCATCTGGAAAGCGTGCAAGCAGGCCAACATTATTAGCGCTTGCGCACGATCGTTACGGCGCCCGCGGGAAAATATGAGGCTATGAGCTATGCGAGCATGCGTGAGACCAGAAAAGGGAAGGTTTTCGTGTCTTGGGTGTCATCTTTCATACTTTAAAAGCTAGCTTGATGGGTTGCCCATGCAATCTCTCTCCCTTTCTCCAATTTTTACATGTGTGGAAATCTAAGATAACTTTTTCGATTGAGTGTCGTAAAAACCGAAGTCGAAGTTATAACAGCCAATCAGAGGACGGAGGGAAGGGAGGGGGGGCGGGGAAATGACCCAAAGAATGACCCAAAGGGACAATGAGAGCACAAAGTCAAAACAAGCAAAGCATCTAGGCGTAGGAGAACAGAAGTTATCAAAGCGTGATTGGTTTAAATTTAAAATCTGATTGGTTGAAAAAGTGGCGCAAGCTTTAAGGACCAATCACGCAGCAAAGTAAAGCAAAATAAAAGATATCTACGATGACTTTCGACGCTCCACTGAAAATTGCGCCAAAAGATGCCGATGGAAAAGAACACTTCTCTTCTTTAAGCGCATAGGTCTTCAAATGCGATTTTTCTAAGGAATTTCGTGCATAATAAGGTAAAGTTTTCTTCGTTATTACCTCCTCCCCGGCTGGACTGATCGCAGTACACGTCGAACACTTGAGAGTTGTTAAAAAGAATTTTGTAGACACCATTGTTTGTGAAGCCAGCGTCTAGCAGCTCCGCGCAGCTCTTGATCACTAAAATAAGAAGTTGACAAGAAACAAATTTGCTGAGATACATGCCCTTAAGGGACCCCCGAGGAAGTCTGGGCACGAGGTTTCTTTTAATACCTGTGAAATAATAATGTCTCTTTTTCATCAATCTCTTTCGTCCCGTTAGAGAACGAATCAATATGTAGCTCATTTTTAACAGGACTCCTAATCTTAAGATCTGGAATTGAACCTATGTGGTAAGAGTTACAACGCTCTACTCCAACGGCGCCCCGCTCCATCTAGGAGTATAAATGCACACCAGCAACTTAGAAGCAGCTATGTAAGGAAGAAGTATTTTAGTTTTATTCCGCTTTCCTCAAGCCATCTTCTCAGCAACATTTGCTTCATCTGAAAAATGCAGGCATACTTACACTTCTCACATTGCCTCCCAAAGAATCCTGGTGGGCAGGCGCATTTGAAGTCGTATGCCATCTCGACTGGTCGACAAGTCCCTCCGTTCTCGCACGGATCGAGCTCGCAGGGGGCCTAAGGAGAACCGATAATCTGACTAAGGGTAAGTGTGACAGGAAGTCTGGGTTCCTAGAGGCTCAGAGTTGTTGTGGTATCCTCACAAAGCTAGGCAAGCGGAAGATTTCTCATAGCCGATAAAAGTCACCAGGGTCGATATTCCTGTTCGACGACAGATCGCTTTACCGTCGAGATATCGATTCTTTGCAACAAAGGCAATGACTTGCTTCTCTGAATACACTTATTTTATTTTTTTTGGACAAATAATTGGAAAAACATGGGGCAAATTATAAAATACACATTTTTTGCGGTCTAGGAAGGAAATGCGTTTCACGAGAATACCGCTCTAATGAAAGTTGACGAAACTTGCTAAAATCCCTGCATGGAATAATTGCAAAAATTCAGCAGGTAAAACAAAATTTTCCCTTTTTCACCATCAAAAATTTCAATTTATGTCGATGTATTTAGATTTGCACTCAGCATTCCTCAATTTGTCATAGTGTCAAAAGGAAGGAAGGCAGCTTTCTCAAAATAACATAAATAATTAATCAAATCCGAACGAAAAATTTCCATACGTAAGGCGTTGGTCTAACGTTGGCGATATGATATTGTCAGAAAATTTTACTAAAAAAAGCCACATCCATAAAGATATTGAGTCGAAGTTAAACGTAAATTACGCAAATTTGGGCTGGTTTATAAGAAAATTTTAAGCATAAACGTAAATTGCAATTCTTTTCGGTTTCTAAATTTTAAAAAAAAAAAAAAGGCTTATTCAAGTTTGAAAAAAAACTAAAAATAATTATATAGTAACAGATGAATTAAACAATTTTTCCAAAAAATTAGATAGAGATCCTTTCTAATAAAACTACCTGCTGTCCTTATAGATAGCACAACACACACAAAAGTATTCAAATAGGGATTTTTTTATCAAAATACTCACCGTCACACTGAAGTGATGAAAATCCAAACTTGCACCAAATAGCTTCAACGACTTAAATTTGTCAGTATCCAAGAGGTTACAGAGAAATTTTCCATGTAATTTAGAACCTTTGAAATTCAACGATCGACATCGAGGGCTCTCTGTACAAGCTTGAAGGCAGTCTTGTTCTCCATAAACGAAGAGAGATTCAAATGGTGTAGCGTTCAGTAGATAATTAGGAAACGAGAAAAGATTGGCGAAGCTTAAAATTCCGTTAGAAACATCGAAAGAGCTTTTGTTATCAGTAAATATTGCTTCTTTAAACTGAAAGAAGAAAATAAAGACAAAAGTTGTGCAGTACAGCTTCAAGGTCATGTTTTTGCAGCTGTAGTTGAGTTGTTCGATTCAGACGGATGAAATTGAACTGTTCAGTGTAATCTCAGACAAGAACATTTATTAAGTTACCATGGTAATAAAGATATTTTGTAATTAAGCATAAAGATAATTTTATCATGTTTACAAACCTAAATGAAAACTTAAACGAGGTCGAGAGACATACAGACAGTAATGAAACCCGACAAGCTGTTAGAGGATTGTAAATATTTTGGAGAATTCTCCAACACCCTTGACAGTTTACACGAGGCTTTGTAAAGGCAGGAAAATACATCCGTCACTTTCATAAAATATTCTCAGTTAGACACACGACTTAAACACCGCATTGTGTAAACACATTCTCATTCAAACACACTTATCGATCAATGAAAGCGCGTATAATATCTTAAATATTTCATAAAAATACTTGAATGTTATGTTTAACGTAACGTAATGCTTATTAACATAAAAAACAGCTTTTTTTCCAATTTTAAGTCAGTAATTAATAATGTAAATGACTCCCATGAACTTAGGGCAGATAAACGAGTGGTGATTATTGTTACGCAACACGCGTGGGTCGCACAGCGTCCGCAAGTTTCACATCCCAGCGTTGCAGTTTTTAATGATTTAGACTACGTGCGCTCATGTTTTCCTCCCTAATGAAGTCACTTCTAAATAATCATCTCGACCACAAGCTCATTCAACTTAGAAGACTTATCGTTGAATCATGGCTGCTAGTTTTACATTGATCAAATCTCATCAGTTTGAGTATGTCAGCTAATTCACGTCACTAATTACCGGTATTTATCATCTGAAAGAAATTCAAACTTGCCCATAGTCTCCGAAAATCCGTGGACCAAAACATTTCACGTATTAAGCTGTTTTTCTAGTTTTAAGTTTTAGGTATATTTGTGACTATTGTCATCAAGTGGAATTCTTGTTATTAAATTCTTTAAAGACCATTTTACAGTTTTACAATTAAGTACATTTATTGTTTTTTATCTGCTGTTTCACCTACGTGGGAGTTTGTCTTAATTGCTACAGGTGGGCATTTTTGTTAAGATAGCACCAGTTTTAACTAAGACATCCTTTCAATACCAAAATATCAAACTAGCACCATTATTTTTTTCTGTACACATCTCTCAAAACTTCACGTGAACAGGAGATCGTTTTTAGTTGTTATGTTGTGCTCTTACAACCTCTTCCTTATCGGAAAAAATGATGGTCAGTCATACGTCGGTCAAATTTATGAATTCAAAATTATCACGTCTCCAATGAAACACCACCTGGCAATATGTAAATTTGCCAAATAACCAAATATCAATGGTGTAAGTTTTTGTAGCCTTTTGTAGCCTATCACTTAGATTATGAGCTTGAGAATTCTATCTCGTGATATTTGATAAAAGTTGATGGGGGCGAAGGCCAAATCCACCATCATACAAAGGTATCGAGATCGAATTATCCAACTGTCTTTGTATAAATATATCAGCCGTCAAAAAAATTAACAACGAAATAGGCTCGACCACACATAGTTATTCATTTCATCCACTATCAAGGATAAGACAGTCAATCAGATTGTAGTATTAAATTTGTGATAGAACGCTGATATTCATTAGTTTACAGTTTTCCCTTCCCACCCTACCCTCCACCCTAATTTATCTCATTTTCCCGCGAGTTCTATTGTTGTCAGCGGTCTACTTGATTTCGATTATGTAATCAATGCCTGCCAAAACGGAATCGAGCTCCTAAGGGAAAACTCGTCACATAAAACATAGAGGTTATGCTGCATTTTTACGACCTTTTATGAACGATAAATTGGTTACCTGAGTAAGGAGGCTAGTAAAGATGTTTGCTGAATTAGATATGGAGTAAAAAAAAAAACAAAATCCTGCAAATGACTTAGTTAAGAGGTCTTTGGCGTATGTAAATGTCATTTCGTCTTCTGGACAAAGAAGCTCTGACTTTATCTTCAAAGTGTGCTTCTGCATATGTTTTCGACCTTTTTTAAGCTTCTTGAAGTCCATCGTCTTATACAATGTCCATGTCACTCTAATGTCTTCCAGATAGCTTTTAAATGCGTTTGAATCGGCTAAAAATCGCCGAGTAAAAATCAAGTTCAAAATATCTTAGGTTAGATACTGTGAGAACTCGATCCATCGTCCTTGCATGCTTTAAATTACCCGTGACATGCTGATCCACAACATCGGACTATAATTTTTTGGCGGTAATTATTTTGGGATTGTTGATATGCAACAGTATTCTTTCTTGACTGAATCAACAAGTTATACACTGTTCAAAGCAGCAAAATTGTTTTACCTAGATATTCTACACCTGGTTCTGACACCTTTTAATTGAGAAGCGGTTCCTCAATCAACTCCAGCACATTAATCACAATCAAATTAAATCTCTGACACAAATTTAAATCTAATTTAAGTTTTTTTTATTTAACCTTTTAACTGCTACTGCTGCTCAGAGTGATTAACATGTAACTTCTCGGTATAATATCCATATAGTATTCAGCAAAAAGGTAATGAAAATCCTAAAAATTATCGAAAGTTGTCACCTTGATTTAACACCAAATTCTTCTAATTATGAATTAAGAAGTGAATTGAAGATCATACAGACAATTGTCAAAAGCAAATGATGCAAAGTAGGAGTCAGAGTTGTAAATTATTTGTACGATTAAGATGGATTTGAAAAATGTAAATTGCTGTTACAAGCGAATGTTGTCGTACCTTTTAGGTTTTAGTGGCATTTTGAGGAATTTCAATCATTTATGATAAGTTTTGCAAAAATACACATCTATGCTTGGTCAGTTTTATAAAACGTTAATATGGTGTTTAATAGAGCTATTTCACCACCTGTCGCTAACCTGTTGGTTACCTGTCGAATCAACAGTTGGTAAAAAGCCTGGATTAGAAGTCGAGGTTTAAGCCAAGGGAAAATTTTCAAAAGTACTATAAAGCTGCTCAATCTATTAATTCAACTAATGCATAAGTAATACTTTCCTCAAGTCAAATGGAGAAAAGTGCTTTTATATTTTTCTTTATGATTCAATTTAAACAATTCTTCAGGAGAAAAGTGTTTATATGTTTCAGCTTTTAGGATCACAGAGAACTGAAACTTCAACTTGATTCTTTTTTTCAAGAAATCCCTATTTGGATTACCTTTAACATTAACCGGTAGGTACATGCACCTTAGAGCAAAACTTAGCCCTACCCTGTTATTTATGACATTTTTGTTTACAAATATGATCCTTGGAATTTTGTCAACTAAATACAAAATAGGTATATCAAAGAAACAGTTTGGGTTAGCTCTAAACAGCAGAAAAAAATTTGTTGTAACTTTTTTGCTGTATGAAAGTCACATAAACCACACTTTACACGGAAAATCGTTTTTAATCAGTTTTAGTCTTCCTTAGGCTACAAGAAGTGCAGTGTTGAAAATATTCAAACTGCTGTTATCACAAGACTTCAACGCTTATGATGTCCTAATATGGATAGGGTTTATCATATATCTGATTACAAAATAACATAGGCAGATACGTTAAGCAAAGTTGAAATCACTGTAAACTTCGGTGACTTAGCTTTTACATTTCTTTGAATTATACCCATATGATTTTACATATTCTCTTCAAGGGGTTGGTATGTCCGCTGATAACTAAAAGTCCAGCGGCTGAGAGATTCTCCAAAGATTGGCCGAGAAGCGAAGCTTCGTGAGGAAATGTGAAATTTTGGAGTTCTACTGATTTCCTTGTGGCGTCGACCATAGCCTTATCAATTTTTTATTTTGTAGCAGTCATGGAGTTACATGCTATCAAAAAAACTACAGTAATCCTTCTTTACTTTAAGCATCCAATAAAAAGAAAATACTTTGAAGTAAAGATTATGAAAGCGATCCTTGCGGTTATGAATACTACTGAGCTAGTAGTGAAAATAAGGCCTGAAAAAAATTCAGGCCCGCACGGGATTTGAACCCATGACCTCTCCCACTCTGACCCATGACCTCAGGTCTTATTTTCACTACTAGTTCAGTAGTATTCATATCTGCGAGGATCGTTTTCATAATCGTCTCTTCAACCGCAGTTCACATATGTATGATTTTCTTGTATTTGCAGTCATATATACCCTAAAGTCTTTGAAGTACAACTGGATATAACACAGTTCTTATTAACCTTGCAAATTCTTACTTAATATATAACTTAACTTAGATATTTAACGGGCTTTAATGTTTCTACCTCAGTCGGCGATATCTAGGAGAGAAAAATGTTGTAATGAGTTTTGAATAAAAATCGTTTTGTCCCTATGTATCGTGATAGCTCATTGTATATATTATGCATGACCTGTGTCACATATGAACCGAGGCCTGGCCGAGATCATAATGGAGCTCTCTGCATCTCGGTGGCAGTGGACTCAAGAAGTGCACTTCTTTTGTGCTTTAGCTGCTTCCTTCATGCTTTACAACAGAACAGAGCATAGTTAAGGCTTCTCTAATTTATTAAATGTTACATGTTCATATCACGTTTTAATTTGGTTTATCTACATCTAATAAAGAGTAGCTCAAATTAATTGTTCTGTTAGATGGAGGGCGGGGGGGGGGGGGTGGGAGGGAAGAGGGGGCAATTCATTAAAGGGGGTTGCACATATCCAGACCCCCTCTTCTTCCTAAGCTCCACCCTAAGCTGGGTGTGTCCATTCGAGTCCCTTCCCTCTTTGTCCTTTACCTCTCTAGACATGCGTTAACCATATTCAAAACCATATTCAAATAAAAAAATTATTGTTTCAAATAATTTTAATAATCAACTTACCTTATCCGGCAAATTATTAACGAATATACACCACAAACAAATCTGCGCCTCCAACATTTCCTGTGCGATTAAAAAATAATGACTATCATTTTTAGTGATATAAATAGTACTATTAGTTTTGTAAATTTTGTGTTCGATAATATAAAAAGGTAGCTATTCCTGTCCACTTTTTCCAGGTCAAATTCTTAATTAAAAATGTTGGTTTTTTTGCGGAGGGAGAAAGACCGAAGGACCCCGAGAAAAAAACTCCGGAGTAAGTTGACATCAGGCCAGGTAATCGAACCCGGGCCAGAGCGGAAGCCATCCCCAGTCTGCTAACATCCTGGGAGTAGAGACGACTTTTCTTCCAACGCAAACTGGCGATAAAATTGAAATAAGGACACAAGCTAAATCCTCGAAAGTAAAAGCTCTAATTAAAAGTTTTAACCTCCCACGTGAAAAAAAAAAAATAAAGTTGTTGTTGTTGTGACCGATACATCTATTTGCAAAGGCCGAAAAACACTATTCTTATCTCAATAGAATGCGAATACGCTCGCATCTAAAATGCGAAAGCGGTGTTTTGGAGCTCTTTTTGATTGAATGTCCTAAACACAAATGCAAAGTAATCAAAGCAACCAATTGCATCGAAGGGGAAGTTTCAGCGGGAGCCAATCAGAACGTGGAGAAAAAAAAAAAACTGCTTGGAGCGCGGGAAAACGCGAGTCATCAAGTTAAGGTTGGTTTTTGATTTGAATCTGATTGGTTGAGATAGTGGCGCGAGTTTTCCGGACCAATCACACTGCGAGGTTTTTGATTAGCTTGTAGCAGTGATTTTGCAACACTCGACTAAAGAATACAATGGCTTGTTCGCGAATCTTACCGTAATGATTCCAATTTGTGTAATTCTTCCTGTTACTGTACAAAGCAGTAAAAGCAGGAAAACGTTTTTCCCATTCACAGTCACTAGAGATAATGGCCAGCCATCCTCCATCATTCGGGCAGCCGCCATGACTTTTGGAAATGTAGAAATCCCTTCCATTGCAACAGCCCTCGATCGAGAAGACGTTCGGGGTCTCGTTTTTCAAATCTGTCCAAGGGGAGTGAACGACCCGACTTTTGGAAAACCAGTTTTTGTCGTCAGAATTAGTCGAGTTGAATACGATAGAAAGGGTCTCGAGATCTGAGCCATTCCGTATATACAAAGCTATCTGCACCTACAAAAAAACAAATTACATCGGTAAGGGACTAGTCAATGGAGAGTAAAGGAGAGACTTTAAACATGGGAATCATCAAAATACTACAGAGCCTTATAAGGGATTAGGTTAATTTTATCGTGACAACCAAATTCCTCTCTCTCTTACTCCTCCCCCCCCCCCTCCCCAAGAGGACCCTCTGAGAGGTTCCTGACCATGAGAAGAAAAGGGGACTGGTCCAGATTTCTAAAATGGTTTCAGTTTTAAATCCAACATAGATGATGCGATCTTTTAAACCAATCAGAAAATGGAATATAAATATGTTCCAGATCATTTTGGAGACCATTGCTTTTGCATTAAATGGATTTGGATCAAGTGTTTGATAACCCTTTCAATATCGAGATCTCATTAGTAATTCTCCTTACTGTCTGCCATACATTTCCTATGATGTGAGTTTGGAGAATTTGGTGTTGGATCAACTAATAATCCCACTCGTTAACTGATACTTTTTTAATTTTCTCATCTCTTGGGTGCGTGGTTGTATCCATATTTGAAGGAGAAGTTATGTCTGAGTCACTCATAAGTCAATAAGAATTTGTAATGAGCGACTAAGACAGACTTACCTCTTTGGGTTTTGCAAGGTGCCAATTTGGCACAAAGCGGTTCTTGTAATGTGCTCTGAAGGAAGAATCGATGTTCAATGCCTTTGATCTATCTTCATTGATCGTCTCCGATGAAGACCACAGTTGTGAGCTACTTCTACCGTTAGCCGAGACGCCAGATACAACCTTGAAAACCATCGTCCAACCTGTATACAAAATAAATTGTTTTCCGCGAATACTAGAGCTTAGTACACCCAAGCATTTTTCCGCCATGCGCCCGGCGCTAGAGTCTGAAATGCACCAGAAAGGGAGGCTTTTCATGTCTTGGGTGTCATCTTTCATGCTTAAAAATTAGCTTGATGGGTTGCCTATGCAATCTCTCTCTCTTTCTCCACTTCTTACATATGTGGACATCTGAGAGAACTTTTTCGATTGAGTGTCGAAAAAAAACCGAAATCAAAGTTTTGACGGCCAATCAAAGGACAAAGAGGGGTGGGGGGGCGGGGAAATAGCCCAAAGGGATAACGAAAGCGCATCATGAAAACAAGCAAAACAGACCAATCACGCAGAAAAGTAAAGCAAAATAAAAGATATCCATGATGACTTTGGATAATCTACTCAAAATTGCGCCAAAAGATGCCGATGGAAAAGAACACTTCTCTTTTTTAAGCGCATAGGTCTTCAAATGCGGTCGTGCATAATAAGGTAAAGTTTTTTTTAATATTACCTCCTCCGCGGCTGGACTGATCGCAGTACACGTCGAACACTTGGGAATTGTTAAAAAGAATTTTGTAGACACCATTGTTTGTGAAGCCAGCATCCAGCAGCTCCGCGCAGCTCTTGGCCGCTAAAATAAAAGTTGACAAGACAAGCTAAGATAAATTCCCTTACTGGGCACGAAGTTCCTCTTAATATCTGTGGAATAGTAATACCTCTTTTTTTATCATTCTCTTTCGTCCCGTCAGAAAACAGAATAAAGTTGTAGCTCTTAAGAGGACTCCTAGTCTTAAGATCTGGATTCGAACCCATGAGGTAACATATATAACACCTTACTCCAATGGTGCCTCTCACCGTCTAGGAGAATAAATGCTCACCAGCAACTTTGAAGCAGCGATGTAAGGATGGAGTAAATATTTTATTTTTATTCCGCTTTATTTGAGCCATCTTCTCAGCAACATTTGTTTCATCTGAAATATGCAGGCATACTTACACTTCTCACATTGCTTCCCAAAGAAACCTGGTGGGCAGGCGCATTTGAAGTCGTATACCATCTCCACTGGGTGACAGGTCCCTCCATTCTCGCACGGATTGAGCTCGCACGGGGCCTGGGGAGAAACAAAAATCTGACTTAGGTGAGGGTGACGGAAGTCTGGGTTCCCAAGGGCTCAGAGTTGTTGTGGTATCCTCACAAAGCTAGGCAAGCGGAAGGCGAAACAGGTTCGGGAACTCTGAAATGTCGTAACATCGTGCTGATTTCTCATGGCCGATAGCAGTCACTAAGGTCGATTTTCCTGTTCGACAATACATCGATCTACCGGCGAGATATCGATTCTTTGCAACAAAGGCAGTGACTTTCTTTTCTGAATACAGCTATTTATTTTTTTGACAAATAATTGGAAAAAAGGAGAAGGCCAAATACAAGACATGAGGCAAATTATAAATTATACATTATTTGCGGTTTAGGAAGAAAATGCGATTCATGAGTCAACACATTGTGCAAATATCGCTGTAATGAAAAATAATGAAACCTGCTACAAACGGGGCCGTTGAGTAATTGCAAAATTCAGCAGCTAAAAGAAAATTTTCCCTTTTTCGCCATCACAAATGTCAATTTATTTTGATGCATTTATAACTAGATTTGCAGTCAGCATTCTTCAATCTGTTCACGTTTTATCATAATGTCAAATGGAAGAAAGACAGCTTTCTCAAAATAACATAAATAATTGATCAAATCCGAACGAAAAGTATTACACATATGGCGTTGATCTAACGTTAAAGAAATGATATTGTTAAAAAAAACTTAACCGAAAAATCTTGCATCCATAAAGATATTAACTCGAAGTTTGTTATCTATGTCTTGCACAAATGCGAACTGGGCTGGTTTATAGGAAGAACCTCAGAGCAAATACGTAAATTGCGCAATTTTTTTTTCGGTTTCCTAAAATTTTAATTCAGGGTGCACTTCATTTTAAAAAGTAGGTTTATTCAAGTTTGAAGAAAAACTAAAAATAATTATATAGTAGCAGATGAATTAAACAATTTTTCCAAAAAAATAGATAGAGATCCTTTCTAACAAAACTACCTGCTGTCTTTATAGATGGCACAACGGACATGCACACACAAAAGTATTTACAAAAGGATTTTTTTATCAAAATACTCACCGTCACGCTGAAGTGATGAAAATCCAAAGTTGCACCAAATAGCTTCAACGACTTAAATTTGTCAGTATCTAAGAGGTTACAGAGAAATTTTCCATGTACTTTAGAACCTTTGAAATTCAACGACCGACATCGAGGGTTCTCTGTACAAGCTTGAAGGCAGTCTTGTTCTCCATAAACGAAGAGAGATTCAAATGGTGTAGCGTTCAGTAGATAATTAGGAAACGAGAAAAGATTGGCGAAGCTTAAAATTCCGTTAGAAACATCGACAGAGCTTTTGTAATCGGTAAATATTGCTTCTTTAAACTGAAATAAGAAAATAGAAACAAAAATTGTGCAATACAACTTAAAGGTCATGTTTTTGCAGTTGCAGTTGAGTTGTTCGATTCAGACAGATGAAATTGGACTGTTCAGTGTAATTTCAGCCAAGAACATTAATTAAGTTACCATGGTAACAAAGATAGTTTATAATTAAGCATAAAGATAATTTTATCATGTTTACAAACCTAAATGAAAACTTAAACGAGGTCGAGAGACATACAGACAGTAATGAAACCCCGACACGCTGTTAGAGGATTACAAAATTTTTCGAGAATTCTCCAAGACCTTCGAGAGTTTACAGAAGGCTTTGTGAAGGCAGGAAAATGCTTTCGTGACTTTCTAAGATATTTCTCAGTAAGACACACGACTTAAACACCACATTGTGTAAACACATTCTCATCCAAACACACTTATCGACCAATGAAAGCGCGCATAATATCTTAAATATTTCATAAAAATACTTGAGTGTTATGTTAATACTTATTAGCATATAGCGGGTTATAGCGGTATCGATTCTTTGCAACCAAGGCAGTGACTTTCTTTTCTGAATACAGATAGCGGGTTTTTAGCCAATTTTGAGTCAGTTGTTAATGATATAAGAAGCTCCCATTAACTGAGGGCAGGTGAACGAGTGGTGATGATTCTCACGCAATTCGCGTGGGTCGCACAGCATCCGCAAGTTTTACATCCGTTGTAGTTATTAATGATTTTGACTAATTTTGCTCATGTTTGTAAAGGTAATCACATGATTTCGAGTGCAATTCGTGATGATAAGTATGTCAGCTAATTTACATCACTAATTGCTGATATTTATCATCTGAATAAAATTCAAACTTGCCTACAGTCTCCGAAAATCAATGGACCAAAACATTTGACCTAATAAGCTGTTTTTCTAAGTTAGGTGTGAGGCCTATTTGTAACTATTGTCATGAGGTGGTATATCGTTATTAAATTCACTAAAGGCAGTTTGACAGTTTTACAATTAAGTATATTAGTTGTTTATTATCACCTGTTTCACCTACGTGCGAGTTTGTCTTAGCATTAGTTTTAACTGAGACATCCTCTGAATACCAAAATATCAAACTAGCGCCATTATTTTTTCCGTACGCATTTCAAAACTTCACGTGAACAGGAGGTCGTTTGTAATTGTTATGTTCTTGTTGTTCTTCAACTGAAACGCCATATGGCAATATGTAAATTTGCCAAATTACCAAACATCAACGGTGTAAGTTCCTTTTGTAACCTATCACTTAGATTATGTGCTTGAGAATTCTATCGCGTAATATTTGATATAAAGTTGGTAAGGGCGAACCATACGTAGAGATCGAGAGTGGGTTATTAAACTGTCTTGATATAAATATATCAGCCGTCCAAGTAATAACAAACAGGCTCTAAGTTAGACACAAAGTCAGACTATTCTCTTCATCCACTATTAAGGATAAGAGAGCCAATCAGACTGAAGAATTTGTGATGGAACACTGATATTCATCAGTTTACAATTTTCCCTTCTCACCCCACCCCCACCCTAATTTATCTCATTTTCCCGCGAGTTCTATTGTTGTCAGCGGTCTACTTGATTTCGATCATGTGATCAATGCCCGCCAAAATAGAATCGAGCTCCGAAGGGAAAACTTGTGACTTAAAACATGGAGGTTTATCCATTTATGCTGTATTTTACGACCTTTTATGAAAGATAAATTGGTTACCTGAGTAAGGAGGTTAGTAAAGATGTTTGCTGTATTAGATATGGAGTAAAAAAAGAGCGGAATCCTGCAAACGACTTTTGTTAGGAGGTCTTTATGTATGAATATGTCCTTTCGTCCTCTGGACAAAGCAGCTCTGAGTTTACCTTCAAACCGTGCTCCTGCACATGTTTTCGACCTTCTTTAAGCTCTTGAAGTCTATCGTCGTCTTATACAATGTGGATATCACTCTAATGTCTTCCAGATAGCTTTTAAATGCGTTTGAATCGGCTAAAAATCGCCGAGTACAAATCAAGTTCAAAATATCTCAACTTAGATGCTGTGAGAACTCGATCCATTGTGTCTGTATGTTTTAAATTACCCGTGACACGCTGATCCACAACATCAGACTGTAATTTTTCGGCGATAATTATTTTGGGGTTGTTGAGTGGCGTCTTAGTTATGAATGAAACTTTCGTTGCAGAGATCAGGTAATCTACACGGTTTTTTAGGCTTTCATGTCTTTTAAAACGATAATAATATTAGGACAGTGACGGGAGGAAATCAAGTATCGTTGTCATTGAAAGGCCGAGTCTGCAAACAAGAACAACTGGTGCAGCTTCCACTCCAGTTCAGCTGTAGTGTAATGCAAGTTGAAGTATCTTTACTACTCCCCAATAGAATGTGACTACTCTGTGATGGAGCTTATCCCAGTTTCCGTAGCATGAAGTGACTAGGAATATTGCTATTCACAGGAGGCACAGAAGATCTTCCCATTGTCTTTAACTCTACAAGCTCTGACAACGTCAACAGGTTCCCAGAAACTCGCGTCACTGACTCTCCCTGGACAGATCTCAATAATGAACCACGTCATTTCATCTCTGTCAAAGGCTGCTGTACTAAAAGAGACGTCTATATCATCAGTAACCATGGAGGTTGTTCTGAAGATGTAGGATGGCTCGCCACAACTTCCACAAATTGTGACTGGAAGGGAAAATATACGGAATCAACCACATTGTGCACTAAACTGACGACCATTTCTTCCATCTCACGCACAGGTAAGGGAAAATGAAGGGAGCTGGTAACTGTCAATTTACCTGTCGAAAACATCCATTTTGAAATCCCTGGTGATCCTTGCAATCTTAGCGAATCTCACTGGTGCAGTTAATTCACGAAGCGCACAATTTTTTGCTCTAAATCAGTCGCATGTTTTTCCCAACCGATGAGAAAGACTTGCTTAAAAACAACAACCACCTGAATTTCAAGCCTTGTTTAAGGTAACTGATCAGATTGCAGGAAAATGAAAGAAACTTTCTGAAATCACGCGTATAATTTCAGGCCTTCGCTCTGACGAAGGGCTGACACTCGAAACGTCAGCTTTAGGAACTCTTTACGGTGGCCAATTCAAATTTTCAACTCTGTTGATGAAAAAAATTATCTTGCACCTCACTCAATTAAATGACGGCACTTTCGAAGGGGATTCAAAAATTTAATTTCTGATTCAAGATTGAAAACGTTTCGAAGAAAGCAACATTTTGAGTATGTTTTGGGCTTGTGTTTCAGCTTATATTGGAGTTGTGCAGTAATTAAAAGGGCTTTCTAATCTGGCTTTCATAATCTGTTTATTCTCAAGATAAAAACATGGGCATCGCTGAGGTTACGGTGGATTATATATTCGTCCACAGGAAAAAATCCAATGATAACAGTTGGTGTGGATTAAATCGAGGTTTGCCAAGGGTTCAGCAACGATTTTACAAGTGTCAAATGGAGAAAAGTGCTTTTAAATTCAATTTACAAAAAGGAGAAAAGTATTTATATGTTCCACTTTAGGATCAAATGGATTATCCCTATTTGGATTTTATTTAACATTAACCAGTAGGTACATGCACCTTAGAGCAAAACTCAGCCCCACCCTGTCATTTATGACATTTTTCATAACCCCCAAACCTTCTTATTTACAAATAAGATCCTTGGAATTTTTTTCAACTAAATACAAAATAGGTATATCAAAGAAACAGTTTGGACTAACTTAAAATAACCCTAAATGGCAAAATATCTGTTGTAACTGTTTTGCTGTACAAAAGTCACATAAACCACACTTTATACGGAAAATCGTTTTTAATCAGTTTTTAGTTTTCCTTAGCTACAACGCTACAAGAACTGCTGTGTTGAAAATATTCAAACTGCTGTTATCACAAGACTTCAACGCTCATGATGTCCTTATATGGATAGGGTTTATCATACATCTGATTACAAATTAACCTAAGCAGATACGTTAAGCAAAGTTGAAATCACTGTAAACTTCGGTGGCCTAACTTTTACATTTCTTTAAATTATTCTCATATAATACTAAATATTCTATTCAAGGGGTTGGTATATCAGCTGATAACTTAAAGTCCGCGGCTGACAGATTTTCCAAAAAACGAATCATGATTTGGCCAAGAAGCGAAACTTCGTGAGGAAATGTGAAATTTTGAGTTCTACTTATGGCGTCGACCATAGCCTTATCGATTTTTTATTTTGTAGCAGTCATAGAGTTACATGCTATCAAAAAAACCTACAGTAATTCTTCTTTACTTTAAGCATCCAATAAAAAGAAAATTCTCTAAATTAACGAATATGAAAGCGATCCTCGCAGCTATGAATACTACTATACTGGTAGTGAAGATCAGGACTGAAAAAAAATCCAGGCCCGTACGGGAATTGAACCCATGATCTCTCCCATGACCTCTAACCCATGACCTCTAACTCATGACCTCTAACCCATGACCTCTAAGCCATGACCTCTTGTGACCTCTGGGTTCAAATCCCGTACGGGCCTGAATTATTTTCAGTTCTTATTTTCACTACTAGTTCAGTAGTATTCGTATCTGCGAGGATTGTTTTTATATTCGTTTCTTCAACCGCAGTTCACATATATATGATTTTCATGTATTTGCAGTCATTTATACTCTAAAGTCTTTGAAGCACAACTGAATATAACACATTTCTATTTTATCTAGCAAATTCTTACTAAATATATAACTTAACTTAAATATTCAACAGGCTTTGATGTTTCTACCTCAGTCGGCGATATCTAGGAGAAAAAAATATTGTAATGAGTTTTGAAAAAAAATCTTTTTGTCCCTATCTATAGTGATAGCTCATTGTATATATTATGTATGACCTGCGTCACATATGAACCGAAGCCTGGCAGAGATCATAATGGAGCTCTCTGTATCTTGGTGGCAGTGGACTCAAGAAGTGCTCTTCTTTTGTGCTTTAGCTGCTTCCTTCATGTTTTACAACAGAACAGAGTATAGTTAAAGCTTCTCTATTTGTTAAATGTTACATGTTCATATTACGTTTTAATTTGGTTTATCTAAGTTCAATAGAGAGTAGCTCAAATTAATTGTTCGGTTAGATGAGGGGGGGGGGGGGGGGGTGGGAGAGAAGAAAGGGCAACTCATGAAAGGGGGTTGCACATATCCAGACCCCCTATTCTTCTTAAGTTGGGTGTGTTCATTCGAGTCCCTTTCCTCTTTGTCCTTTACCTCTCTAGACATGCGTCAACCATATTCAAAACCATATTCAGATAAAAATTCATTGTTTCAAATAATTATAATAATCAACTAACCTTATCTGGTAAATTATTAACGAATATACACCACAAACAAATCTGCGACTCCAACATTTCCTGTTCGATTAAAAAATAATGACTATCATTTTTAGTGATATAAATAGTACAATTAGTTTTGTAAATTTTGTGTTCGATAATATAAAAAGGTAGCTATTCCTGTCCACTTTTTCCACGTCAAACTTCAATTTAGAATGTTGGTTTTTTGCGGAGGGAGAAAGACCGAAAGACCCCAAGAAAAAACTCCAGAGTAAGCTGACATCAGGCTGGGAAATGGAACCCAGGCCAGAGCGGTGGGAGAACAAAGCCATACCCAGTCCCCTAACGTCCTAGAAGTAGAAACGACTTTTCCTCCAACGCTAAGTAGCGATAAAATTTAAATAAGGACATAAGCTAAATTCTCGAAAGTAAAAACCATAATTAAAAGTTTTAACCTTCCACGTGATCGATACATCTATTTGCAAAGGCAGAGAAACACTATTCTTTCCTCAATGAAATGCGAATACGCTCGCATCTAAAATGCGAAAGCGGTGTTTTGGAGCTCTTTTCGATTGAATGTCCTAAACACAAATGCAAAGTCATCACAGCAACCAATTGCATCGAAGGGGAAGTTTCAGCGGAAGCTAATCAGAACGTAGAGTGAAAAATAAACTGCTTGGAGCGCGGGAGAACGCGAGTCATCAAGTTACGGTTGGTTTTTGATTTGAATCTGATTGGTTGAGATAGTGGCGCGAGTTTTCTGGACCAATCACACCGCGAGGTTTTTGATTAGCTTGCAGCAGTGATTTTGCAACACTGGACTAAAGAATACTATAGCTTGTTCGCGAATCTTACCGTAATGATTCCAATTTGTGTAAGTCGTCCTGTTACTGTACAAAACAGTGGAGGGAGGAAAACGTCTTTCCCATGGACACACACTAGAGATAAAGGCCAGCCATCCTTCGTCATTCGGGCAATTGTTGTGAATTTTGGAAATGTAGAAATTCCTTTCATTGCAACAGCCCTTGATCGAGAAGTAGTTTTGGTGCTCGCTTTCCAAATCTGTCCAGGGGGAGTGAACGATCCGACTTTTAGAAAACCAGTTTTTGTCGTCAGAATTAGTAGAGTTGAATACGATAGAAAGGGTCTCGGGATCTGAGCCATTCCGTTTGTACAAAGCTATCTGCACCTACAAAAAACAAATTACATCCGTAAAGGACTAGTCATTTTTTATTAGGGAGGGGGGGAAACTGAGTCAGTCGTCGCCAATGGGGAGACATTAGACAGGGGAATCAACAAAATACTACAGAGCCTTACGGGGAATTACGTTGATTTTATCGTGACAATTAAATTGCTCTCTCTCTCTCTCTCTCTCTCTCTCTCTCTCTTTCCCTCTCCCCTCCCTCTTCCTCTCTCTCCCTTCCCCTTCCCCTTTTCCCCCCCATACAGTACATAATGGGCGTCCCTGAGAGGACCCTCTGAGAGGTTCTCGGTCAATAATGGCGGTGGAAAAAATGAGCATGCAAACAGAAAAGGGGGCTGGCCCAGATATCTAAAATGGTTTCAGTTTTAAATATGATTGGCGACATAGATTATGCGATCTTTTTAAACCAATCAGAAAATGGAATATAAATGAGGTAAGGTTTATCAGTCCCAGACAGTTTTCGACATGGACCATTGCTTTAGTACGCATTAAATGAATTCTGAATACGTGTCATAAGAAGTCTCAAATAACCTTTTCACTACCGAGATCTCATTAGTAATTCTCCTTACTGTCTGCCATACATTTCCTATGGTGTGAGTTTGGAGAATTTGGTGTTGGATCGACTAATAATTCCGGCTGTTAACTGATACTTTTTTTATTTTCTCATCACTTGGGTGCTTGGTATTGTATCCATATTTGAAGGAGAAGTTATGTCTGAGTTACTCATAAATCAACTATATATGACAATGAGAACTTGTCATGGGCAAATAAGACAGACTTACCTCTTTGGGTTTTGCAAGGTGCCAATTTGGCACAAAGCGGTTCTTGTAATGTTCTTTGAATGAAGAATCGATGTTCAGTGCCTCTGATCTATTTTCATTGATCGTCTCCGATGAAAACCACAGTTGTGAGATGCTACTACCGTTAACCGAGACGCCAGATACAACCTTGAAAACCATTGTCCAACCTGTATACAAAATAGATTGTTTTCCGCGAAAACTAGAGCTTAGTACACCCAAGCTTTTTTCCGCCATGCGCCCGGCGCTTGAGTCTCATATGCACCACCTGGAAAGCGTGCAAGCAGGCCAACATTATCAGCGCTAAGCGCACGACTGTTACTGCGCCCGCGGGAAAATATGAGGCTATAAGCTATGCGAGCATGCGTGAAACCAGGAAAGGGAAGTTTTTCGTGTCTTGGATGAGAACTCTAAGTCAAAACAAGCAAAACATCTAGGGCGTAGGAGAACAGAAGTGATCAAAGCGTGATTGGTTTAAATTTAAAATTTGATTGGTTGACAAAGTGGCGCAAGCTTTAAGGACCAATCACGCAGCAAAGTAAAGCAAAATAAAAGATATCTACGATGACTTTCGACGCTCCACTGAAAATTGCGCCAAAAGATGCCGATGGGAAAGAACACTTCTCTTCTTTAAGCGCATAGGTCTTCAAAGCAGTTTTTCTAAGGAATTTCGTGCATAATAAGGTAAAGTTTTTTTTAATATTACCTCCTCCCCGGCTGGACTGATCGCAGTACACGTCGAACACTTGGGAATTGTTAAAAAGAATTTTGTAGACACCATTGTTTGTGATTCCAGCGTCCAGCAGCTCAGCGCAGCTCTTGGTCACTAAAATAAAAAGTTGACGAGAAAGAAGTTTACTGATATACATGCCCTTAAGGGACCCCCGAGGGAGTCTGGGGACGGGGTTTCGTTTAATACCTGTGAATTAATAATGTCTCTTTTTTATCATTCTCTTTCGTCCCGTTAGAGAACGAATAAATTTGTAGCTTATTTTTAACAGGACTCCTGATCTTAAGATCTGGATTCGAACCTATGTGGTAACAGATATGGCGCTTTATTCCAGCGGTGCCCCGCTCCATCTGAGAGTATAAATGGTCACCAGCAACTAACAAGCAGCTATGTAAGGAAGGAGTAAATATCTTAGTTTTATTCCACTTTCCTCGAGCCATCTTCTCAGCAACATTTGCTTTATCTGAAAAATGCAAGCATACTTACAGTTCTCACATTGCTTCCCAAAGAGACCTGGAGGGCAGGCGCATTTGAAGTCGTACGCCATCTCGACTGGGTGACAGGTTCCTCCGTTCTCGCACGGATCGAGCTCGCAAGGGGCCTGGTAAGAACCAACAATCTGACTTAGTAAGGGTATCCTCACAAAGCTAGGCAAGATGAAGGCGAAACGAGTTCGGGAAGGACATATCAACTCTGAAATGTCGTAACATTGTTATGATTTCTCATAGCCGATGGAAGTCACTAAGGTCGATTATCCTGTTCGACGACAGATCGATTTACCGTCGAGATATCGATTCTTTGCAACTAGTATAGAGCAGTGACTTGCTTTTCTGAATACACCTGTATTTTTTTGACAAATAATTGCAAGAAAGGAGAAGGCCAAATTTTCCCTTTTTCACCATCAAAAATTTCTATTTATTTCGATGTATTTAGATTTGCACTCAGCATTCCTCGATTTGTTCACGTTTTGTCATAATGTCAAATAGAAGAAAGGCAGCTTTCTCAAAATAACATAAAAAATTAATTAAAAGTATTATATGTAAGGCTTTGGTAAAAAGATATTGTCATATGTTGTGATATTGTCAGAAAAACTTAATTGAAAAATGTCACACCCATAAATATATTAAGTCGAAGTTTATTATCGATGTCTTGCGCAAACTTGTGCGAACTGGGCTGGTTTATAAAGACAACTTCAGTGCATATAGGTAAATTACGCAAATTTTCCTCAATTTTAATTCAGGGCGCTCTTCATTTTAAAAAGTAGATTTATTCGAGTTTGAAGAAAAACTGAAAATAACTAAATTGTAGGAGATGAATTAAAGAATTTTTCCAAAATTTGAGATCCTTTCTGACAAAACTAGCTGCTGTCTTTATAGATAGCACAACGCACATACACGCACAAAAATATTTATAAAATAACTTTTTTTTATCAAAATACTCACTGTCGCACCGAAGTGATGAAAATCCAAACTTGGAACAAATAGCTTCAACGACTTAAATTTGTCAGTGTCCAAGAGTTCACAGAGCAACTTTCCATGTAATTGAGAACCTTCTTTGAAGTTCAACGATCGACATCGAGGGTTCTCTGTACAAGCTTGAAGGCAGTCTTGTTCCCCATAAACGAAGAGAGATACAAATGGTGTAGCGTTCAGTAGATAATTAGGAAACGAGAAAAGATTAGCGAAGTCTAAAATTCCGTCAGAAACATCAAGAGAGCTTTTGTAATCAGTAAATATTGCTTCTTTAAACTGAAATAAGAAAATAGAAACAAAAACTGTACAATACAGCTTTAAGGTCATGTTCTTGCGGTTGCAGTTGAGTTGTTTGGCTCAGACAGATGAAACTGGATTGTTCAGTGTAATTTCAGTCAAGAACATTAAGAGAGTGTCTCTGTAAGAGCGGTCCGGTCGTTTTTGCTTGTGACACGGATTTCGCTCGTTTCTTGTGTGTTGTAAGACATTCATGTACCTATACTAAAACAACAATCAGTTTGATCGGATGTCTTTATTTTCCAGAGTTTTACGGAAATTAAATTTCACTCGAGCAATTAGGCTTGTCGTGACACTTTTCAAGACTTTAATTTCATACAACTTTGGAGGACAATTTACAAAAAACTACGGAACTCAGCAAAAAACAAACACCACAGCCATGTATATTAACTTTATCTTATCTATCGAGGCGACTTTCGCAAACATCACGTTTCAATCAAGGAAACAGGAAGACTTGAATGACACCTTATCGGTTCACCTAAATCACAGACGCCAAAACCGATCAGATTCAAGGTAAATTTTTGAAAAAGTGAGGCGTTCCAAACTGATCCAACTAACATAGCTAGGAGTAGGTAAGTAAGTAGGTACCATAAGGTAACCTTCGAGAGTTTATACGAGGCTTTTTAAAGGCAGGAAAATGCCTCTGTCACTTTCATAAAATATTTCTCAGTCAGACACATGATTTAAAACACCACATTCTGTAAACACACTCTCATCCAAACAAACTCGTCGACCAATGATTCTTACGCAATTCGCGTAGGTCGCACAGCATCCGGAAGTTTTTCATCCCGGCGTTGTAGTTTTAATGATTCAGACTACTTGCGCTCATGTTTTCCTAATGAAGTCACGTCTAAAGAATTATCTCGACCACAAGCTCACTTAACCTAGAAGATTTATCGTTGAATCATAACTGCTAGTTTTACACTGATCAAATTTCATTAGTTTGAGCTGAGCTAAGACCTTGCGCGTGACGAAAAGTATGTCAGCTTATTCACATCACTAATAAGGGAATAACATGACTTTTTTCGGGAATATTGTTTATTTGCGCCCGCGTAGTGTCATTTGCGGCCCGAGCGCGAAGTCTCTCGACCTTGTCTAATTTTAGATTTAGGCTTTGTAAGATCTGGTAAACACGGAGAGGTATCTTAATGATTAATTACAACATGTATTAGTTAACATTATTATGTTACTTAATTAATGTTCTGGACTGAAATTACACTGAACAATCCAGTTTCATCTGTCTGAGCCAAACAACTCAACTGCAACCGCAAGAACATGACCTTAAAGCTGTATTGTACAATTTTTGTTTCTATTTTCTTATTTCAGTTTAAAGAAGCAATATTTACTGATTACAAAAGCTCTCTTGATGTTTCTGACGGAATTTTAGACTTCGCTAATCTTTTCTCGTTTCCTAATTATCTACTGAACGCTACACCATTTGAATCTCTCTTCGTTTATGGAGAACAAGACTGCCTTCAAGCTTGTACAGAGAACCCTCGATGTCGATCGTTGAACTTCAAAGAAGGTTCTCAATTACATGGAAAGTTGCTCTGTGAACTCTTGGACACTGACAAATTTAAGTCGTTGAAGCTATTTGTTCCAAGTTTGGATTTTCATCACTTCAGTGCGACAGTGAGTATTTTGATAAAAAAAAAAGTTATTTTATAAATATTTTTGTGCGTGTATGTGCGTTGTGCTATCTATAAAGACAGCAGCTAGTTTTGTCAGAAAGGATCTCAAATTTTGGAAAAATTCTTTAATTCATCTCCTACAATTTAGTTATTTTCAGTTTTTCTTCAAACTCGAATAAATCTACTTTTTAAAATGAAGAGCGCCCTGAATTAAAATTGAGGAAAATTTGCGTAATTTACCTATATGCACTGAAGTTGTCTTTATAAACCAGCCCAGTTCGCACAAGTTTGCGCAAGACATCGATAATAAACTTCGACTAAATATATTTATGGGTGTGACATTTTTCAGTTAAGTTTTTCAGACAATATCACAACATATGACAATATCTTTCTACCAACGCCTTACATATAATACTTTTAATTAATTATTTATGTTATTTTGAGAAAGCTGCCTTTCTTCTATTTGACATTATGACAAAACGTGAACAAATCGAGGAATGCTGAGTGCAAATCTAAATACATCGAAATAAATAGAAATTTTTGATGGTGAAAAAGGGAAAATTTGGCCTTCTCCTTTCTTGCAATTATTTGTCAAAAAAATATAGGTGTATTCAGAAAAGCAAGTCACTACTCTATACTAGTTGCAAAGAATCGATATCTCGACGGTAAATCGATCTGTCGTCCAACAGGATAATCGACCTTAGTGACTTCCATCGGCTATGAGAAATCATAACAATGTTACGACATTCAGAGTTGATATGTCCTTCCCGAACTCGTTTCGCCTTCCGCTTGCCTAGCTTTGTGAGGATGCCCTTACTAAGTCAGATTGGCCGCAAATGACACTACAAGGGCGCAAATAAACAATATTCCCGAAAAAAGTCATGTCATTATCATTATTATCAATAAACAAGGCCAAATGATATTAAGAATGCGAATTTTAATAATACAAGCTAAGTGAATGACGAATTCAAAGTCACTTCAAATCATCATGTAAGTGTTGATTGAACAAGCTATTAAAGAATCAACTCAGTCCAGTGAACTTATTGAAAATTACCGAAAAAATGCTTAAAATTGTCTATAAATAATAGGCATATCACAAAGTTAACCTTAAAAATGTCCATGCTGGTAACAGAATCATCACAAAGTTAACGGATCAGCTGTAGGGCTGATAATGCATTAGCAGCCCGCTGTCAGTCTTTTGCGGCCCGCTGAGCGTGTGTTTTGAAGAGGCCGATTTTCTATTTGGCCGCGTATATTGATAATAATTACCGGTATTTATCATCTGAATGAAATTCAAACTTGCCCATAGTCTCCGAAAATCAATGGACCAAAACATTTGACGTATTAAGCTGTTTTTCTTGTTTTAAGTGTTAGGTCTATTTGTAACTATTGTCACGAGGTGGAATTCCTGTTGTTAAATTCATGAGAGGCGATTTTACAGTTTTACAATTAAGTAAATTTGTTGTTTTTTACCTGCTGTTTCACCTACTGGGAGTTTGTCTTAATTGCTATACAGGTGGGCATTTTTGTTAAGATAGCACCAGTTTTAATTGAGACATCCTCTGAATACCAAAATATCAAACTAGCGCCATTATTTTTCTCTGCACGCATCTTTCAAAAGTTCACGTGAACAGGAGATCGTTTTTAGTTGTTATGTTGAGCTCTTACAACCTCTTCCTTATCGGAATCAAAGTGCTCTGTGAGCAAACTCGTGAACTGACACAAATATTAGAAAATCAAGGGAATACTGTCTTAATGAAAACATTAACGATTCCCTCTTTATCAAATGAGACAAACGGGAACGAGTTTTGAGTGATATAACTAGGCCAAGCCTGCCACCGTCATTTTGGATCTCCGCCTGGGTAGATTTAAGTCATGTGCTAGGAAACGTATACTCTATAACAAGATAGATTTTCATTTCAGGCCTATTTATCAATTTTGTGGTGTATAACTTTCGCATTTTAGTATGTTGTATGTATGTTGAATCTTCAAATTTTCTTGAAACTTAAAAGAAAATTTTTCTTTAAAAATTCACCGAAAATCGGTGGCTAAAATTGTTTGTTTAGGTGTTATTTGATTTTCGTGTTAACTTGTAATTTCGTCAGTCGCCGGCTTCTTTTGTTACTTCACACAGGAAAAACACACGCGACGAAACGTAATGATCAATTTTGTCCTCAATCTCACGCCATAACAGAAAAAGCTTTTGAACATCTGTAAACTCCGAGCACTTCGCAGTTAGTAATATTTTCAATGAATCTTCGGATTGTTTTCAAGTTCAAGGATTGTAAATTACAATTTTATGAAAAACGAAGGTTGTTCTGTTATTTCAGTGTGAATCCTTGCATGCCTGCCAGTCGCTGGCACCGCTTGTTGAAACTAAAACGAAAAAAAAAAAACTCTTTTAAGATTATCATTGGCTTCTTTTTCACCCCACCACTATTCTTAGTAACAAAGGTCGCCATTTCGTTTGTTTATTGCTTGCCAAAAACTATCAAATGCGCTCGAAAGCCTAAAATCGAAAAAAATTTTGCAGGAATCGAGCGAGCGAGCGAGCGAGTGCCATTCCCCACATCGTATCTACAACTCGCTCTTGCGCATGCGCGCAATCCACGAGTTAAAAATGATGGTCGGTCACACGTTGGTCAAATATATGAATTCAAAATTATCAATTCTCTTCTGAAACAACACTTGGCAATATGTAAATTTGCCAAATTACCAGATATCAAGGTTGTAAGTTCCTTTTGTAGCCTATCACTTAGATTATGAGCTTGAGAATTCTATCTCGTGATATTTGATAAAACTTGATCGGGGGCGAAGGTCGAATCCACCATCATACAAAGGTATCGAGATCGAATTATCCAACTGTCTTAGTATAAATATATCAGCCGTCAAAAAAATAACAACGAAACATGCTCGACCACACAAAGTTATTCACTTCATCCACTATTATGGATAAGACAGCCAATCCGATTGCAGCGTTTGTGATAGAACGCTGATATTCATTAGCTTACAGTTTTCCCTCTCCACCCCACCCTCCCCTAATTTATCTCATTTTCCCGCGAGTTCTACTGTTGTCAGCGGTCTACTTGATTTCGATCATGTGATCAACGCCCGCCAAAACAGAATCGAGCTCCAAAGGGAAAACTTGTGACTGAAAACATAGAAGTTTATTCATTTATGCTGTCTTTTACGACCTTTTATGAACGATAGATCGGTTACCTGAGTAAGGAGGTTAGTAAAGATGTTTACTGGATTAGATATCAGGTAAAAAAAGAGCAGAATCCAGCAAAGGACTTAGTTGAGAGGTCTTTGGCAAATGTATGTATATGTCATGTCGTCCTCTGGACAATGCAGCCCTGAATTTATCTTAAAACCGTGCTCCTGCACATGTTTTCGACC